CTCAAACTGTGGTACGTGTACCACTAGTGGTACGTGGGCTTCCTTCTAGTGGTACGCAGAGGAATGACATATGTCATGTACATGCTACATATATTTCAAAATTTATCAAAAATTATGTATATAATATGCTGTATATGACATAAAGCTTATATTTCTGAGGTAAACTGCCACGTTTTTTTTAACTGTGCAGAGTTGTAGCTGCTTTACTGGGCCTACTACACTACTGTAATTCAATACTGCTAATTTTGGTGGGACTTGGAGAGACAATTTTTTTCTGAGGTGGGACTTGATGAAAAAAGTTTGAGAACCACTGCTCTAAGAGATAACTACTGATAGGAGCATGTCTATGGTGCTGATTTGGATTAGTCAATTAACTTAAGTTTTTGAATGGTGAGCGGAAACGGGTGGACGTAGGGGAAACCCACGTGAGCATGGGGAGAACGTGTAAACTCCATTCTGAAATGTTGGCTGGCTTGGTAAAGACTAGAAGCAGTGACGTTCTTGCTGTGAGTTAACAGTGCTAACCACTGGGCCATTGTGCCACCCATCTAGGAAAGAAGGAGGAGTAGAGGAGGAAGGGGGGATTCTTCAAAATGAAGATGGCTGTGATATGGAACTGAGGGTGTTTATAGTGGCTTAGGAATCGTCTGATTGGTCAATTATAAATTGAATAATGTAGCACCGACTGCAATCAATCATAAGCACAAGATCCTCTCGACATTAGTTTATAAATAAACTTCACTTTATGTGAAATATATTGTATTTTAGGATGTGTTTTTCCATTTCCTCAGTTTGTAAATTAAGTAAACACATGCAATTGCACAAGCAAATAATGATCGTATAGTAGATGTGTACGTATCAAACAAGACAATCAGATTACATCAGTGTGTGTTTTAATGCTAAATCAATTTTACAATAATTAAGCCGTAAGGGTTAAATAATTTGATGTTTTATTGGTGGACATAGTTTTAAAGCAGTAGTTTTGGAAAATGAAGTTTTGGCTAGGCCCTTTTGTCATAGTTTTCATTGTTAAATCTATGAGGATTTCTGGCTTGACAGCTAATGTAATGACTTGAGTAATAAGCTGTTTCATTTTTAACATATCTAATGCATTGTGTTTAAAAAAAAACAAAACAAAAACACTGTCTTTTTCCAACTTGACATTGGTTGTACATTTTACATCAACTAGCAGATCAATGAACCAACAATTAATTTCTATGCATTATGCTAATGGAATGCCTTAGACTTTAGAAAGATTTAAACAAAGTGAAAAAAAAATGCATGAGAGTTAATTTATACCACAAACAGCAGTAAATAGACTACAGCAAACCTTAGTAAATCACCTTGTGGGATTCATTTAATTACTCTCCTCCCAAAATGTATGCATGTGAAAAGGGAAACTCCAAAAAATAACACACATATTCAATCAGTTAAATACGCTCAAGTTGTTTCAGCTCTAAGGTTTCAGTGCATTCAGTCTGCAGTACATCCTGACAGCATTTTCTTTTCCAGCCAAACGAAAGTTGATGTTAGAAAATCTTGCCCTTGAACAGGAATTCAGGAATTTATAAAATAAACTTATTTTTTGCATGATTTGTAAATCTATCCATCTATATATATATATATATATATATATATATATATCCTTACCTTCACTTGCATCATAAGACTTTTTCAGGTCCTGAAGACTTTTCCTGTGCTCAAAGAGATGTTTTCTGCTTTGTTCTGCTTGGGGCATCTTCTCTCTCTTACTCTCTCTCTGTCTCTCTCTCTCTTTTATCTTTTAAAAATGGAGAGAATGGAGATGTGTTGAACTGCTTAAAGATTTGACAGACTCACAGCTCTAGTCACTGAAACACTTGAGGAAAGTTTCACCCTTCACATATGAGGGTGTGTTTCAGACTCAGAGATGCTGCTTCTGCAAACACTGCATAACGAGCAGCTGATCACACACCCACATGTACTGAATGGTTCTGGTAAATGGATTTGTCAATCAACTACCTTAGTTAGGCGAGCCTGTTTGGCAAGTATAGGTATATTAAAATGCAATGCATTTAGTACTACTAGATGCAATATAAATGTTAAAAAAACATAATAGTTTTAATAACTCATCTCTAATAACTGATTTATTTTCTCTTTGTCATGATGACAGTAAATAATATTAGACTAGATATTCTTTAAGACACTTCTATACAGCTTAAAGTGACATTTAAAGGCTTCACTAGGGTAATTAGGTTAACTAGGCAGGTTAGGGTAATTAGGCAAGTTATTGTATAATGATGGTTTGTTCTGTAGAATATAAAAAAAAAAGCTTAAAGGGGCTAATAATATTGACCTTATAATGGTTCATAAAAAAAACTAAAACTGATTTTATTCTAGCCGGAAAAAAAAAAAGACTTTCTCCAGAAGAACAAATATTATCAGACAAACTGTGAACATTTTATTGCTCTGTTAAACATCAATTGGGAAATATTAAAACAAACAAACAAAAAAACTATATATATATATATATATATATATATATATATATATATATATATATATATATATATATATATATATATATATATAAAATTTTGCATATATGTTTTGTTCTATAACCACTAAAATTTCTCAAACCTTTTTTTCATCATTACACTGACTTTAACTGTTTTAACTGTGTGCTATGGCAAGAAAAAAAAGTGTGAGACTAAAATAAATAATATTAGCAGACCTTTAATTTGGATTAGCAACAAACACACCATACATGAAACATTTTGAACATCTTTAAACACACAGAGATCAAAAATCATGTATCTAAAGAGTGATGACGTGCTTCATGCTGCACTTAACAATGCTGGGTTTGTACACATTTAACCCAGCACGTCATCATTTTGCCAAGTATGCAATCCTGCATTAACATCTCTGTTAACAACTAAATTAACTATCTATCATTTTATTGAAAAATATAATCCATACATATTACCCTAAACACAAACATAACTATAAATTATTCCCAAAATCACAGGGGAATAAAAGTTGGATAACGCTCGTGTAGAAGTGCATACAATAACCATAAGCCTAAACTCAACATATAAAACAGCAATTTTACTCCTTAATTCTGACTAAAATGTTGTTCCATGAGCAACATAGGCGTCAATCAAAGAACATGTCCTACTTGGTGAAATCAGGTTGGCGGTTTGACCCAACAATGGGTTACGACAACCCCGCATTTTTAGAGTGTTAAAAAAGTGATTAATAAAAATGGTTTATAACAATTAATAGTGTCTTTCGGTGACATATTAAACTGAATCGGGTTTAATCTAGATCTACATTAGCCTGAGATGCTGAATATTTTTCTTTGTGTAAAGTGGCTTTGGCATAATGTATATTGATTAAAGCTGTGGCATTAAAGCTAGGTGACCTGAATAGTAAACGCTCATTATGGAATCCGCAGTTGGTTCGTGTTCTTGTCTTTACTTAATGAAGCCACATAATTATTTATTTCTGTGAAACGTTCCATATCTTTTTATAACCTACTAAGCTGCGTGTTTTATATAGGTGTTGCTGTTTTTCAGGACATTATGTCCCACAACAATAAAAATAGTCAGCTGTCGTGAACACGCAAGAGATCCTTAAAAGGAGAACTATGAAACTTCACTGTTAATAACAGGCGTGTTTGATGTGACAGATGATGAAGTCCTAAATACAACAAAACAACACCTATCAAAAATACGCACCTGAGCAGGTTCAGTTTCTAAAGTGGGGATCAACGACTCTGTTGATTACTGTATGTCAAACAGGTTCAGTGTAAAAGCACATTTGGGTTTCCATTATGAACCTTCGCTTTGTTGTAGCTATTTGTTTGCAAATAATTCAAATAATCTATGTTGCGTGACAAGATAATTTATATAGACCTTGAATAATAAAAAAAAAATAATAATAATAATAATAATACAATTGTTTACATTTACATTTTTGCATTTATTCACTGACTAGTTTGTTTGACAGACAAAATGCAAACACATGTAATTCTTGGAAACTAAAATAAACAGAGGCAGGGATATTTTGCACAATGTATTTAAATCTTAATTGGAAAAATAAAAATAACCAAATAACAAGTAAACTGACAGAACACGAAACAGATATCCGTATGCTGTGAATATTAAAGTTTGCACAAATGTAAATAAAAGTAGGCTACAGAGCTTCTGTTCCTTTGTTAAACAAGAGCTTGATGCTCATGCATTATTATATCAGACATGATACACTAATTTCTAATCGCGTCCCGCCTTGTTAACATCTCTGTTTAAGTGTTTAACTCTCTTTATAATAACTTGCGTTGTATTTGAACGTGACGAGCTCAAAGCGAAAATAATAAATAAATAAAAATAAGTCGCTATTCATTATTTAATCAAGCAATGTCTGAAGACTCTTACGCTTAATTTAGATTAATCATTTTCTTTTAATTCGTACGTGATCCTGGAGCACAATGTCTGCTATTAATACTGAGAAAAAAGATTTTTTGTATACAGTAATTTAGACTCATACAATTTATTTTGCCAATAATTACACAAGTATACATGCGAAGCGTATTGTATGCTCCTCAATCAGAAGATTTAAGGATAAAATATAGCTTAAGGCATTATTTGTGGTCTAGGCCTACAATTATGAAATAATAAAGCAGATTTTGCATGGCTTTTTTCTGTTAAATTATATATTATAGCCAATTCTTTAGCCAATAGTTCATTTTAAGCACCGGTATTAGTTAGCAACTGATATTATTTACCTCCTCAGTTCGTGTATGTTACATTTACAATCAATAATGATAAAATGATTCAGTAATTTAAGCTTTTTTATATTGAAACAAACACAAACACGGGAGAAAAAAATAAAGTGGTATAAGTGCTTTATTTTTTTTAAGTGATGGTGACATCGCTTAGAAGGAAAAAAAAACGTCATATAACATATAGTGGGTTGAGTCTCTGCATCTATAAAACCTCTGCACACTTCTTCAGCTCTTCACTAACACCATTCTCATTTGCAAGGACGCAAGAAAAAAAAGACGATATAGCTTCTTAAGAAAAACTATATCTGCACCGACGACAGGTGAGAAAATTCTGTCATGTAAAAAAATGGTATAAGAAATGTCAAGGCGATTATTTCAATTAAAAATGCACCAATATATTTTGCATTATAATGGGAAAAAGGGTCTGTTTATTATAATAATAGTATGAATAGTAATTATTTATATACATTTGCATCTTTATGAATAGGAAGATGCATTGTCAAACTAATAAATTAATAGCTCAAACTGTTAAACAAAGATGACAACAGAGGTTAAAAACATATTTTAGTTCATCATTTTTCTATTTAAATATGGTTAGATCGTGTCAGTTCAAGCAAAGGTGATACTGAAAGTAAAACTGTTCATATATATATTTTTTTTTCCAATAGCAGCCCATGTTATAGAGTTGAAGTCAGAATTATTGGGCGCACTTTAATTTTATTTTATTTTTAATATTTCTCAAATGATGTTGAACAGAGCAAGGACATTTTCACAGTATGTCTGATAATATTTTTTCTTCTAAAAAAAGTTATTTGTTTTATTTTGACTAGAATAAAAGCAGTTTTTAGCTTTTTAAAAAACATTTTAAGGTCAAAATTATTAGCCCCCTTAAGCTATATTTTTTCTGATAGTCTACAGAACAAACCATCATTATACAATAACTTGCCTAATTACCCTAACCTGCCTGGTTAACCTAATTAACCTAGTGAAGCCTTTTAATGTCACTTTAAGCTGTATAGAAGTGTCTTGAAGAATATATAGTCTAATATTATTTACTGTCATCATGGCAATGAGAAAATAAATCAGTTATTAGAAATAAGTTATGGGGGGAGGGTGTGCTAAAAATTCTGCCTTCAACTGTATATGTCGTAATTAATTTTGGAAAACAGTAAAATGGAAAAAAAAATTTAAATAATAAAAAGGAATATAATTTTAATCAGTCTAATATACACTGCGAAATAAAGGCAGCCTTTGATCTTGCCACAATAATGTAGGCTATGACACACTTACAGGATCCCTGTCCATAAACAGAAAAAAATATTAACAAAAAATACAAATATTAAACAAATATTCATAATATTGTAACTGATCTTACTAAATAGGCTAAATGAACAAAGCTCTTCAGATTGTTTCGGTTCACTTTCTCGCTTAAGCGCTTGTTCTCCCATCAATAACTTTCCTTGACACTGAAATATATTTTGAGGGATTTATTTTTAGTTGCACAAAGTACAGCAGCTTAAACAACAGAACATCGTAATTTCATTTGCAGCGATTCTGTAAGAGAAATACATTCATATACAATAAACAAATACGACCATGTTTCACCAAACAAGTAAATAAATAACACCGGCATACAGCCATATCGTTTTGCGACTCGCTCTATAATTTTAAGATGATGATATTAAGGACAGTATACGCTTTTAAAAATTTACATAAGACATGTCAACACAATCTCACGGCAGTTCGTAACTTTTTCATTTAGTGGCTAATTCGTATGAATTCGTACGATCTAATTCGTACAATTTAGTACGATTTGCTTATCCCCCAATGACGGTTGGGGTTAGGGGTGGGGTTTGGTGCCACGCCTCCTTTTTAAAATCGTACCATTTCGTACGACTAAACTCGTACGAATTAGCCACCCAGCCGGCATTTCAACAGTGATTCAACGTTGAATCAACTTCAGGTCTATGGTTGGATCAACGTTGAATTACCTTTCGATTTTGCAAATTGGACCATTGTTGGGACAAATCACCAACCTGATTTCACCAAGTAGGACATGCTCTTGGAGGAACACCTATGTTGCTCATGGAACGACATTCCAGTCAGAATTAAGGAGTAAATTTGCTGTTTATGTTAAGGCTTATGGTTAGTGTATGCACTTCTACACGAGCGTTATCCAACTATTATTCCTCTGTGATTTTGGGAATAATTTACAGTTATGTTTGGGTTTAGGGCAATAGGTATGGATTATATTTTCAAACAAAATGATAGATAGTTAATTTAGTTGTTAACAGAGATGTTAATGCAGGATTGCATACTTTTTCATGATTGCAAAATAATGACGTGCTGGGTTAAATGTGTACAAACCCAGCATTGTTAAGTGCAGCATGAAGCACATCATCACTGTTTAGATACATGATTTTTTATCTCTGTGTGTTTAAAGATGTTCAAAATGTTTCATGTATGGTGTGTTTGTTGCTAATCCAAATTAAAGGTCTGCTAATATTATTTATTTTAGTCTCACACTTTTTTTTCTTGTCATAGCACACAGTTAAAACAGTTAAAGTCAGTGTAATGATGAAAAAAAGGTTTGAGAAATTTTAGTGGTTATAGAACAAAACATATATGCAAAATTATATATATATATAGTTTTTTTTTTTAATTGATGTTTAACAGAGCAATAAAATGTTCACAGTTTGTCTGATAATATTTGTTCTTCTGGAGAAAGTCTTATTTTTTTTTTCGGCTAGAATAAAAGCAGTTTTAATTTTTTTAATGAACCATTATAAGGTCAATATTATTAGCCCCTTTAAGCTTTTTTTTTTTATATTCTACAGAACAAACCATCATTATACAATAACTTGCCTAATTCCCCTAACCTGCCTAGTTAACCTAATTACCCTAGTGAAGCCTTTAAACGTCACTTTAAGCTGTATAGAAGTGTCTTGAAGAATATCTAGTCTAATATTATTTACTGTCATCATGACAAAGAGAAAATAAATCAGTTATTAGAGATGAGTTATTACAACTATTATGTTTTTTAACATTTATATTGCATCTAGTAGTACTAAATGCATTGCATTTTAATATACCTATACTTGCCAAACAGGCTCGCCTAACTAAGGTAGTTGATTGACAAATCCATTTACCAGAACCACTCAGTAAATGTGGGTGTGTGATCAGCTGCTCGTTATGCAGTGTTTGCAGCAGCAGCATCTCTGAGTCTGAAACACACCCTCATATGTGAAAGGCGAAACTTTCCTCAAGTGTTTCAGTGACTAGAGCTGTGAATCTGTCAAAACTGAAAGCAGTTCTACACATCTCTATTCTCTCCATTTTTAACAACCCACAGAAACAAGCCAAAAGAGAAGATGTCACAAGCTGAACAAAGCAGAAAGCTCTATGAGCACAGGAAAAGTCTCCTGCAGGAACTGAAAAGGTCATATGATGCAAGTGAAGGTAAGGAAGTATATATAGATTTACAAACCATACAAATATAGGTTTATTTTATAAGTTTGAATTGTTGATCAAGGGCTAGATTTTCTAGCATCAATGCAAACATTCTTTTGGTTTAAAAAAAGAAAATGCTGTCAGGATTTACTTAAAACTGAATTCATTTAAACTTTAGAGCTGAAATAACTTGAGCGTATTGAACTGATTAAATATGTGTATTATTTGTAGGAGTTTCCCTTTTCACATGCATACATTTTGGGAGAAGAGTAATTAAATGAATCACAAAAGGTGATTTAAGGTCTATTTACATGCTGTTTGTGCTATAAATGAACTTTCATGCCTTTTTGTCCTTTTATTTAAATCTTTCTGAAGTCTAAGGCAATTCATTAGCATAATGCATAGAAATTAGTTTTTGGTTCTTTGATCTACTATTTGATGTAAATACTACAAAAAATGTCAGTTGGAATAAGACAGTGTTTTTGTTTTGTTTTTTAGATACAGTGCATTAGACACGTTGAAAATAAAACAGCAACTTACTCAAGTCATTACATTAGCTGTCATTCATTCATTCATTCATTTTCTTTTCGGCCTAGTCCCTTTATTAATCCGGGGTCGCCACAGCAGAATGAACCGCCAACCCATCCAGCACGCTTTTACGCAGCGAATGCCCTTCCAGCAGTAACCCTTCACTGGGAAGCATCCACATACACACACACACACTCATTCACTGCAGACAATTAAACCTACCCAATTCACCTGTACCACATGTGTTTGGACTGTGGGGGAAACTGCAGCCCAACTTCACACAGAAACACCAACTGAGCCGAGGTTCGAACCAGCGACCTTCTTGCTGTGAGGCGACACCACTACTGCACCACATCATCGCCTACATTAGCTGTCAAGCCAGAAATCCTGATAGATGTAACTATGACAAAAGAGCCTAGCCAAAACTTCATTTTCCAAATCTACCGCTTTAAAACTATGTCCACCAAAAAACATCAAATTATTAAACCCTTACGGCTTGATTATTGTAAAATTGATTTATTAGCATTAAAACACACACTGATGTAATCTGATTGTCTTGTTTGATACATACACAACCATTATAAGTTCATTATTTGCTTGTGCAAATGCAAGTGTTTACTTAATTTACAAACCGAGGAAATGGAAAAAATTACAAAATATTTCACACAAAGTGTAGCTTATTTATAAACTAATGTCAAGAGGATCACATGCTCATGATTGATTGCAGTCGGTGCTACGTTATTTAATTTATGATTGACCAATCAGACGATTCCTAAGCCACTATAAACACCCTCAGTTCCATATCACAGCCATCTTCATTTTGAAGAATCCCCCCTTCCACCTCTACTCCTCCTCCCTTCCTAGATGGGTGGCACGATGGCCCAGTGGTTAGCACTGTTAACTCACAGCAAGAACGTCACTGGTTCTAGTCTTTACCAAGCCAGCCAACATTTCAGAATGGAGTTTACACGTTCTCCCCGTGCTCACGTGGGTTTCCCCCATGTCCACTGGTTTCCTCTCACCATCCAAAAAATTAAGTTAATAAACTAATCCAAATCAGCACTATAGACATGCTCCTAGTCAGTAGTTATCTCTTAGAGCAATCACTATCTGTTCATTAGCTACTACAGCAGGGGAGTTCTCCAGATCTACCTGAGCTCAAACTCCCCTCTCTCCTTGCAAACGGGAGGAGCTCGAGGATCAAAGGGACAGCATGCCAAGCTTTATAATCAATCATCAGTTAAGTGTGAACTCATGAAGGATACAAAATGTGATGCTTTTCAGAGCCTGATAAACAGCAGTTATGGGAAATGATCACGAATGAACTGCAAGACATCCTGAAGAAATACACCTTAGACTTCTCAAAAGAACAAATGAAGGTAAAGCACACATGGTGGATCATTTATTTTTAACTTAAACACGATGCATTCTCTGTGCTGTTTTCCTGCATTACAGTGATGTGACAAAAATATGACTTTTGATTTTGGCCAATAAACAAAATACCAACCGTCACAGGGAAACTGGTTGAACTTTGCAGCAAAATAAACTCATGTAAAATACACTCCTGAATGAGTCAACAAGTCAATGCTCTAACTGAATCAGTTGAGTAAATGATTCAGTTGCTGCTACTGTTCAACTCGTTTACATTTCACAAATGAAATGCTCTGCGGGTTCATCTGCCAAAGACATTTTTGGAGTCAGGCGATGGTCCAGTCACAAATATTATTGTATGTTTGTTTGATGAGCCGGTGTGTTTTGTGTTTTCGTAGATCTTCAATGACCCTATTCATGGCCACATTGCTCTGCACCCCCTGCTGGTGAAAATCACAGACACTCCTCAGTTTCAGAGACTCAGACACCTCAAACAGCTCGGAGGAACGTATCTGGTGTATCCCGGAGCTTCACACAACCGATTCGAGCACTCCATTGGGTGAGACAGATATACAATGCTACATTTTTAGGTATTTTAACAAAATAAATGATGTTGAAGGAACACTTCACTTTATTTAGTACTATAGGCTCATTTTACAGCCATGCAGATGAGTTTTAGCATTTTTTAAATTCATTCAGCCAGTCTCTGGGTGTGGCGGGAGCACTTTTAGCTTAGCTTAGCATAAATTATTGAATCAGATTAGACCGTTAGCATCTCACTCAAAAAACTTCACATTCTGCCCTAATAATCAGAGCACTTTGCTGCTGTAACAATGGCTGCAGCAGCAGAATAATATTAAGCACCACTGTTGTCCAGCTGGGGACTATTTTCAGGTGCTGCGTAATATCATTGTTCCTACTACAACCATGGTACGGCAGCAAAAATCCTTAACTATTATGCCAAAATGAGAGTATAGTTCCTTTAGACATATCAGCCTAGAAAAATAGCAACTTTAACATTTTTATTAAGCTTATAACACAATGTAAAAACATAAGAGTCAAGCTTTAAATAGGAAAATTATCCAAACTCTTTTTTTTAACAACATGCTAATGGTCTAAACTGATTCAATGGTCTATGCTAAGCTAAGCTAAGCTGAGCTAAAAGTGCCCTGCCAGACCTTGGGATCGGCTGAATGAGTTAAAAAAGGGCAAAACTCGCCTTTTTAACATGAAAATGAGGCTATTTAAGAATAAAAGCGCAGTGTTTCTTTATGAATCGTTTGAGTAGTTTGCAGGATTGGGTCATTTTGATCATGAACTGACGTCTTGTTTGTGTATTTCAGTGTGGCGTATTTAGCCGGACGCCTGGTCAAGAGTCTTCATGACAATCAGCCGGAGCTCAAAATCACCAAACAGGATTTTCTGTGTGTTCAGATCGCTGGTCTGTGCCATGATTTGGGTGAGGAGTAAGAATTCAAAAGTGAAAATCATGGAAATTTATGCAAATGATGACTGGAAGATTTAAATTGTAAAACAGTTTCAAGTAAACTTACTTGAGGGACTCACACTCACAGAAATAACGATACACGAGTTGTCACTGGGGTGTGCTACCTTTACAAAAGGTACACATTTGTACTTAAAGGGTCCATGTTGGTACCTCAAAGCATTTATTAGTGTCTACTAAATTTTAAGAGGAACACTTTTGTACTTTTTAGATACTAATATATACTCTTGAGGTAAAAAATATGGACCTTTTAGGTACAAATTTGTACCATTTCAAAAGGTACCACCCCAGTGACAGCTCGCATACCTTTATATCTGAGAGTGCAGATTTTACTAAATATACTACAGATTTTGCTGTTAATATTTTTTTTTTCTTTATATTTTTGTTCCCTGTGAAGCCATAAATGTGATTGAATCAGATATATATTGGCCAAAAGCCATGTTTACCAAAACCATAACATTTATTTATGTGTATAAAGTAGAAAAAATTAAGTTACTTTAGTATTTAATCCGTAGTATAAATCACAGTCCAGTAATTGATTTTTGACCACAAAGTTTGATATCAATATGATCAAGGTAGTTTATATACATTGTATGTAACAAAATCCAGTCTAAACTTGTTATTTGTAATCAAAGATTTTAAATGAATATTTTATAGCAATAATAGTAATATAATACTTTTTTGTGTCATTACTTAGTGGTTAAATGAGCATCGATGTGTGCATGTCAAATGGACTGAAATGATTTGCATTTGAGTTGTTTTTCTTTTTGTCATTTGACATCAAGGTGCTTGCTAGGTAGTGTACATGATAAAAAATATATACATGAAATGACTTTCTAATGGTGTAAATATTTTACAAAAAAGGTGTGTGTATTTTGTAGGTCATGGCCCACTTTCACATGTATTTGATGCCCTGGTTATTCCTGAAGCCAAGAAAATAAAGACAAGAAAAGGTAATGGCAACTTCAGTCATTCCAATGGCAAAAAAATCAAGATACCAAAATTTTTGTTGCTTTAACTTATTTTAATAAGTGAATCGATGTTTTAAAGTTATACAAAGTTTAACTTAATATTTTGAGTCAGTTTGACTGATGTAAGTTGAGGTGACTAGACAAGTTCATTTGATTCAACTAAAAAAAAAATAGGGCAAGATTTTTTTTTTTTTTTTTTTTATTGACAAACCTGCATTTAAACCTGCATTACTTATAAATGTATATCTGGTTAACTAACATAAAATATATTAAGTGCATAATATGTTTTACAAACCACCAGCTTCTGTTTCTCAGGTTTGCCTGATGATATCCCTGAAAGCTGGAAGGTGAGAATGAACACTTAGTTCAGGCACTGTTAAAAATGTAGCCTGATCTCACGAGAAAACATAAGTATTTTACGTTTTGCCAGTTTAGTGGCTAATTCGTACGAATTCGTACGAGTTCAGTCGTACGAAATGGTACGATTTTAAAAAGGAGGTCTGGCACCTGACCCCACCCCTAACCCCAACCGTCATTGGGGGATAAGCAAATCGTACTAAATTGTACGAATTAGACCGTACGAATTCATACGAATTAGCCACTAAATGAAAAAGTTACGAATTGCCGTGAGATTGTGTTGGTTTTCCATATTTTGTGATTCATGTTTTTATTTTTCCTCATTTATTTCTGCTTTTGAATCGCATTATGGGACCTTGATCTTTCTTTCCAACAACTTTTAACCTTGAATAGTTTTCTGCACATGTGTAATAATGTGCAGTGCTATATTGTCTGTGTTGGCGTTGTATATTACAACCTTCAGAAATATTCAGAAACCTTGAAATAAACTGTCAGCACATTTTCTGTTATTTTACACACTTATTTCTTTAGATATTATTATTTCTTGGACATAATATTATTTCAAACTACTTAAAAAGTCAATAAAAGTCACTTTGTTAAACTGTAGAGCAGAATTGTCAACATCAAAAGTGGACAGAGCAGAGATCAACATCCCATAATGCAATTCACCTTCGCAAATAAACACAAAACAATTGTGAACCACTTTATACAAAAACTGTTCATTAACAGATATTGTTCACAATATAACCAATGTCTGTCCTATATAATGTTGTTATGATGTATGATTTGTCTTTCGGTCTCTGCAGCATGAGCAGATGTCAGTGCTGATGTTTGACAGCATTGTGAAGAGTCTAAATGAGGAGGTGTTGAGGGAACATGGACTCACTGATAACGACGTCATCTTCATTAAAGAGTTAATCGAAGGGGCAAAAGCCTCAGATAATGAGGTATATAATGATATCATTAAAAATGGTAACACTTAAGTATATTCACGCCATTTTACTACTGGCTTATTATTAAGATATTAACTGTTTATTAACACTTAAAAACTATAATCTCATTTTGCATTCCTAATCCTGCCCAATACATAAACCTGACTACAACCTTAACTATTAATAAGCAGCTAATTTGTGTTTTATCAAGCTAAAAGTCTTAGTTAATGGTTTGTTAATAGTGTACATTCAGATAAAGTGTGACCATAAAAATGAATCAGCCGTTAGTGTAAAAAGCTGAAGTGAAACAGACATTTGGTTTTGTTTTCTTTTCAGTGGCCGTACAAGGGCAGAAATGTTGAGAAATCCTTCCTCTACGAGATTGTGGCAAATAAACAAAACGGCATTGATGTGGACAAATGGGACTATTTTGCACGGTAAATAGTTTAATTATAATAGTCATTGTAATACTATAGGACATATATAATATAATAAATTCATTCTAGTGTTTTCGATACTCTCAGATTTACAGCGCAACACGACAGCTTTTCCTCATTTTGTTATGTTAATAAAGACAGCTATAAACAAATGCAGGCGGAGCCAAATAGACATATATATTATTTATCCATTATTTGTTTGTTATATTTAATATCTGTTTTTCCAGAGACTGTCATCACCTTGGCATTCGAAACAGCTTCGACCATCTCCGACTGCTGAAATTTGCTCGAGTTTGTGTAGTGAATGGAAGAAAGCACATCTGCTTCAGAGACAAGGTGCAGGATACATCGCTTTCATTCTTAATGTAGATCAACATGCTATCTAGCTACACTTCATTTCAAAGATGAATTGAATTAAAAGTATGGAAAAAGTGGAGGCAGCAAAGTGTCAGCTTCATGCTGTATGGGATTTTAATCTTTCTACCAACAACTTTTAACATTGAAAAGTGACTTTTCTGAACATTTGTTTAAAGTCTGCAGCGCTTTATTGTCTGGGTTGGTGTTGTATATTACACTTGTTGTATATTATACATAATATAATTTCAAAGCAATAAAATGTCAATAAAAGTCACTTTGTTAGACTGTAGAGTTGAAACTTCAACATCAGAAGTGAACAGAGCAGATATCAACATCCCATAATTCAATTCACAACCGCAAATAAACACAAAACCCCTGAAAAGGTCAAGCTCCCTTTGGAAAAGTGTAAATAAACAGAAAACCAGCAATAAATCACAATCTATGAGCAACTTGTGTTCACATTCACATAACCTTTTACAGATGAATTCCCACAGCATAAAAGTGAAACCATTACCATTATTTAGACACTTTACTATTGATTTTTACTGAACTTTAGACACTTTATTTAGACATAATCAGGGCTTAATTTGTGCCGGAACACGCAAGATCCGGATCCGGCACCTCTGAAATCCAACACAGGCTCATTCTGAAAACGTAGTCCCATGGATGTTTCTGAAGACCGTGAATTACCAGCCTGATCTCACGAGAAAACGTAAGTATTTTACGTTTTGGCAGTTTAGTGGCTAATTCGTACGAATTCGTACGAGTTCAGTCGTAAGAAAATGTACGATTTTAAAAAGGAGGTGTGGCACCTGACCCAACCCCTAAACCCAACCGTCATTGGGGGATACGCAAATCGTACTAAAATGTACGAATTAGATCGTACGAATTTGTACGAATTAGCCACTAAATGAAAAAGTTACAAATTGCCGTGAGATTGTGTTGGAATTACATAGCTGGAGATACGTATGGCTGCATTTAATTTTTTACGCGAATGCTGCGGGGCGGTATGACGCCGTTCCTTTGGGCGCTTATAGCAGCTGACCGCTTACCTCGGTGTGGAGGGCTTTCCTGCCGCAATTAGTTTGTCCAGTTAGCTCGTCATGTATGTGGGCAAACTTGAAACACAGAGAGGAGTTGACCACAACGATGACCAGGTTCGAGTCCAGTGAAGAGCGGTTCCAGAAATCAGGTAAGACAAAAACAGAATCCAAAAAATAAAATGAATGAGTGAATAGCAGGGTGGGCGAAGAAGTGGCACAGTAGGTAGTGCTGTCGCCTCACAGCAAGAAGGTCGCTGGTTCGAGCCTCAGCTCAGTTGGCGTTTCTGTGTGGAGTTTGCATGTTCTCCCTGCGTTTGCGTGGGTTTCCTCCGGGTGCTCCGGTTTCCCCCACAGTCCAAAGACATGCGGTACAGGTGAATTGGGTAGGCTAAATTGTCCGTAGTGTATGAGTGTGTGTGTGTGTGTGGATGTTTCCCACAGATGGGTTGCGACTGGAAGGGCATGCATAAAAACTTGCTGGATAAGTTGGCGGTTCATTCTGCTGTTGCGACCCTGGATTAATAAAAGGGACTAAGCCTAAAAGAAAATGAATAAATGAATGAATAGCAGGGTGAGAATGTGGTAAAATCTGAAAACTTGGTAAAAATAAGATGCGGGCCTTTTCTGGACGGCTTTTTAAAATCGTTGGTTGGGTTTAGGGAAGTAAGCGCGTGGGCGGGTCAATCGGTAAAACTGGTTGGGTTTAGGGAGGGAGGAGGGTGGGTCAGTCGATTGGCCGGTCGCACAGTCAATCATTCTGTTAGTCAGACAGACGGTCGTTCGACAGCAGCCTCTGGTGGGACGTATTTCGCTGTCTCCAGAAATGTCCACGGGACCACGTTTTCAGAATGAGCCTGGGTTGCTGAAATCTGATCCAGCACCTCATTTTACTGATCCCCCTCCTCGACCGCCCTCCTCCCCCATCCGCTGTTTACTTTCACTTTCTTCCGCGATTCTCCAACCCTCTTCACTTTCGTCCACGACAACCCTGGCCAGCTCACTTTTGTCCGCGACACCCCTCCCCTTTCCACCGCACCGACCACCAACCCACCCACCCGCTCTCCACTTTCGTGTGCCATACCTCTCCATACTCGGGTAACATGTTGAATCCGTTGACCTGATCTGTTCTTGCAATTCAAAAATTAAGCACTGGACATTTATTTTAATCTTCTGTGTTCACCTGAACCCTTTTGAAAATCCCCCACCACATATCAACCACAAAACATTAACAATTCTGAGTGTGCCTCACACAGGTGAGTGGACTTTACAAACCACCTGTAGAAAACACTCTTTTTCATCTCTCTGACACTTTAACCAACACCAGTTCTGCCCATTTGCATAAGAGACTTTCTTACAAATTACTCCTTATTAAAACAACATTATGTCACATTTATGACGTGTGCTTCACGTAGGTGAGTGGGCTTGACAATCCACCTGTAGAAACACTCTATACCCCCCCCCCCACACCTCCTCTTTCCTAACCCTAGCACTTAACTCTATGAGCACTAACAGTTCCTTTGTATAATCAGCACTTGTTGTGTATATTGCCTCCTCTTGTTGAATCACTAAATGTCTCCTCAATTGGACAAAAGCACCTGCTAAATGACTAAATACATCAGATACTCCTGAATTTGGCTTTATAAAATCTGAAGCTTTGTGTTTTTATGTCTAACAGGAGGCTGATAATGTCTATGACATGTTTCGCACCCGATACACACTCCATCGCCAGGCCTATCAACACAAGATCGGGAATATCATTGAAGACATGTGAGTTTCTCTGTCTGTACTCAAGGTCTTTAACACCACACCTCCACCCTCCATCACTGATCCACTTTTACAGAGTGTTTCTCAAAAAATCAGAGGTTTACTGACATTTAAATAAAATCCTTCAGTTCAGTGATAATAATGCTCTTTTTTTATGCATCAGGTTTGCTGAAGCACTTCTACTTGCTGATCGTGACCTTCACGAAGATAGACCTGCAGATATGCTGAAAATCTCTGAAGCCATAAAGTCAGTGGAGGATTACAGCAAACTTACAGGTCAGCTCAAAACACTGATGAGCATATAAAAGCTATATATTGTGTTTAAACTACACTTTCAGAAATAAAGGTATGTGAGTTGTCACTGGGGTGGTTCCTTTTCAAAAGGTACACATTTGTACTTAAAGGGTCCATATTGGTACCTCAAAGCATTTATTAGTGTCTACAAATTTTAAGAGGAACACTTTTGTACTTTTTAGGTACTAATATATACTCTTGAGGTATTAATATGGACCTTTTAGGTTCACATTTGTACTTTTTGAAAAGGAACCACCCCAGTGACAGCTCTCGTACCTTTATTTCTGAGAGTGTACACTATAGAAGCAGATATGGTACAAATTAGTCACTTGTAGATACCCTAATACAATATCATCCCAGTAGAAGTATAAAGTAATCCTTAGTAATATTATTTGAGTCAAAGTACTTGATTTTTAATTTACTTGCTTATTAGAAGTAAATATACTTACTGATCAATGTTTAATTTGCAAGAAAGTTGAATTACTGAAAATTGTCATGGTCAGAAACCACACTGATAATTCATGAAAACCCAAGTGAAAGCATGTGAACCCCATTTAGCTCAGTAAAATCAGTGAATCTTTTACTGCAGAGTCAATCTTAACGGATCGTTTGAATCATTTAGTCATTTACTGAAGACTTACTCTGAACAGATCAATTGAATCAGTGAATCATTTAATGGGGACTCACTTTGCAAAGTCATTTGAATTAGTGTGTCATTTACTAGAGACTCACTTTGAAAAGATCATTTGAATCAGAGAATAATTTACTGGAGACTCAGGCTGCGTCCGAAACCGCCTACTACTCAGTAGGTGCTGCATTTGAATTTAAGCGTACCACTCGGCTGTTTGAAAAGTGCATTCTATACAGTATAAATGTGAAAAGTATGAATGGAATTCGGACGTACTACATCCGTCATTTCGTCATGGTCACGTGACCTATCTGTGTCAGTTGCGTTTCTTCACTCCCATTCATGAATTCGCTCGCAGGGCATCATGGGATAGCGCAGCATGCCTGGGATGCACACTCCAGAATCTCACCGGTAGCAGTAAGTCATCCGGGTACTTCTCGAATACTGATTTTCGAATTGAATTCAGACATACTACTCGGCTCACATACTGATTTTAGCATACTGTATAGTATAGAAGTATGCTGTTTCGGACGCAGTCTCACTCTAAACAGATAATTTGAATCAGTGAATTGTTTACTGGAAACCTTCATTTACACCCACATTGTTTCTTTATTGCTATTCACTGCCCTATGTATTGAAAGGGTTAGCTCATCAAAAAAGTATACAATTTTATTATTAATAACTCACCCTAGTGTTGTTCAATCCCCAGAAACTTTTGTTCATATTGAAATCACAAATTCCGATATTTTAGATGAAATCCTGGAGCTCTCTCATCATTCATAGACAGCAAGGGTACCGCGATGCTCAGAGACAAAAGAAAAAGACCAAAAACATTGTCAAAACATTCAGAGGTTCAAACTCAGCAGAGTACTGTTGCCCATAGTAAATGCACATGCTGATCTGTTATTGTTATAAAAATAATTACATTTTTTCATTATTTTGCCAGATGAGATCTTTGAGCAGATCTTGTCCTCCACCTCTCCTAATCTGAAGGAATCCAGAGACATCCTGGACAAGATCATGAGAAGAAAACTGCCAAAGTTTATCGGAGAAACTCGTCTGACTAAGAAAATCAAGTCAATGGTGGGACAGAAACTGAAAAACATACATTATATACAGGACTTGATGTTAACATTTTTGATCAGCAGCCACTGTGGCTAGTAGATTTCCAACATTACTAGCTACTCGCCATTTTCACTAGCCACAATTTTGTTGTTGGGAAAACATATTTTATATGCATAAATTTGACTTTGCCGAGCTAATATTACTTGATTAAGATTTTGTGTTATTTCTACATGCCTCCTCTATCATTTAACTTTTTTGTGGTTGTGACCTTGCTCAATGAGCATGAGCAAATGTGTTGTGGTTTCACAGTGCAATTAGTTTTAATTGACTTTTAGGGCTCAACACTAAGGATTTACATTTTTTTTTCTCTGGCCACACCAACTAATTATTTCCTTGCAATAAATGTTAAATAATGGGTCAAAATAAGCTAAATATAACTTTTTATTCAACAGAAATGTTCTTAAAAACAATTGGCATTCAAAAAAATTATTCTCATGTATCTAGAACTAGACAGCAGTCTGTTCAGGCTGAAGGTCCCCGATCACCAGTTACTAGTAAATGGAGGGTTAATCTCCCAATGTTACTGTAAAGGATGATAATTAAACCACATAAAGCAAAAGAAACCAGTCAAAGTGGCTAGTGGGGTTGTCTGTCTGACCTGCCACAGGTGAAATCTACCCGCATTTGGCAGGTGTTAATGTCATGCCCTGATTATATAGTATAAATAAACTTCTAAAACTGCGTGAAATCTTTTATTTCAGGAAGAGCTTAAAAATAGCTGGAAGGCAGCAATAGAGAAGTACAAACCAACAGACCCTAATGTTAACCTGACGACTGAAGAGCTGCCGGTTTATGTGAGTTATACATTTAAAGACAAAATTATTCACCCTCCTGTAAATTTTTTTTCAAAATATATTATAAGTGTTTTTGGTAGAGAAGTTTTATCAACACATTTCTAATCATACTAGTGTTAATAACTCATCTCTAATAACTGATTTATTTTCTCTTTGTCATGATGACAGTAAATAATATTAGACTAGATATTCTTCAAGACACTTCTATACAGCTTAAAGTCACATTTAAAGGCTTCACTAGGGTAATTAGGGTAAAGTTAGGGTAATTAGGCAAGTCATTGTATAACAGTGATTTGTTCTGTAGACAATCTAAAACAAATATTGCTTAAGGATAATAATATAATAATAATAATAATAATAATAATAATAATATTCACCACACATACATAAAATTTTGTAAGATTGAAAAAATAATAATTCTAGCCAAACTAAAAGAAATGAAACTTTTCCAGGAGAAAAATATAATAGTGAATAGTTGTAAGTGCTCTGTTAAACTGCACTTGAAAAATAATTGAAAAATAATTACAATTTCACAGGAGGGCAACTAATCTTTGTATATTATATCTATAAATAATGTCTATACCAAACACTTAATCTCTACCTTCGTACCTTTAAATCTTTACAAAGTATTTAATCTCCTATTATGGTAGGTGGTTGATCTGGATCACGGCATGAAGGACAAAAACCCCATTGAACATGTTTATTTCTACAGCAAGAGAAAACCCAATGAAGCTTCAACCATTGAGGATTATCAGGTAACATCGACACTTTTTGGCCGATTTATATCCAGGGAATTACAAAAATGTATACATGGTCATTTATTAGTTACATTAGATACATTTATTAGTCACATAGCTTGAATATTATGAATACTATATATATACACCATATATATATATATATATATATATATATATATATATATATATATATATATATATATATATATATATATATATATATATATGGAAAGTATACTGTATGAAATTATTTGATATCATCGCATGCAGTGATTTATGTATTTTTTTTTCTAATTTATTTCTGCTTTTGAAATGCATTATGGGATTTTGATCTTTCTTCCCACAACTTTTAACCTTGAAAAGTTGTAAACAGTGACGTTAATGAACCTGTAATAGTGTGTAGTGCTGTATTGTCTGGGTTGGTGTTGTATATTACACTACAGAAACCTTGTAATGAACTGCAGCACACTTTCTGTTATTCACTATTCACTTCTGTTATTTCTAACTTATTTCTCTAGATATTATTTCTTATACATTATATTGTTTCAAGTGACTAAAATGTCAGTAAAAGTCATTTTGTTAAACTGTATAGTTGAATTATCAACATCCCATAATGTAATTCACAACTGCAAATAAACACAAAATACAAAAACTGTTTATTAACATATTTTGTACAGTGTATTAATCAGCATAATGTACATCCAGCTGGTTCTTATAGCAGAATAAAAATTAATAACTCATCATTAATTAGTGACTACTTTTACATGAATAATTGATTATTGATTCAGATCAATGTTTTGTGTCTAATAGTTTAGTTTTGTGAAGAGTATTCATGTAATAATCAGCATAATGTACATCCAGCCGGTTATTAACAGAGAATGCGAGGCACACCAACCTGCCTTTTGTTGATAAGAAAAAATGAAGTGCACTGCGATTTTTATTTTGCTAGGCATCCACTGAATCAGCTGCATGAGCTGCATGTGCGTGAGCTCTGCTGTTGATATTGCTATATTTAATAATATTGTGATATTCAGGATTTGTGAAGTCATACAGCTCTGGATAACTTAAAACAGTAGCTACTAGACACTCCTCCATCTTTAAAAGTCTGCGTAGTCATCTTGACAACACTGCTGTTCGTCAGTGGAAACTCCGCCTTTGCTTTTATAATTAGATTGGAAAACTGAAAAAAAAAGATGCGACTGATGTAGCGCACTTTATCCGCTCCGTTTTTTTTTTCAACTGCAGATGCACAGAATGCAACGGCAAGGACTCAAGGCGCATAAGCAACATGCAAAACCAAATGAAAAACTGTATCAACACAAAAAGCGAGTTTGGTGTGATCAAGACCTTTCAGTGTTGTACAACAGTTGCTGATCAATCGGTCAGGCTTTATTCTGCGATAACAACCGACTGGATGTACTTTATCTCTTACTTAGTCTTTTGGTAAACAGAGGCTTGTTACTTTGCCTTGGTCAATCCTTTGGTCATTCACTTCAGGAGCAAAATGTGGGGAAAAAAGCATTGCGTTTGTCTTGTATTGACAGCTGTCCAGTTTCCTGCCAAACAAGTTTAATGAAGAGCTGGTCAGAGTTTATTACAGAGGATCTGGTCCTGTCAAAGAGGAGGAGAAGAAGATGGAGGAGGCCGAGAAGTGTTTCCAGACCTGGTGTTGATCCAGTCTAAGCCTCCAGGCAGCGCAGTAATTAACACGTATGTGTGTGTATATATACACACACTGTTAACGAATTTAGTAAATGACAGAGTATTTAACTTATAACATACAGTTATGCGGTATGTTACTGTATTTTAAAGTTGCATTGTGAAAATGACTATATTTTACACTAAAGATATACAATACTGTAAATACATATACAGCCAGATAAACGGTGCTGTAAATGTAAACAGTATTTTTGCTGCAATCAAATTACAATAAGTTACTGTAGTTTCTACAGGTCATTGTTAACAGTGTGTATATATATATATAAATATAAATCAGTTAATTATGATCGTAACAATTTTATCAGCATACTTATTATTGATAAAGTGTATCCCTTATATGAAGGAGAGAGAAAAAAGTTGTCTCAGCTATAAAAGATGTCTTATATTATGCACTGCAAAACAAGACTAGTGAATAAACCCATTGGAACAGTTAAGATGTCTTTGCTTACTCGTTATAATTAAGCACAGTTCGTTTACTTACTAATTTTAACCAGACTGAGATTAATTATGAATGAGAATAAGCAGTTTAGATCAGGGGTTCCCAAACTTTTCAGTCCATGACCCCCAAAATAACAACGCCAGGGACTCACGACCCCCACCATTTTCAGGCGAGGTTATAAACATACAAATGTTAATTGCAACTGCTGACACACGTCAATAAGCCAATATAAACATGAGCATACTGAAAACACAAACAAAGTGCAGCACTGTAACTTTATAATGTTTATAGTCATTAATATTAACAATAATTATAATAATTTCTTACATTTATGTAGTGCTTTTTTTGGGCACTCAAAGCGTTTTACACACAATGGCCGGGAATCTCCTCATTCACCACCAGTGTGATGAAGCAAATTATGATATGGGGAGGGTTAGGAGGACATGATGGACAGAGGCCAGTGGGCAGATTCTTAATGAGCACAGAGAGTCAGGACCTCAGTTTAACATCTCATCCGAAAGACGGCGCTCACTGAGCAGTATAGAGTCCCCATCGCTATACTGGGGCATTAGGACCCACACAGGCCGCAGGTTGGGCGCCCCCTGCTGGCCTCACTAACTCCATTTCTGGCAGCAACCTAGCTTTTCCATGTGGTCTCCCATCCAGGTACTGACCGGGCGCAGCCCTGCTTAGCTTCAGTGGGCCTCACCTCACGTAATGAGCCTGTGAACACAATGTTCACAGCAAAAGTCTATTCTTGCTTTAACTTTGAAGACCACCACTTGGAGATCATCCTCCATGTTCAGTCGCCTCTATTTATTATTAATGTAATTGAGTGTCATAAAGATGTCAGAAAGTTTTGGCTGGTGCTGTAAAATCAATCTGGTTCAAATGACGATATCTCTCCACACCACCACAAGTGTGCAGATCCACTTGGATGATGCTCCAGCAGCCACAGGACAACAGCGCCAGTGCTTCACCACACGCCAGCAATAGGTGGAGTGGAGAGACTGTGATGGAGCCAATTCAGTGGATGGATATGATTGGAAGGCCATCATGGGTATGGCAAAGAGGGAATTTGGCCAGGCCACCAGGGTTACACCCCTACTCCTTACAAGAGCCTACTGCACCACTGCTTTGCCTAGGTTTTATATATGTGACATAAAAATGGCCAATTCCCTATATTATATGTAAATATAATATAGAAAAAACAGCAAAGGCTCTCACTTATTTGCCATAGTTAAATTCCATAACATGCCAATTACATGTGATACCAATTTCAAGTGTTCGCACATATGTTTCTTGCAAATTGTTTTGTTTCTAGTTATTGCCTTGATAATAGAGAATATGAGCTAGGCATCATTTGTGGCTGTTGCCAAAGTGAGATATGCGCTATATAGGAGACAAATCGTGTACAGTATGTACATATAGGGCTTATATGTTGATATGGCCTGTATATGACCATATATATGCACCTCAATTTTGCCTATATGTTTCATATATACTCATATATGCAGTGTATATATGATCATGTATGTGCATATATACTGCATATAGGTTTCATATGCGCATATATCCTCATATAGGTTCTTTCCATGTGGGCTGTAAAAACCCAATATGTTAAGGTGATTCAAATCATTTGAGGAAATCGCTAGCAACAAACCATTTGAGTTAAAAAAAAATAATAATAATCTATGTGAGTACTGTGAACCCCGTTTTAATTTACTCATTACATTCAAGACAAAAGTTCAAAACTCTTTTCAAACGAGTAGAATTGACTTTCAGTCCATTTTGAGTTAACTACACTCTTTTAATTGGATGAAGTCGACTGTTGGGTTTTACAGTGTAGTATGAATCAAATTTAATGAGATTATATCAGATTTCTGGATGATATCCTTGACTCCATTCGAGGCATTCACTCCACTATTTGCAAAAATTTAAATAAAATCATCAACACAGAGTATTTATGGCAGTAAATAAAGCAGATTTACACCCACTTCTGTTTTACTGAACCCCCCGGATGCACATAGCAGAGCAAAAACACATCTACAAAACAACAAAACACAAACTCTAATAGAAAAATGACTTCTGTAAGCATGATTTGTTGTTCTAAATAAAGCCGAGGATGTTTAGATTTAAAGTTTGAAGATGACTAAAGTTGTGTTTGACTACATAGATAAGACCTTAAGACCAATGTCTGAAATTTTCAGAAAAGTTACCACTATTATATACTGTACATCTGTCTTGCTTTCTTTATTCTCTTTTACTTTCGCTTTCAGTTTTCGCTGTCTGATGTACTCCTTCTAGTGGAGCAGAGCGTTATTACATTCTCAAAACAGATGCGAATTAAAATCCATAGAATAAACTCAAACTAAAAACAATCACTAAAACAAAGTATAATGAACGGAGTTGTTCAAAAGAAACTATGTGATTTTGTTATAAGACATTATTTGACGATAAAAATGTGCGTGGATGAACAAACCAGCATTAAAGTGTGTGAGTAAGCGACACTCATGGGAAAGCACTCACCAAAAACAGTTCTAGTCATGGCACACACTCACCACTAGATGGACTCACCGAGCCGTATATCAGCACTGTCCTTGCAGTGGACTGATGCTTTATTTCACCTACAAAAAAACTGTCAGTTGTTGTAGAGACTAGAGAATATGTGCACCTTGCATTAAAAATCCATGTCTGGAAATAAGAGATTATTTAAGTTTACTCTTTTCGTCAACAGTAACAGCGTAAACTAGCTAAAAACTAATAATATGAATAATATACAAATAAAAAAGCCTTAAAATCACAAAACAAGAGACTATCCTGAGCTCTGATGTCTGAAACAGCTTTTAAAAACAGATTAAAAAAACAAGAATAATAACAAATAAGAATAAGAACTGACGAGGGAAATGAGCTCAACAACATTTACAGTTTATACAAACACCATATTGCATTTAAAACACAGTATACTGACTATAGAATAAGAAAATCAGGAAGAATTCACTGCCAAAACTATTTTTTAATTCCACACACACACAACAATCAAAAACAGGTCTGGATTAAATCTAATTATTAAAAGCAAAATGAAAAAAAAAAATTAACAGTAAACCCCTCAAAACAGCATCAAGTTGCAGAAAAGCTAAGAATATGAACATCAAAAATAAAATAAACCCTGAAAATCTTCAACTGGTGACTATATTGATGTCTAAAATAGCAGAAAGACAAGCAACCTAAAATAAAGGACAGACAATCGAAGCCATTTCAACAACATTCACGTTATGCAAACACCACAATGCATTTTAAATATATATTGTTGTGCATAATAAACATATTATTAGGTAACACTTTACTTGAAGGGGTGTTCATAAGACAAGAAACCTTTATAATCATGACACGTGATGAATGTTAATGAGATTTTATGCATGCTTTTGACAACAGTCATTAAGTGTAATTTGCTCTGTTATGACATTTTAAATGTTAAGATCATATCGTTTCAATGTCAACTTGAAATAAACAAATACATCACAACCTGTTTTTGTCTTTGTCATGACAACTTAATGTTACCATTGCAACAATACTTGTCATAAATCTATCATAAACATAAACATTTGGTCATTTTGTAATAACCATTTTAAGTGTTTAGCATGCATAAACCCATACATGGAATAAAATTTATAAAATGTTTTTGTTAAAGAAGAGACTTAGTTCTATGTTTTGAAATTTATATGGTCATATATTCTTATCCATTTAATATACAGTTGTAGTCAGAATTATTGCCCCCCATTGAATTATTATTAATATTTTTTAAATATTTCCCAAATGATGTTGAACAGATTCAGGAAATGCTCACAGTATGTCTGATAATATTTGTTCTTCTGGAGAAAGTCTTATTTGTTTTATTTTGACTAGCATATATGCAGTTTAAATTTTTTTTTAAAAAATATTTTAGGATCAAAATTATTAGCTCCTTTAAGCTTTATTTTTGTTTTTGATAGTCAACAAAACAAACCATCATTATACAATGACTTGCCTAATTACCCTAACCTGCCTAGTTACCCTAATTACCCTAGTGAAGCCTTTAAATGTCACTTTAAGCTGTATAGAAGTGTCTTGAAGAGTATCTAGTCTAATATTATTTACTGTCATCATGACAAAGAGAAAATAAATCAGTTATTAGAGATGAGTTATTAAAACTATATGATTAGAAATGTGTTATAGAAATCTGCTCTCTGTTACACAGAAAATGGGGAAAAAAATAAACAGGGGAGCGAATAATTCTGACTTTAACTGTTTTCTGAGGGCCATCGAATTAAGGTGAAAATGTTGAAAAATTGAGACTTTTTAAAAAAATTGTTTTCAAGGAAAGAGTTAAACTTTTAGACAGAAACTTCTATTGCAGTGATGTATAAAACTGTGAAGGCCCATGGTGGAATCAGATTAAAAAAAAAAAAAAAAAAAAATCTTAATCTTAGCAGACGTTTCAGTTTGAACCTGTTCAGCTACATATTCTTTAGTTGTTGTTTTTTTTTTTTATTAGTTTTTTTTTTTTTTGGGGGGGGGGGGTGGCAAGTCTATAAACTGAACAAAAAGCAGAAATGTAAAAGGAAAGCTATGAGACATCTCAAAGCAAAAATTACAAAAATCTTTGAATTCTCAAAAAAACGAGTTGGTAAAGAAAAAGATAGTAAAGTAACGCTTGTCTGCCCTAAAAGATCCGAACTAGAGAATCTTAAAGAGAAAAAAAAAAAAATTTATTCATGACACACATTTAGATTTAAAAAGTAGTCTCTAATTTTTTGTTTAACTTGTTTGCATTCATTTCTTTTTAGAAAATATATAGAAATATATATATATATATATATATATATATATATATATATATATATATATATATATATATATATATATATATATATATATTTCAGCATTTGTAAGTCAAATAAATTCATGCATTTTTTCAAATCATCCCATGTGTTGACCAGGAGGTCATGGTTCAGCTGGTAAACAAGGTATCTTGTATCTTATTTAGCATATTATTAGCATTAACTGTTTTACAATGTAAATTGTGTCAAAGCAGCTTAACATAGATGAAGAAAAGAGAGCAAAAGTCATATTATTTTAAATTGTGGAACATTCCAGCACATCGGGAAGGCAGGAGAGTAGAGTTGAATACTAGTGTTATTCTAGTTCAATTAAAACTGATTAATTCAGTTTAGTTCAGTTAAATGTAATGCTTATGTCACTGCAAAGAAATCAACACTGAAGAGCAAATCCACCAATGTGCAGCTCCACAAGTCACAATCCAAGTGAGCCAGTTGCGAGGAAGAAACTGCACTCACGGTCTATATGCACAGCTAGTGTTTTTCAGCCATCGAATAACTTCTAGTGAAAGGATTATGTGAATATTTTTAAATTCATAAGGTTCTTTTTACAGCATCACTGATTTATTGCAAAAAAATATAATCAGTTAAATGGACTTAAGCATTCATTTAGTTGTTGAAGCGTAAAACGAAATGAAAAGCCGCTTATACACAAGCACCGTCAGGAGTAAAATACATTTCCATATGCAGAACAATAGAATTGATTTTAGTGTTTCTTGTCCAGTTTTTATATCATATGTAAGGCAGTGAAGATGAGTGATTTTTAAAGAAATCAGATCTTAAATGTGGTGATTTCATAACGCCATGAGAAGCTTACTGAAAATTAAAAGTGCCTGTGCGGATATCACATTGATAAAAATGTGATAAAAGAAAAAACCTTGAGAAAAACAAGGCACTGCCAGTTCTCCTCTGGCCTAATGTCTTGTGCAGAGCTGCAGTCTGGATGTCTGAAAAATTCTAGAAATAACTAAATATACATTAATTAAATTAAAAATATAAAAATATACACTTTTAAAATTTTATTTATCCCCATTCAAGTGTTGATAAAACATAAAACAAAATTAGTAAAAAATTTGATTTATCTTTTTGATAAATTATTAAAATAAAATAAATTATTATAATAAAAAAACATTCTTAGCAGAAAATGTTTTGAGGGCCGTCAAATTTAGGTAAAAATCATCAAAATAGCGGGCGATGGCTGGATACTATTAAAAGAAATGCTTTCAGGGAAAGAGTTAAACTTGACAGAAACTTCTATTGCAGTGATGTGTAAAAGTGTGAAGGAAAACAGATCTTAACACAGAACCTGTCTGACTTTACTTCAGTGAAGTAAACCAGAGATTGCTTTATTTTTGTGAGTTCTTGCAAGAAACATTCTTTATCTTTAATTTGAACCAGCTCAGCTGCATATTTTTTTATAGGTGTTGCTGTTTTTCAGGACACATGTCTCACGATAACTGACAAAAACCCAGATAGCAAAATCTGTAAGGCCCATCTCTGGAACATAACCTGACATATGTCCCACCTTCATCACAGTGAAAAAACACAGTTGCTGCTGGAGATCATTTAAACCATCAATGTCTCACATGATGCAATTAGATATCCTAACAGTACAGAGAATACAACAATATTATGTAGAGAAAAGACAATTTCAGTATAAATAAAGATAATAAACAGTGGAGCTCATTCTGATTTTGATTTGATTCTGTACTTAATATAAATTTCACCAAAGTTGGTAATGAAAGAGATAATAAAGATAATTTAGGTATGTTTATGTAAAAAAAAAAAAAAAGAAAGAAAAAAAACGGACTGCATCTGCAGTCATGGTATGTCAGCAAAGTTCCTTTATTATTAGGCCAGAATGAGAGTATAGTTTCTCTAGCCATATCAACCAAGAAAATGACAACTTACTTCTATCTAGTATACGATGCAATTACAGAAAAATCAAAAGAGAAAAATCTTAAATAAATTTAATGTGAATGTCAAGCTCGCTTCATCAATCTGCACAAGGTTTAGGATGGAAAAGCGCAAGTGTTTTATGTGTGTATGTACGTATTATACACTATATTTGTTGAAAATGCACTATTACTATTTTTGTCAAAAATGCTGCATTTATTTTATAAATGCTGGAAGAGAAAGAGATTTTTTTTGTTTTTACAATTTTGTTAACTCAACATTGCAACTACATGCTAACTGATTTTCATCAGAGGATTGATTGGCATGTAGCATTAGGCTTTCTGCTTAAAGTTACAATTTACCCAAAGACATAAAATATTCTGTCATCATTTACTCATCCTACACTTGTTTCAAACCTGATTGACTTACTTTCTTCAGCAATTAAAATCTTCAATACTCAATGTAAAATCACGATTTCTGAAAACTACTAAAATCTCGTTTTAGTCATTTCCATAAATCATGGTTTTGTTTTTTAAATTATTACATTTTTTAATTAATTTTTATTTTTATTTTTTGCAACTGTCCTCTTCAATACACAACATAAAATATAATATAAAAAATAGCTATCTGTTTTTGCTGTCTTAAAACCTGAGTTGGCAGTTTTGACTGGTCTGTAAATATTTTTGTCTCATATTGATTAACTATGTCAAAGTTACTAATTAGTCAAATGAAGCCAATGAAGTATAGGTATTGAAAAAACTATCGAAAAAGTAAATATAGCTTAAACGGGCTAATAATATTGACCTTAAAATGGTGTTTAGAAAATTTAAAACTGCTTTTATTCTAGCTGAAATAAAACAAATCAGACTTTCTTCAGAAGAACAAATATTATCAGACATGCTGTAAACATTTCCTTGCTCCGTTAAACATCATTTGGGAAATATTAAAAAAAAAAATCTAAAAATAGGGGGGCTAATATTTCTGACTATACACACACACACACACACACACACACACACATACATACATACATACAAGCACAGTTTTGTGCATAGATAATTTTGGGATACTTGCAATAGTGATTTGAAGATGGAAATAAAAGCTAGATTATAAACGCTAGGTTATAAAATATAAAAGCTAGGTTATAGGTTGTAAACCATGCAAGTTCATTAGAACACAAGAGCTTCTCGGTCCCGCAGTTTCACTGAAAAAAGTGTTGCATGCAGAACTGTTGCAAACAATTTATTTGTGTTGAATTTAAACAAACAAATTAAATTATGTTCAACTTAAACAATTTGTTTGTTTAAATTCAACACAATTAAATTGTTTACAAACAATTGAGGTAAAAAAAATTAAGTAAATCCAAGGAATCATCTTTGAATATTTTTTCAGTGTGTGTGTGTGTGTGTGTGTGTGTGTGTGTGTGTGTGTGTGTGTGTGTGTGCGCGCATATGTATTTATTTAATGGGATGGACCCAATACTTCCTCTTTCTTTTTCTATTTTAAGCAAAGCAAAGACGACAAAATCATCTTCACTAATCGAACACAAAATATTTTGTATTCTTTGGTCATTTTTTTCGCAAAAGTTCATCAACTTGCATCGGTTTCGCTTTTTCGGATGCTAATACTAAAAAACGCATACAAAAAGAGAGAAAAAGAAAGAGCACTGCAAGTAAAAGAGACTTCTAAAATGGCACCAAAAATTACAGGTCAGTGAACTCTATTACATCCACTGTAATTAATCCATAAGAAAAGTAATCTCATTATGGACACACTAATAGGCTACAATGTGTTTACCTAAACACAAAATAATAATAATTCAATGTTTTAAAAGCAGGAAGCATAAAAGAGATCGCATAATAAGCTATACTTAATATTCGGCTATACTCAATATTCAATAATTACATATTAGAAGGATATGATTAATTATGAGCACATACTTTTTAAGAGGCTTATTAATCATAAAGAATGAGGGTTTTTTATTCTTCAGAAAGTGAAAAAAGCACACATTTTCCTGTAAGGGGTATAGCTAGGTAGGGTGGGGTATGGCAATAGAAAATACAGTTTGTACAGTTAAAAATCTATAGAATGTTAAGAAGAATATGGAATGTCGCCACAATTCACAAAAAGACGTGAGAAAGAGAAATAGTGCTCCGGTTTCCCTCACAGTCCAAAGACATGAAGGTGAATTGGGTAGGCGTAGTGTGTGTGTGTGTGTGTGTGTGTGTGTGTGTGTGTGTGTGTGTGTGTGTGTGTGTGTGTGTGTGTGTGTGTGTGTGTGTGTGTGTGTGTGCGTGTGTGTGTGTGTGTGAGTGAGTGAGTGAGTGAGTGAGTGTGTGTGTGTGTGGATGTTTCCCAGCGATGGGTTGCGGCTGAAAGGGCATCCGCTGCGTAAAAACTTGCTGGATAAGTTGGCGGTTTATTCTGCTGTGGCGACCCCGGATTAATAAATGCCGAAAATAAAATGAATGAATGAATTAAGAAAGCTTGTTTGCTATCAATGTGAAACTTTGTGTCTATGTATTGTAGGAGATCTGAGGATTGTCATGTTAGGAATGACTGGAGCTGGAAAGAGTGCAACTGGAAACACCATCCTAGGCATGGATGTGTTCGAAGAGGACCTGAGTCCAGGGTCAGTTACTCGTCAATCCGTGAAAAAAATGGCAAGAAAAGGAAGCCGGATGGTCTCGGTCATCGACACTCCAGGTCTCCAAGACTCATCCGCAAATGAAAGGGAAGTAAAGGATGAAATAAAGACGTGTTTGGAACTGTCTACTCCAGGTCCTCATGTGTTTCTGCTGGTCATCAGAGCAGATGTAAGGCTGACAGATGAGGTGAAGAAAACCGTCCGATGGATTCAAGACAACTTTGGGGAAAAAAGTGCACGTTACACAATTGTTGTGTTCACTCATGTTGATTCGCTTACCAAAAGCCTGAAAGATCATATTGAAGAGAGTTTAGAAATGCGAGAGATTGTTATGACCTTTAGTGGCAGATATCACGCATTCAACAACAAAGACAAAAGTAATAAACTTCAAGTAGATGAGCTGCTGGATGAGATGGATGACTTAGTGATCGGAAATAGAGGGAATCACTATACTACTGAGATGTTTAATGAGGCCCAATGGAGGCCTAACAATAAAGAAAACAATAACTATAGCAAAGTTGGAATTGCTTTTGGATTGGGAATAGCAGTGACAGCAGCAGCTGTAGTTGTAGTAATGAAGAAAGGCAGTGACTAAAATGGAAACCAAACATTTTTACTTTTTCACAAGTAGACTGTAGATTTCCTGCAGTTTTATTTCAGGGTTTTGGGTATTAAAGATTCGCTCCACTTCATAAACCAGAACAGTTCGCAAAAACTTTAACTCACTTTAAGTGTTTGAGAGTTGTGGTAGTAGCTTATACCCATTGACATTTACTTCTAGAGGAGGGGAGGATAGGAAGGGGTAATATTATTATCATTTGCAGCGATTGTTGTATTCTTTTTGTTTCTTTGTTTTTTTTTTTTCAACTTGATTTTTGGTTGAAATAAAGGCATTAATTTAGAAAATAAATATGAACATTTTAAACTGATGCTTGAGTTTGTATTAACTACTAGCGTGAGGGTGCACAAAACTGGTATAATTGCATGATTAAAATATGTGAAGTTACACCTAAAGAAAGAACAATTTTCTGACTGGCACTTTTAGTTTAGGCTGAAACTAGGCCATGGGACATATGAACTGATAAATCACCAAATGAATTGGTCAGTTTTATGTTTAATCACTCATGTTTTAACACGCAAAAATAACGCGCTATACAAGCAGATATAATTTCCGCAAAGCCTCAGACTCTCTTCTCGTTCATTTCAACTTTTACACTACATTCATGATTAATATACAAAGTGTTAGCATGCAGAAAATAAAACAATATTTCCAAAGTTCAAAATAAGTGAAGTCTCGGCTAAGAGCCAGGCAGTCGAAATCAGCTCGCACGTTCCAACATAGAAATCTGAGGTAGAGCAGTATGCAATCTTAAAATATAGGCCTATGTCTTATGTTATATGCAGTAACATTCACTCACACACTCACTTTTATTCAGCTTATTTTCTGTTTTTTCAGGGGTCAAATGAACCGCTCTGTAATTTAGTGGCGCGATAGCCGACTTAATTTCCCGTTTGGCGTCAACCCAGCATTAGTTTTATTGTGGGAAACAGACTACACTCTGTATTTTGCACATTTTTTTGACCTACTTCTGTTTGTTCTTCTTCTTTTTTTCTTAAAAATACCTGACACTTAAATTCACAAAAAATACCTTAGATTGCCTCACAAATAGGAATCAATATTTTTTATCTAACAATCAATGAAAATGTAAATTTCCGTCAGTCCACCAGTTTCATTTTCATATGTTCCAACATATCACGCGGCAAAAAATTACCGAAAAAGCAAATTTCACTGCAAAAGAAACCAAGGCCTGGCCCTGTTGGCACAGGGCTATGCTCCATAATGATAGAAGTGTTGCGAACTTGCAATAAAGTTAATTGTGAAAAAACAGAAGAAGGATGTTGGCTAAAACTAAAATGACAGATGAGTTTGCTATAATTTAGCATAGGCCTATATTTTTACAGTTTCAGCTGTTCTTTAGCACAAATGTTGTTAATAAAGATATGTTGAGCCATTAAATTTTTTGAAAGATGTCTGAAAATGAGAAATTGAATTGTGCTTTTATTAATTTTTATGAGCATGAAAGTTTTAAATTGCACTGTATATACTATAATGAATAATGTGTTAAACAGGTTTCGGTTATTTTTTACGTAAATGCTGCAATGTTAGAATATAACATAGAATATAGAATATATTAGAATATAGAATATATAATATAACATTTATTAATTATAAATAATTAATAAAAACAAAACATGCAGTAAAACTTAGGCTACTATAAGCCTTTTAATGTACGTAATGCGTTTCAGCAGACTAGATCGATAATTGTGTTTTTCTGTATTATAATTACCCAATTTTTTTTTTAAAACACAGTGATTTATGTATGAAAATATTAATTGATTTTCCATTCAGATATGCAACTGTGGCACCGTGTTAACATGTCTAACCGCGTTTTTCAAGTCAGTTAAACACCCGTAATCTGCATACCAGAAAATAACAAGATCACAGTTTCACTTTGCTTCACCAGAACAACACTTTGCTCTTTCAGTTTGTTTCTTCTCTGACTTCTTATTCACTAGTATTCCTACACAGGTAAGGTTAAAGATTTTTACAAAAATGTAATGCTATTACTTGAAACTCAAGAACAGGATTCATTACCGATCTTCTTAATCTATTCAGGTGTTTTAGAAACGACAGACCGCGAAATGTCAGATAAAAGTTCAAGTGAGTTACACCATTTTGTACTCTATTAGTTCTGCTTGTATATTAAAATGTATCATTGATTAAAGCCAGATGGCAAACATTTGTTTAAAAAATGTAAACATAATATTTAGTGTGCATTACCCACCAAGTAATTTTGTATATAATAATCATCTTGGCTAAACAGAGCTCATTTCAGTCTGTCAGTAAATAAATAATAATAGTAGCTACAAAACAGTAAAATCTAATAGTAACTTAACTTATTAAAGGCAAAATACATAAGTAAATGGTTGCTGATTGAATGTTTATGAAACTGAATTTAATCTATACAACTGCAAGATATAGGATATTGAAGGATTTTTTTTTTTTGTGGTATACATTTCAATATGAATACGCTATCACCAGCTTACTTCAATAGAATTGAAAACAGCAACAATAATAAAAACTCTTTCACAATGTGTCAGATGTGAGGATTGTTCTGCTGGGTAAGACGGGATCAGGAAAGAGCGCTGCAGGAAACACAATCCTGAACAGAGATGCGTTTACTGAGAAAAACTCTCTAGTACCTTCAATGACCTGTCACAAACAAGAAGCTGTGGTGAATGGAAAAACCATATCAGTCACTGACTGTCCTGGACTGCTTGACACTTCCATAGATACTACAAAATTGAAGCTTTTAATGGAGGAGTGCATCTATCTGTCAGCTCCCGGTCCTCATGTCTTCCTGGTGGTTTTAAGATTAGGAGTAAAATTCACAGAGGACGAGAAAAATGCAGTCAAATGGATTCATAAGAACTTTGGAGAAGATGCTGTGAATTACACCATCATTCTTTTTACTCACGCTGATGTCCTGAAGGGTAAATCTCTAGAGGTGTACATCAGCCAAAGCAAAGATCTACACGAGTTAATTAAAACGTGCTATGGCAGGTATCACTCTTTCAACAATAAGAACAGAAATAATCGAGATCAAGTCACCGAACTGCTGAAGATGATAGAAAAGATGGACCTGTTTAATGGAATGAAGCACTACACCAATGACATGTATAAAGCAGCCGAAGAAAAGATTAAGAAAGGGGCAGATGCTTAAAGATGTTGCAACGGGAGGTCTAGTCGCGGCAGGATCTGTAGAATCAGCGGCTACTTTTAAAGCAGTGGGAGAAGCAACAAAGAAGTATCTGTGTGTGCTCAAATTTTGTCTGTACTTTGAGTCTACTTATTTTATCATCCTATTAGTCCTTCTGTAATAAAATCTTTACATTTTTTAAATCTTCAAATTAAATCTTGTAATATCTGTTTTTGTTTTACTCTTAAACTTTTCTCATAGTATTTATATTGTTTTAGTAATTTAACAAATCTCATTTCTGTTTCTGATGAATGTACACATCTAATGGTATTTTCTCACCAAAACTAACATCTCCACCTTATAATTGTGCATGGGACCAACACTCGAATAATAAGAAATTTACTTGTTGGGCAGATGAGGTCAAAGTTATTCTTTAACACAAATTTGTGTCATTCAGATCACTATTTTAGTTAGCTATATTATATATGTTTGTTACTCAAAGTACATAAGGATAGTATTAGTGATACTCGATTGTTTGATACATTGGCTTTATCTGAGATGTAGGGATACACATGTTTGTAATACATTTTGTATGGCCTTTTTTGGATATTTTTTTTATAGTTTTAAGCCCAACAATAAACGTAAAAATCTTAAGGTTTGTAAGGTACATTAAAAGTTCATTTTAATCAGTGTCCTTTCTCAATAATGAACGTAAAAAAAAGAAAATGTAAAAAGAAAAGTGAGTGCACATCATAATATACTATTTCATATACTGTAGCTTACTAAAACAATGTGTAATTGAGCATGCAAGAACTCGACCTGCCAGTTTTTATAGGCTATGTTTATAGCGCCCTCTAGTGACAGTTTAGGTGTATATAAAGCTTGTGAGTAAAGAATAAATTTCTTTCCAAATGAAAATAAACTCAGAAATGTCACGTTCGAGTAACATCATCTAAATAAGAAGTATTTAAAAAAATCGCAGGTCAATTTTATGTGTTTGAGAAATGAAGGAATAGTAAATATGAGCACAACTGAGCAAGTTTTAAGACAAAACAACTAAAGGTGTCAGGTAGGCAAGGTCACGTGATCACAGTGAGATTTTCAGAAAAATGATTTGCCCGCCATCGGCACTTTCACTCAGTGCGTTCAGATAGAAGAAGCGGAGAACATCGGGAAATTGCAGGCAACACAATGACTTCAACAAATGAAGGTCTGTATGAGCCTCTAAAAACATTAATATTTTTTAATTCAGTTTTTTTTAAATAACAATTAGAATAAAAATTATTTTTTTAGTAATAGTTATAATGTTCAGGGTTGATAACCTGTTTTACTTTAGTATTTTAAAGCTAATTTTATGAAATGAAAATGGTTGCTTGTTTTGTTGCAATGTATACACCAGTGTCAAGATCAAGTTGCGTATAACCCAATAGATTAAACTAGCACAGATAATGTATTTAAAGTAATCCAAAGAATAAATGGTAAATTTCTAAACATCCACTAATTTGTAAATTCTAATAGAGTGTAGGCCTATATAAGAAAGATAGTCTAGTGGAGTTTATTTTCATTTATTGCTGTTTAACAGATGCCAATACAGACTCTTGATACGGACAGACTAAATAAGAGTATGGGGAGGTCGGATTCTTTTCTTCGAGCTAATCACTAAACTGAATAGTGATGGGTTGATTTGTTCATTTTGAACAAACCATTAAACGATGAGTCATTTATTCGCGCATGCGCAAGTGGGCGTGTTATTTTTTTTGGAGTCTGCCTGTTGCAGGTACGGCTGTTACTTGCGGTGAACGAACTATAGCGCAACTTTGCCTTATGTGATGTGTAAAATATACACATATAAAAGGACCTACCTTGTAAATAATTTTTGCATAACAGAAGCATACATATAGAGAGAACCCAACACTACATTTTAAACATCCCAAAAACAAAAGAACAAAAAAGAAAATAGAAATCAGCCCTATAGGCATTTATTAAAATAAATAAACTTAATCAGGAATCGTTTTGGTTGTGTTGTGGCTTGAATGTTTGTAATGCTTCATCTGCAAAGTGTAAATTAACCATTAGAACTTTGGATTATCCCACAGACTAGTTAAATAATTTTAGATATTCCATTTTTTATAATGTAAATAAAAGCTGAGACATATTTTTTCCACAGTGATGCCTCTTGTACATCGTGCTATTCTATTATCTTTCATCATTTAGTGTCATTTCTGGTGTCATGTGTGTACTTATATGTTATACGTATATATATATATATATATATATATATATATATATATATATATATATATATATATATATATATATATATATATTTTTTTTTTTTTTTTTTTTTTTTTTGGTTTACCTACTGACGCTTTTGTATTATTATTTCTTTTATAGTGAGTGATCTGAGGATTGTTCTTTTGGGCAAAACTGGATCTGGAAAAAGTGCAACAGGAAACACAATCCTGGACCGAAAGGCTTTTGAAGTCGGTGAATTTATAAAATCTAAAAGTAAACAGTGTGAGAAAAAGGAAGGGGAGTTTGGTGGAAGAACCATCACGATAATCGACACTCCAGGTCTGTTTAACACAGATGTGCCCAAACAGCAGCTGAAAGCTGAATTACAGAAGTGTGTGCATCTGTGTGCTCCTGGTCCTCATGTGTTTCTGCTGGTGCTCAAACTGGGTGTGAGATTCACACAAGAGGAGAGAGAGACGGTGAAATGGATTCAGGAGAACTTCGGGGAACAAGCTTTGTGTCGTATGATCATTCTGTTCACTCACGCTGACCAGTTGAAGGGAAAACCTTTAGAAGACTACATCAGCCAAAGCAGCGATTTACAGAAAGTCATTGACATATGTGATGGCAGATATCACTCATTCAACAACCAGGAGAAAAACAATCAAAGTCAGGTCACAGAGCTGCTGAAGAAGATCGATGCAATGCTGGAGGAGAATGAAATGAGGCATTACACTATTGACATGTTTAAAAAAGCTCCAATTAGTAAAACAGGGAAAAGGGTAACGATTGCTTTTGGAGTTGCAGTGTTAGGAATTGGAGTTCTAGGAGGAGCAACACTAGTAATGATTACAGCAATGGCAACTGGAGGAAGAGGGGCTGAAGAAAGCACAGCAGTAGCCACTGAAAAAACAGCAGAAAAAGCTTTAGCTAGAGTAGAAACAATAATTGTTGCTGCAGCAGAAGCAGCCACAGAAAGAGCAGTAGCAGCATTAGAAAAAACAGTTAAAACTGCAAGAAAAGCAGCTGAAGAAAAAGCGATAGTGATGATAGAAAAATCAGTGGAAAATGTAAGAAAAGCAGCAGAAGAAAAAACGGCAGCAGCAATAGAACAATCAGTTGAAACGGTTAGAAAAGCAGCTGAAGAGAAAGCGGTAGCGATGATCGAAAAGGCATTAGGAACTGCAGGAGTAGCAGCTGTAGAAACTGCCTCAGCCGCTATTGAAAAAGCAGCCGAGACGGTTGGAGATAAGGGTGTAGCAGGAGCACAAGTAGCTGTAAAATGTGTAGCTACAGGATCAGCCGCAATAATAGCAGCAGCAGCAGCGAGATCCGCAACCGCTGCAGGAAAAGTGGCTTCATTAGGGAGAATATCTGCAGTAGCTGCTCTGGCAACAGCGTTTGGAGGAGGAGTTGTGGCACTAATATCAGCCCTGAAATGATAAACTTTAAGCAATCAATCTTACAATTGTTTCCTTATTTGAAAAGATTTCTCCAGACAAAATACAAAAGCCGTACCCATTACTGCTTATTCTAGATAACAATTCAAATGCATAAAGAGATTAGATGCATAAAAATATAGTGTAATGTTGTGTGCAATTGTATAAAAGCTAAATCTACTTTACTTCTGCTATGCTTGTAACTTTGGACTCTGATGCACAGATTATGTGAATGTATTCATAAATAACATCAGTAGTCATTGCAATTTTTCAACAGTATCTGGATGCAGCCTTTATGATGTAAGCTGAGATTGCATCAATCAAATGGAGCGAGTGACATCACTGTGTGGGGTAGGGTTAGGGGTGGGCTTAGGTGAGCTCATTAAAAGATGCAGCTCAGATTGCACTGCACCAGGTCTGCATCCAGACCCCTCAATTATTTGGCATTCAGTGTGAAAAATTTATATTAACATTTTGTGTGTGTGTGTTGGTGTTCATTTTAGCTTTTTGATTTCTCAGTTTTCTGGCATGTTTTCTTCACCCTTTTCGTAATATTGCCAATTAATTGAACTTTGTCAATATAAGTATGCACAGCATATTTTTTGCTAAAGAAGTTATTTGTAACTCTACAAATCAATTCATTTGTAAAAAAAAAAAAAAAAAAAAAAGTTTTGTGATGTTGAACATTTTGCTCAGTTCGTGGTTGTAGCTTGAGTTGACTCTATAAAACCTTGATTTTTCATTCAACATTAATTAGCTTTTTAACTTTATGAAATAAAATGAGAACCACTTTGACTTTTTCAGTGTCATGTCTTTTCTTATTAATTTCTTATTCAGTGAGTAATCAAACAAAAGAGTGCTTTTGCATCAACAAAGATTATACCAAAATATTCAATAATTAAAAAGGTGATTAAAATAATGTGTCAGAGCAGCAAGGATGTGCAAAGAAACTTTTTTAACCACTACATTAGCTAGTAGCAACATTATTCAGCTGCATCTGGATATATCAGGCTTATTTATTTGTTATAATATTTACTGGAGGAAATATTTATACCTACTGTATGTTGTATACATAATAATACAATACTAGGTTTGTTTTCAATAATATTCAGCAAAAAGAATGGAATAAATGTAAGCTGTTGGAATATCAGTTGTTGGAAAGTGTGTATAAGGTGTCATTTATAGGTTCTGTGTTAAAGCTTACAATACTGCAACACTAATAAATCAACACAAACAACTAAATTATTCATTATAAGGAAAGTTCTAAATTTGACATTTCTAAGTTAGATCAAGTGTTGGATGTTGTTGTCAAATGGCAACATATCATAAAGCACCTTAAAAAAGTCCAAAAGCACTGCCTAAAGTAAATGATCTAAATGTGTTTATATGTATTTTTATATTCTCGGTGAGCCATAAAAACAAAAACAAACAGAAGAAACAAGACAGAAATCTGCAGTGCAGCTGCATTAATGCATTGGTATTAATAAAACAACATTACTTAAAAATCTTACCTTGTTTCTAACCAAAACATTCAATAAACATGTTACACAGAATAAAAAAAGTAATTAATTTGCTGCAACTGATGTCCTCAAATAAAGACATGGACTTATCTCCAATAAAACAGAGTAAAAAACACAAAGACATTCATTTCTTAGCTAGTAGTTTCAAGCACTAACTCAGTAGTTTAGTTTTGAGCTTGGTTTTAGGGCAGTTATTTGAGATTTTGTAAAACAAAGACACTTGCATTAGGACATTTGCACATTAAAGACTCTCTGTAGTTCTTATAGAGATACTTTTCCCTGCATGATGGCGCTGTGGAGCTCCTCTGTCAGACTCTCATATCGACCCTGACGACTGTTGAGGAAGAAGAGCCGGTCTGCGGTCTGATGAGGGTCAAATCCCTCCTTCTGTAAGCGGGTTTTCTGGATTTTAAATGTGCCTGTGGATGAGGAATATACAGTAAAGTGTGTGTTTGAGGAACACAACTCTTTTGGAATCAATTCTGTTTGAAATAAAATGTTGGAATCAGTTCTGTTTTTGGAATCAATTCTTTTTGAAATCAACTCTTATGGAATTAATTAATTTTGGAATCAAATCTTTTTTCTTCAATCGACTCTTTTGGAATTAATTCCTTTTGGAATCAATAATTTTTTTTTCAATCGACTGTTTTGGAATGAATTCTTTTTGGAATAAACTTCTTTGAAATCAATTATTTTTTAATCAACTCTATTGTAATCAACTTTTTATATCAATTCTTTTTGGAGTCAATTCTTTTTTTTTAGTCGACTCTTCAGAACCAATTCTTTTTGGAATAGACTCTTTTGGAATACATTTTTTTAATCAACTCTATTAGAATCAGTTACTTTTTGAGTAGACTTCTTTAGTATTAGTTCTTTTTTAATCAACTCTATTGGGATCAACTTTTTTAATCAATTCATTTTTAATAATTTTTTTTTTTACATTTTTGGGGGAATCGACTGTTTTGAAATCAATTATTTTTTCAATCGACTCTTGGAATCAATTTTTTTTTCAATTGACTCTTTTGGAATCAATTCTTTTTATTAATCAACTCTTTTGGAATCAATTATTATTGGAATAGACTCTTTTTGGAATCAATTCTTTTTTCAATCGACTCTTGGAATCAATTATTTTTTTCAATTGACTCTTTTGGAATCAATTTTTTTTATTAATCAACTCTTGGAATCAATTATTTGTGGAATAAACTCTTTTTGGAATCTTTTTTTTTATGAACTCTTGGAATCAAATTTGTTTTCAATTGACTCTTTTGGAATCAATTTTTTTAATCCACTCTCTTGGAATCAATTTTTTATCAACTCTTTTGGAATTAATTAATTTTGGAATCGACTCTTTTTGGGAATCAGTTCTTTTTTGAAATTTACACTTCTGGAATCAATAACTTTTGGAATCGACTCTTGGAATCAATTGTTTTTGGAAATGACTCTTTTGGAATCAATTACTTCTTGAGTAGACTACGTTGGAATCAGTTCTTTTTTTAATCAACTCTATTGGGATCAACTTTTTGAATACATTTTTTTGGAATCGTCTCTTTTGGAATAAATACTTTTTTTAATAGACTCCTGTGAAATCGACTTTTTTTGAATCAATTCTTTTTTGAAGCAACATTTTTTTTATAAATTATTTTGATTTTTTTTTTTTTTTTGGAATCGACTCTTTTGTAATCCAGTATTATTTTCAATCAACTGATTGGGAATCAGTTCTATTTAAAATTGACTCTCCCAGCTCTAATGCCATTATATTACATAGTGTTACAGTGTGAAAGGGGCTAATAATGGAGGATATGGACAGAATCTGAGATTGAAACCATTACCTGTTTTGTCCACTTCAGGTGAAAGTCTTAAGAAAACAGGTCGAGCGTATGAAGGAAGAGCGTTCTGGACGTCCCGCAGAAACGTCTCACAGTCGAAGACATTCTCTGGATCTGCAATAGCAGCCATTCCTGCCTTCCCCTCCACACCTGACAGAGAAAACACTGTTAGGTTTTAATAACTCTCCCCAAACCTTTTCTCCATTTTTCTGAATTAAATGCTTAATTTACTACATCCAATCAGCTCACAGTAGAAAGAAACTAGCTACGCCCACTGTTTTCTCATTTAATATTGCATTTCTCTAGGAACTGCGTCACAATAGAGAAAAACAACCGGTTGCAGCTTCTGGTTCAGGCAGACTTTAAGATCTGATTCATTCACACTCTATTGTTTATGTTAGAGATGTAGTGAAAGCTGGTCATTTTGACCCGAATGATGTAATCGTGTATACAGAATAATAGACCCCATGAGGGATAAACATCTGCAGACCACAGGTGTGCTCTGACCTGGCACTGAGACTCCATACACAGCCACATCCGTCTGCTTCAGCAGTGCACTCAGGACTCCCTCTACTTCTGTGGTGGAGACGTTTTCCCCCCGCCAGCGAAATGTGTCTCCGCCTCGATCCCGGAAATACACATAACCCAACTCATCCATCACCATCAGATCACCTGAGTCAGAAAAACACACACAGAAACACATGCATGAGCTCAGACAAAATTAATACAACACTGAAAAACACTTCACACTGCTTAAAGGGCAGAAAGCTCCGCCCACTAGCACCCATCTCTCCATCTCATTAGCATCTCCAGCAGCCCTGAGTGAGAAGCAGCCGTCTGTCCTTTAGCCATTAGAGTGTCTGAGCTGCTGGAGATGATGTCAGCATAGACTAAGAGGATTATAGATGCGGAGTTTCAGATGAACAGAGACAGGAGCCACATAGACTGACAGAAGCATCAAGCACACTGACGCATCTCATTTCAATTTAAAGTGACAGTGTCACCAAAACACCACAATTAGGGTCAAAGACAAAAGACAAGACAGATAAAGCTCCCATAATGCAATTCAAAAGCAGAAATAAAAGGGGAAAAATAAAACATGAATGAAAAATACAGGAAAATGTTAAATTACGGATATTTTTTTACAGTGCAGCAGATGAGCTTTTGCTTCTAAAGTGATTTACAGTGATTTACCTGACACATACGCCGAATCTCCCTTTCTGAAGACGTTGTGGCTGATCTTCTTACTGGTGGCCTCTTCATTCGCATAGCCATCGAATCGTCGCAGAGGATCTTGAGGATTTATTCTGCCCACAATAATCCCGGGTTCTCCTAAAGTGCAAACAAAATCACCCAAAATATTAATGAACACTACAATAGAATATGGACGGTGTGGTGGTGCAGTGGTTAGCACTGTCGCCTCACAGCAAGAAGGCCCTGGTTCGAGTCCCGGCTGGGTCAGTTGGTGTTTCTGTGTGGAGTTTGCATGTTCTCCCCTTGTTGGCGTGGGTTTCCTCCGGGTGCTCCGGTTTTCCCCACAGTCCAAACACATGCGCTATAGGGGAATTGGGTAAACTAAATTGCCCATAGTGTATGTGTGTGAATGAGAGTGTATGGATGTTTCCCAGTACTGGGTTACAGCTGGAAGGGCATCAGCTGCATAAAACATATGCGGTTCATTCCGCTGTGGCGACCCCTGATTAATAAAGGGGCTAAGCCAAAAAGAAAGTTAATGAAATTAATTATTTATTTAAATGTTAAGAGCAAACACGTACTCTGAGTATATGCATTGTTTAGTTTTCTGTTAGCAGTAAGTCAAAGACGACTTTTACCCCATTTTCCTATGAAACCAATGAAGACCTTTAGAAACACTTTTGAAATCCTCTTGTTTCTCTGTCACAGTGCGGGACATAACAGTCTGTTTCTAGGCAGGGGTGCATTTCCAAAAATGATCACTAGCCAACTAAGGTTGCACGTTCCGTCATTACAAACATAATTCCTTTATTTGGTGTTTCCCTAATCCATCGTTCCACAAACATGCGCAAACTGCATCTCAAACTTCTAAGTTTGCAACTACTCCTCTAGAGCTGTACTTAGAAGAAGAATTCCTGGCTGTGTTCTATTCCCAGTTATCATCCCTATGCTCTATTAATTTTCAACGTTCCAAGATTTAAATTTGGAATGATTTATAAAAACTTTTAGTAAATATATATATATATATATACATATATATATATATACACACACATATATATATATATATATATATATATATATATATACTTTTTTTTTTATAAATATATATATATATTTTTTTTAAATATATTTATATATTTATTATATATTTATAATAAATATGGCTCATGACGAAAGCTGTAGGTGACCTATGATTTAAAAGCAGAATCTACGTTACGTCTCCAAAGCTAGGGAAAACAAAACTACATAGCATATGTTAATGGATTTAATTTATAGTAGGCTATTTATTAATAAATGTATCTGCACTGTGTGTGACATGGACCTGTTGGCTGGAACATTTCTGCAGTGGTTTAAACGTGTCAAATTTGTAAAAGTAGACTATTTCAAAAAATAAACACTACTTAACTACTTAACACACTACTTAATAATAATAATAGTAATAATAATAATAATAATAATAATAATAGTAATAATAGTGGGCTGCACGGTAGCGCAGTGGGTAGCACACCAAGAAGGTCACTGTTTCGAGTCTCGGCTGGGTCAGTTGGTGTTTCTGTGTGGAGTTTGCATGTTTTGTTGGCGTGGGTTTCCTCCGGGTGCACAAGTCCAAACACATGTGGTACAGTTGATTTGGGTCAGCTAAATTGTCCATAGTGTACAGTATGTGTGTGAATGAGAGTGTATGGATGTTTCCTAGTAATGGGTTGCAGCTGGAAGGGCATCCGCAGCGTAAAACATGCTGGATAAGTTGGCGGTTCATTCCGCTGTGGTGACCCCAGATTAATAAAGGGACTAAGCCGAAAAGGAAATGAATAAATGTATGAGTAATAATAGTAATTATAATAATAATAATGATAATAATAATAGTAGTAGTAGTAGTAGTAATAATAATGACAATAATAACAGTAATAACAATAATAATAATAATGATGATAATAATAGTAGTAATAATAATAATATATTATTATTATAGGCTTTTTTTTTAAGTAAAGTACAGTACGTGTGTGTGTGCGTCTCACCAGGTTTGCATGGCACACACAGTCCTCTACTGTCTCGAATTAACTCCATAGTGTCCTCGTCTGCCCTCAGCAGTCTGATAGGGTAAACACTGGGCAGAACCACACTGTTGAAGCCACACGCACCCACCTGCACACAGATGACATAACACATCATTATATGATGCTTTATTGGGGAACACTTTACCTGAAGGAGTGTTCATCAGACTGTCATCAAACCTTTATAATCATGGCATGTGATGAATGAGAATGAGACATTATGCATGTCAATGTCAACTGTTATTAAGTGTCAATCGCTCAGTTATGTCATTTTAAATGCAAAGATGACATTGTTTATGACAACGTGACATAAGCAAATACATCACCACCTGGTTTTGTTTTTGTCACGACACTTAAAAACCCATGACACTTAATAACAGCTGTCGTAAGCATGCATAGTCACATCACGTGTCATAATTATGGCGTGTGCAGTCTTATGAACACCCCTTCCAGTGAAGTGTCCCCCTTAGGCATTGTGTCTCTGTCTCAGGTAACCCCTCAGGTAAGTGTGTACCTTGTTGTCCATGTTGGCGAGGCTGCAGTTGCACTCTGTGGCTCCGTAAAACTCACCGATGCGCTTGACACTGAAGCGTTTCATGAACGATTCCCAAACGTTAGGCCGCAAACCATTGCCCATGGCAACACGCACCCGGTGCAGAGACTCCGACGGACGCACCGGCTGAGAGAGGAGATAACGGCAGATTTCACCAATATACTGAACAACCTGAAAACACACACACAAACCACAGCTAAATTACCCAATCAACAATTAACAATGAATAACAGGCTATGCTGAATAATCTGACATATCAACAGTGATGATGTAAGGACTAGTTGACGATGAGCTGGTGAATTATTGGAAAATAATGCACACACAAGATGGTGATGTGGCCACAACGCAAAGCAGATTAATGCTTAATAATTCAATAGTCTGGAGTCAATTATTCCACCTATGCTGTGCATTATTTTCTAATAATTCAATGGACCAAGTAAAAACAGTATTTTCTGCAGTGTGTGTGTGTGTGTGTGTGCGCTCTTACCGTACAGTTGTATTTCACACAGTCATCCCAGAAACGACTGGCAGAAAACTTCCTCCGGATGACCACCGTCAGGCCGTGCAGCAAACACTGACCAACACCAATGATGTTCCCTGACAAACACACACACACACACACACACACACACACACACACACACACACACACACACACACACACACACACACAGAAGATCAGACACCATCAGCAGAGTGATGCAGAGCTGTGATGCACTCAAAACCTGCCGGAACTACTTCAGCTGTGCGTTTATCTGACAATAACAGCAGTATTCGGCACCGCTAGACCAATTTTAGGAGTTTCTTTACAGTTTTCGCATTTCTCACACCACAGCTGTTTCCTCCAAGCTTAATAAAGACAAAACATTAGAATGTACGCAGCTTTAAGCTTTGAATTGCCGTGAAATTAGCTAATGAATCTGTACTGTAAAGCCTGACCTCCTTATCTGACAAAATATTTACTCAAAACGAGAACACAATGTTTGTAGATGTAGAGCGGACACACGGTGAACTATTGCAGCGTTATCAGATATTGCCAAAGCCAAATAAACCCAATATAGGAGGATTACTCAACAGGGTCGACATCACTGGAATGAAGGTATTCAGCAGGACACACTGACCTGGAGATCAATAGGCAGTGTTGGGGAAATGACTTTAGTATACTAATTAAATTCATATATTACATTTTTTAAGACTCTTATAAAGAAGTAACTAAAGGTGAAAGTGTGTGTTTGTGTCTATCTGTGTGTGCGTACATGTGTGTGTGTGTGTATATGTGTGAGTCTGTCTGTGTTATTCTGTGTGTGCGTACATGTGTGTGTGTGTATGTGTGAGTCTGTCTGTGTTATTCTGTGTGTGCGTACATGTGTGTGTGTGTGTGTTTGTGTATGTGTGAGTCTGTCAGTATTATTTTGTGTTATTCTGTGTGTGCGTACATGTGTGTGTGTGTGTGTGTATGTGTGAGTCTGTCTGTGTTATTCTGTGTGTGCGTACATGTGTGTGTGTGTGTTTGTATGTGTGAGTCTGTCTGTGTTATTCTGTGTGTGCGTACATGTGTGTGAGTGTGTGTTTGTGTATGTGTGAGTCTGTCAGTATTATTTTGTGTTATTCTGTGTGTGTGTGTGTGTGTGTGTGTGTGTGTGTGTCTGTCTGTGTGTGCGTAAATGTGTGTGTGTGTGTGTGTATGTGTGAGTCTGTCTGTGTTATTCTGTGTGTGTGTGTCTGTCTGTGTGTGCGCGTGTGTGTGTGTGTGTATGTGTGAGTCTGTCTCTCTGTCTGTGTGTGTATGTGTGTGTGTGTCTGGCTGTGTGCGTACATGTGTGTGTGTGTGTGAGTATGTGTGAGTCTGTCTGTCTGTGTTATTCTGTATGTGTGTGTGTGTGTGTGTGTGTGTGTACACAGACCTGCTGAGTGATAGAGCGGCAGACAGCAGTACACCACATCATCCGGCTGCAGACCGAAGGAGTAATAACTGAACGCAGCAATACGGTAATACCTGTACAACACACACACACACACACACACACACACACAATGGTCGGCTCAGAGATGAACACACACACACATGCTCACACACACACTCACACATGCAAGCCTGCACTCATTCACTGAACACACACATTGAATACACATGAACATGTGCACACAAATGCACTCACACACACACACACACATTCACACACTTAAACTATCAAACACTCGCACACTCTCACAAACACACCATCACACACTTACACACATACGTTCACTCATGCACTCATACGCACACACTTACACTCACACTTTCACACACACACTCTGCTGCACAAACCTGCTGTGCACCACGATGGCAGCTTTAGGTAAACCCGTCGTTCCTGAGGTGTAGATGTAAAATAACCTGTCTGAGAGCAGAAACACACACAAACACACACACAACAATACCGTTGGATTGATTCTCGTGATATTTTCTTCAGTGTAATACAGCAATTTGCACACACACACAGACACACACTGAAACACACCAACTGAAAACACACACACTAAAACACACAATGAAAACACACACACTGAAACACACACACACTGAAACACACCGACTGAAAAAACACACACTGAAACAAACACACACTGAAAACACACACACTGAAACACACACACACTGAAACAAACACACACTGAAAACACACACACTGAAACAAACACACACTGAAAACACACACACTGAAACACACACACACTGAAAAAAACACACACTGAAAACACACACACTGAAACAAACACACACTGAAAACACACACACTGAAACACACACACACTGAAAACACACACACTGAAAACACACACACTGAAACAAACACACACTGAAAACACACACACTGAAACACACACACACTGAAACACACCGACTGAAAACACACACACTGAAACACACACACACTGAAAACACACACACTGAAAAACACACACACTGAAAACACACACACTGAAACACACACACACTGAAAACACACACACTGAAACACGCACACACTGAAACAAGCACACACTGAAAACACACACACTGAAACACACACACACTGAAAACACACACACTGAAAACACACACACTGAAACACACACACACTGACACACACACACACTGAAACAAACACACACTGAAAACACACACACTGAAACACACACACACTGAAAACACACACACTGAAAACACACACACTGAAACACACACACACTGACACACACACACACTGAAACAAACACACACTGAAAACACACACACTGAAACAAACACACACTGAAACACACCGACTGAAAACACACAGTGAACACAGATACACGCACACCATGATCACACACACTGAACATTCATACATACATACATAAAGCACCCACACTGAACACAAGTGCAAGTGCACACACACACACACACACACACACAGCTGAGTGGGTCAGAGGTGGATAAAGCAGCGACTCCAGACTCATCGACACTCCTCTGCTCATCTGTGTTTCTCCTCACAGCAGATGTGTTTCTCCTGTACTGAGTTTCTCACACACTCTCTGCTGCTGTAGCTCAGACTCTACTGCTGTCCTCTCTCTTCCTCTCTCTCTCTCTCTTTCTCAATTCAAACTTGCTTTTGCAGTTTAGAGTCTCCTCTATTGAACAGAGCTTTATTGGCGTGACTTATCGAGAATTGAAAAATCATTGCAGATTACATAAACAATAAATATAATTATAAAGTTATAATATATAAGGAGTTCAGATGCAAAAACCTCTGAATGCCGTCTGAAATTTTCCTCTAAATTGAGCATTTCTATCAGGCTCCTGTGTGCATGTTCAGTAATATCACAGTTATGGCAAATAATAAGTCTTTTCCCTGGTCTTTAAAGTGAAATAACTCAACATAAACAAAGGAGGCTGAGAAAAATGTTGATTTTCGATGGAAATTTCAGACGGCACTCTCAGCTTTTTGCATCTGAACTCTTCATATATGCATACAGAAAAAGAAGAACAGATTTAAATTCTGATAAAAAGACAAATACGGAAGAAAATAGACTCATAAGAGGATTAAAAAGATGACGAATAAATATTGTTGTTAAAATTTAAGAAAATAAAATACAAGACACACCTCTACAGTCCTTCAGATGGTCTGCAATAGTATTTCTAACTAGCTCTCTCTCCCTCTCTCTCTGGGCAGGAATGTAACCTTTTCCCCACTTTAACCAATGGCTAAACACACATAAACCCCAGTGAAGGGGGAATCACACACACACACACACACACACACACACACACACACACACACACACACACACACACACACACACACATAGCCAAAACAGGCTCACACACACACACCAAACTCAACGGAAGAAACAGAATCACCCGGAGCTCACAGACAGTCATTAGCCTTTACATTTTGGGAGATTTTTGCATAATATTTGAAACAACTGAGCAGAGATGAGCACATCTCTCCTAAAATAATGAATCGTATTTTATTTTAATATTCAGATTAACTAATGTAACAATAATAATAATAATAGTGTGGAGAGGTAAGCGTGATCGAACACCCAATCAGGGGGGAGAGCATGCTAGGAGCCCGGCGGCTAATCAGCGGGTCAATCAGAAATGATAAATAACACCTGTCTTTCTAGTGATTGGGCCGGAGAGACTCCCTTCTTAAGGAGAACGGGAGGAGCAGTCGGGAGAGGAGAGAGCACACACACACACACGCACACAGTTTGCTAGTGCTGTGGAAAAGCAAAATAAAATATATTGCTTACCTGATATCGCCGACCCTGTCTTCTTCTTCCCACACAACAACGAACTATACTACAAATAGTATTTTAAGATATGTTGCATTTTATGTTACACGTTATAACACAATTTATTTATTAAATATTAATCATCAAGTTTGTGTTAATTCATTCTCGTAAATATAAATAATGCAATTTTAATACATGTTAAAGAGAACAAAACTATTAAGATTTGTATATTTATTGCAGCATTGATATATGATATATAAGAATTAAGATTAAATGTAATATATGTTATACACCGAATCAAGGTTTAATAAATTAATTTATTTAATTAAATCATTATATTTTATTACTCATTGTTTTATTTATTTTCTCGGCTTAGTCCCTTTATTAATCAGGGGTCGCCACAGCGGAATGAACCACCAACTTATCCAGCATATGTTTCACACAGCGGAAATCCTTCCAGCCACAACCCAACACTGGGAAACACCCAAGCACACTCATTTACACACATACTACAGACAATTTAGCTTACCCAATTCACATATACCGCATGTTTTTGGATTTATGGGGAAACTGGAGCACCCAGAGGAAACCCACGCCAACATGGGGAGAACATGCAAACTCCACACAAAAACACCAACTGACCGGGACTCGAACCAAGTGACCTTCTTGCTGTGAGGCGATCGTGCTACCCACTCTACCATCGTAACGCCTATATTATATTATATTAAATTATACTATATTAAATTAAATTATATTATATTATATATATTAAATTATATTATATTATATTATATTATACTATATTAAATTATATTATATTAATTATATTATATTATATTACATTACATTACATTATATTATATTATATTATATTATATTATATTATATTATATTATATTATATTATTATATTATATTATATTATATTATCTTAAATTCTATATTAATATGCCTTATATACAATAGCTGTAATTTGATAGATATATATGATGTAGTAATTAAAATGATAAATAACAGGGTAAACCTGTTCTATTAAAAAAAGAAAAAGAGAAATTTCACAAAATAAAAACAAAAAATCCCCAAGTTTGTGATGTGGATTTGCCTTTATACATGAACCACAACACCAGAAACAACAAACAGTTGTGGCATCTGAAATATGTATTCAGACATGTAGAGACGCTTACCTGTCATTAAAAACTGACTCACGCACACAGCAATATGCAGAGAATATTCCATAAACATACACACTCACCACTCTCTCTCACACACACACACACACACACACACACACAGAAGTAACGTACGTAGACAAACGTTATGGTAGCTTGAGAAAGTTTTAATAACTGAAGCAGTTTTCAAGAAGCCTGAAGTTTTAACCCGTTAGCATACAGTAGACGGATGGATGGATGGATGGATGGATAGACAGACAGACAGACAGACAGACAGACAGACAGACAGACAGATATAGATAGATAGATAGATAGATAGATAGATAGATAGATAGATAGATAGATAGATAGATAGATAGATAGATAGATAGATAGATAGATAGATAGATAGATAGATAGAAAGATAGATTTAGTACAAATTAGCATGCTAATGTAACCCCGCCGGTCCTACGCCACCCAACCCGCTCCGAGCTGGTATCAAACCGGCGACCTTCCGCATGGGAGTCGCTTGCTCTACCAAGGAGGTTAAAGACCATGACCTCTAGCATCTGCCGCTAGAGCACCTTTAATAGTCAGAGGAGTGAGGTTTACCAGCACAGCACTCCACTAGCTGACCTCCATTACACTAACATGACTCACAAACAAGACATATGCAGAGTATCTTCCACAAACACACAAATAGGATGAGAAGTATGAATACACACCGTTGAAGCCCTTGTTGTGTGCGACAGCGGGTGGTGTTTCAGGAGATTTGGAAAGAAGAGCGTCCAGATCTGCAGCCGACAGCGAGTCCAGCATCTCTGCAGGAGCAGAACCACAGGAGAAGAGCGAGAGACTGCGCAGAGACTCCCTCACCTCCAGCACCACTGCAGAAACAGCAGATCCAGCAACATGTTAGACATCTATGGATGGATGGATGGATGGATGATTGGATAGATAGATAGATAGATAGATAGATAGATAGATAGATAGATAGATAGATAGATGGATGGATGGATGGATGGATGGATGGATGGATGGATGGATGGATGGATGGATGGATGGATGGATGGATGGATGGATGGATGGATGGATGGATGGATGGATGGATGGATGGATGGATGGATGGATGGATGGATGGATGGATGGATGGATGGATGGATGGATGGATGGATGGACAGACGGATAGATAAACGGACGGATGGATGGATAGACGGATGGATTGACAGATAGACCGATGGATGGATGGATGGACGAATAGATAGACGAACGGACGGACAGATAGATAGATAGATAGATAGATAGATAGATAGATAGATAGATAGATAGATAGATAGATAGATAGATAGATAGATAGATAGATAGATAGATAGATGGACGGATGGAGGGACAGACAGATAGATAAACGGACGGATGGATGGATAGACGGACGGATGGACTGACAGACAGACCGATGGATGGATGGATGGACGAATAGATAGACGAACGGACGGACAGATAGATAGATAGATAGATAGATAGATAGATAGATAGATAGATAGATAGATAGATAGATAGATAGATAGATAGATGGACGGATGGAGGGACAGACAGATAGATAAACAGACGGATGGATAGACGGATGGACGGACTGACAGACAGACCGATGGATGGATGGATGGATGGATGGATGGACGAATAGATAGACGAACGGACGGACGGACGGACGGACGGACAGATAGACAGACAGACAGACAGACAGACAGACAGATAGATAGATAGATAGATAGATAGATAGATAGATAGATAGATAGATAGATAGATAGATAGATAGATAGATAGATAGATAGATAGATAGATAGATAGATAGACGGATGGATTGACAGATAGATAGATATAGATGGATAAATGGGCAGATGGATAGATGAATGGATGTACGGACGGACAGACAGACATATCGTTGATAACGTGCAGAATGCTGATTTCTGATTGGCTGTTGAGCTTTCTAAGGGGCTGTTTACATGACAATGTTTTCAGCTTTTTCTGAACATTTTTAAAAAATTTTTACAATAATGTTGATTTGAATCAATATATATAATTTGTATTAGATATGCATATTTAATTTATAAATGTAAATAAAACATTTTTTATTAAATATATACAGGCAAAATAAACATGCACAGTCCACATACATGTATTACGCAAATACAAGCTTTTATTTCGGATGCAAATAATAAAGCAAATATTACCAGGATGCAACTGGATTTATTTAATGAATTCATCACGATTAATCATTTGAAAAGCACTGACAAATAATTATAATAATTATAATGAGTATGATAATAACAAAGCACTTCTCACCATCCAAAAGCTCCGCCCCGAACACCATCCCACACGCCCCAGACACGCCCATGCAGTGTATCAGCGAATCACGGCGCAGGTTAAAGTTGATGAGCGCCGGCTCCACTCCTACTTTAGCCATCCCGAGCCACAGCGCCACCATCTGGGGGCGACTCTCCATGAAGATGGCCACCACATCACCCGACCGCCAGCCCTGCGCCAGCACCCACTGCGCCACTGCGTTGGAGCGCCGGTCCAGCTCTGAGAAGCTCCACACCTCACCTGACGACTCGTCCACCAGCGCCGCTTTCTCCGGGTGCAGCGCCACCCGCTGGGCGAATAGAGACGGGATGGTGCTGCGATTGCGGATGTACTGACGCATGTAGAACTTGACGCGCAGTAACACTTGCAGACCACTAGAGGACAGACGGACAGAGTTAAATACATTGTAAATGTTTATTAATTCATTTATTTATTCAACCCTTGTGTGCTATTGGGTAACATTTAGGCTTAATTTGGCCACAGCTACAGCAAATGTAATGATTTTTGATGACAAACCTTATTTTTACACATATTTTAGAAAAAAAAATTGCATAATGCACAATTTTACTCCCCTTTCATTTTGTTTGGGACTGTTTTTGTCCCATTGACTTGCATTAAAATCACATTTTTTGATACCGAAAGCCATGACAGAGACTTGGTAGAGTGTGCAATACTCACATGAGGTCTCTCTTCGCAGTGCGCACGGCCACATAAACAAACCTCCATCCCCCAGAACATAAATAAACTCCTAGAAGAGACACCAAACTCCAGAACCACGGGACGCCCAGAGCACTCAATAACCCGGCAATGATCAGAGCGACTGGGGCACGAAAACCATCTCCAGCACCCATCCTGGAGGAGGAATTCATTATTTATTTAGATTTTCTACTCATAATTTAAAATGAACACAAAACTCAACTGAAAAGGCAAAAAAAATAAATAATCAAAATGAAAGACGGAAAACTTGAATAAAATATGTATTGTTTTTTATATTTATTATCATATGTTATATTATTTTTTTCTATAATTTTTGAAATCAGTTATATAAAAAAGAAGCTACTGGAATTAAATATATTTTATTTACTTTGTTTATATAGTTTCGTGCTTACATTTTATAGAAAAATATCCAATTAATTTGGTTTAAATTTTATACATTTATAAGTTTTTTTTTTTTTATAAAAGTGTTGTTTTTCTTTACAACATGCCTTAAAATTAAAGACCTCAATTGTTTCTGTTAGGTCTGTCTGTAAAGTCACCCTTACATGTTATTTCAATCAATTTATTTAAATAAAATTTAATTAAATACTATATAAAAAAGCTTGGTGAGATGGAAATGACAGCAGTGTTTTATTACAAAATTCCGAATTGTGGTTCAATAAAAAAAAACTACAAATATGGTAATTTTAACACATTTTATTAATTTTTGAAGAGAATAAATAAGTGACACATGACAGAAATGTTCATTTAAAAAACTATAATTTTAATCTAATGTTAAAAGCTGAAATAAATGAGAGGAATATTAAAAAAAAATTTCAAAGGTTTCCCAAGAACGACAACAAATTAATAAAATATTTATAATATCTAACTAAAGGACAAAGTATGACAGAAAAATGTGACTAAAAAGGCTATAATTTGAATAACATTTTAGTTCTACAACAAAAATATTTTTATTTATAATATCTAAAATACATTTCAGCACATTTTTTAAACATATTAAAGTGTAACTACAGACACATTATGATAAAAGTTCAATTAAAGGGCTGGATTTTAAAATAATACTCATAAGACATGTATAAATAATACATTTTGAACATATACATTAAAGAATTACAAATGTGTTAATTTGAGCACATTTCATTAATATTTAAGAGAGTAAATAAGTGACATATGACAGAAATGCACATTTAAAAACTATCATTTTAATCTAATCTTAAGCTGTAATGAATGAGAGGAATATTAATATTTTTTTCCAAAGGTTTCCCAAGAACAACAACAAAATTATTAAATATTTATAATATCTAAAAAGTAGTTCAGATAAAAAGTAAATAAAAAAACTAATTTTGATAAAAAAATGTGATTGAAGTTCTCTGACAAAAATATCATTTATTATATAATTATTATGTATTTATAATATCATCTAAACTTCTTTATCTAAATATCTTTCAGCACATTTTAAACAAAACAGTAGCAACAAAAAACAAATTATAACAGAAAATGTGATTAAAAAGGTTATGCTTTTAATAAAATTTTAGTTCTACAAAAATATATTCATTTATAATATCTAAAATGCATTTCAGCACATTTCAAACATATTAAAGTGTAATGCAGACACATTATGATAGAAGTTCAATTAAAAAGGTTATATTTTAAAATAATACTCATAATAAATGTATATATTTAATACATTTTAAACAAATAAATTAAAAAGAGCAACTAAAAAACACAGAACAAGTCTAAAATGCAAATTAAAGGCGTAAGGTATATTGTCTTTTCGATAAAGCTAAAATTAATGTAAAAGAGCATTTTAATTTATTTATTTCTAACATGTATTTCATAACAGACGAATAATATAAATTATCCTACATCCTAAACTCGTTATTTAGCGTGATTACTCATTATAACAGTGAAAGTGTGCTAACGGATAAGTTTATTTGCTAAACGCACTTGCCTTTGCTCCTCCCGATCAGCCCGTTCACTTGTGACCGCTTTTCAAACCCTCTGACCGAATAAAATCCTCCAGAAACGCTCAGAGTTGCACCAGATGACGAGAACTTATTGGGAAATCAGAATGATCGATAAACTCAACAGAAAAATGACACACAATGATTTATTTACCCTCGTGAACTCTCTCATCACTCAGCTCACGTCCCCCCTCAGAAAGAAAGCCCCGCCCCCGAGCTCACGCGCCGCGCTCTGAGTGGTGGAGGCAGCAGTCAATCAAGGGTCTGCCGGTTCTGCAGGATTTGCATGCAAGTCTGAACTGGCTGTTTTGGGGGTCTGTCAGAACCAAACCCTCAGGGAAATGACGCAACGAAGACGAGACTGATTTCACAACAAACCTAAACTGCAACAGAGTTTAATAACTGACAACTGAAGGTCTCATATTCTGTAGTATTTATCACCAAGGTGTTTATTTTTTACCAAAATCAACAAATTCAGCATTTGACACTGAAATAAACCAATAAAATCCACTGCACACTGTAAAAAAGAGCAGATTTAAAGGAGCAGTCTTCCGTATTTTGTGATTCATGATTTTATTGTAGATTTTCCCTGTTTATTTATGCGTTTGAATTGCATTATGGGAGATTTTTAAACTTGTTTAACCTTAATAAGGTGTAAAAAGTGACTTTTATGAGCATGTTTAATAGTCTGCAGTACTATATTGTCTGGGTTAGTGTTGTGTATTACGCTACAGAAACCTTTTTATTATTATAACTATTATTATTATTATTATTAACTATGCTTGAACAGTAACAGAAAGGCATACATACCTTTTAGAATTAAACAAAAGACTGAGATACCAAACAATTTGCATACAATCCTAATCTTTCCATCCACATTTATAATGCAACATAAATAAATAAATAAAATAACAAAAATTAACAAAAAAAAAAATGCTAAAGAAAATGAAGCAGCAGGGGAGTTAAAGTTCTCAAAATGTGACACCAAAATCCTCTAATGATGAATATAAATATCTCTCTTAATGTCTTCAAATATATCACAAAATCCTCTTTAATCACCACTAGTGTTGGGGGACTTTTGGAAAATTTACATTAATAAATATAGAATTTTAATAATAACATCAAATTATTCATTATCATTTATGCTTAAGTATTCGGCCAAACTTAATAATCTCCCATGACAAGACAAGTCTTATAGATATTTTCTGTTGTTTGCTACAGAAATCTTGTAATAAACTGCAGCACAATTTCTGTTTTTTAACAGACTAATTTTTCTAGATTTATTTCTTATACATTATATTATTTCACTAAAACGTCAATAAAAGTCACTTTGATAAACTATAGAGATGAATTTACAGCATCAGATGTGGGGAGCAGATATCAACATCCCATAATGCAATTCACTAACGCAAATCAACTCAATCAAAATACAGAATATACAGATATTTTGTTACAGTATATATATATATATTTTTTCAATGTGGCTATGTCACTGGCCCATGAACATTTCCTGCCTCTTACCAAACTATTTCATACCTGTAACAAGAGGCAAGTTCATTATATCTTAATGTTAAAACAGCTGCCATAACATTATTGATCAATATGTGGACATTTCAGGATTCTTGAAAGCAATGGAATTTAAAAATGTAATACAGGAAATACATTAGGACCAGTGTTATCGTTTACATCTCTCAAAATGGTTCATTAAAGGTTAGTAATATTTGTGTTTTTTAAAAGTTTTGTTTGCTTTGGTTTGATTATTAGCACAAAACGACAAAATGTTTGTTTATAAAACTATATTTTTAATAAATGTAAACATACAGTCGACAAATCTTAGTACACAAAAATACATCACTTTTTATACAAGGTCTTATAAAAAAGTTTTTTCTTCTTGAGTCTTTCTAACTAAATCATTTGTATTGTAAAACCCACACAATAAACTCAGAACTATATTATTAATTTCATTTTTTTGTTTCTATTATTATTACTATTATTATTACTACATTTTTGTGACAATTTTTCAACACAATAATATAATATTAATATTAACAATAAACTCTGTTTGAACTCAACAATACTTTCACTTTCATTTTACTTTTAATTAATTTTTTTTTTACATATTTTGCAACAATCAAATCAACACAACCACAATATTATTAAAAATAATCATTTTAAATATTCAGAATTTAAAAAAGCTGCCTACAATGAGCTGCACAACATTAAAAATGATCTAAACTTTCTGTTAATTAAATGGCGTAAGAAATGGCATGAATTTCAACCAAACGCATGATGATTTTACATTTACAATATTGCATCTCTAGTTTACATATGCAACTTCACACAGAAAATAATAAACCACATCTACAGTATCTTTACACATTAAAAGTACATATTAGATCCTGAAATTCAATAAACTGGACAAAAATGCTGAAGTTTTTGTATAAATCGCTCACAGCTTCAGATTGTCGACTCTCCTGTGCTCTGGTCGATTTGTAGAGGCTTCTGTAATGTAATGAATGAACTTAAACCACAAACTGATTATTGATTATTGATATGCAACCTGCTCAAACACACACTGCCATACCTGACTGCTGTGAGACGGCTCTGTACTACTGACACTGTAGTCTCCTTTCTTCTTGTTCGAACACATTCGCATAAACAGACTGCGATACTCCACTCTCACCTGAAGGGGGCGACACAACAGCAAATAATACAAATCATTTCACCAAAACTAAACTTTATTAGGTACACCTTACTAGTACACCCTTTTGCCATCAGAGCTGCCTTAATCCTTCATGGCAGAGATTCAATAAGCTACTGTAAATATTCCTCAGAGATTTTGCCCCATATTGTCATGATAGCATCACACAGTTGCTGCAGATTTGTCGGCTGCACATCCATGATGCCAATCTCCCGTTCCACCACATCCCAAATCTGCTCTATTGGATTGAGCTCTGGTGACTGTGGAGGCCATTTGAGTACAGTGAACTCATCGTCATGTTCACCAGTCTGAGATGATTGAGCTTTATGACATGCTGCGTTATCCTGCTGGAAGTAGCCATCAGAAGATGGAGACACTGTGCTCATAAAGGGATGGACATGGTCAGCAGCAATACTCAGGTAGGCTGTGGCGTTGATGCTCAATTGGTACTAATGGACCCAAAGAAAATCTCCCCCACACCATTACACCACCACCACCAGCCTGAACCGCTGATACAAGGCAGGATGATCCATGCTTTCATGTTGTTGAGGGCAGATTGTGAGCCGAGCATCCGAATGTGTCAGCAGAAATGGAGACTCATCAGAGCAGCAACGTTTCTCCAATCTTCTATTGTCCAGTTTTGGTGAGTCTGTGTGAATTGTAGCCTCAGTTTCCTGTTCTTAGCTGACAGGAGCGGCACCCGGTGTGCTCTTCTGCTGCTGTAGCCCATCCGCCTCAAGGTTGGCCGTGTTGTGTGTTCAGAGATGCTCTTCTGCAGAGCTCAGTTGTAACGAGTGCTTATTTGAGTTACTGTCCCCTTTCTATTAGCTGAAACCAGTCTGGCCATTCTCCTCTGACCTCTGACCTCATCAACAAGGCATTTGCGCCCACAGAGCTGCCGCTAACTGGATATTTCCTCTTTGTCGGAGCATTCTCTGTAAACCCTAGAGATGGTTGTGCATGAAAATCCCAGTAGATCAGCAGTTTCTGAAATACTCAGAGCAGCCCGTCTGGCAGCAACAACCATGCCACGTTCAAAGTCTCTTAAATCCCCTTTCTTCCCTACATGTCTACATGCCTAAATGCATTGACCTGCTGCCATGTGATTGGCTGATAAGAAATTTGCATTAATGATCAGTTGTAAAAATGTACCTAATAAACTGTTTTGCTGTGATTACTGATTACAAGGTCTGAGTTAAAATTTTTGTGTCACTTTAAATAATTGAAATCCTGCAGGATGTCAGTGAAGCCTAAAACAAGCCACTGCTACCATGTGGTATCATCACAGATGTGTATTATTGTGCGTCTTTACCTGTTTGGACAGCAGGCAGTGCATGATGAAGATCAGCGCCCCCTGGAGGCTGTTGAGGATGATGAAGAGGTACAACATGACCTCAGTGCCGTTTTTCTGGAAGAGGAAGAAGCCGAAAACCCAAGATCCTCCAAGAACACACAGCTGAGCCACTGCGGTCGCCAAAAAACTCCTGAAAACACAACAGAGTTCATCAAAACTGCTGATAAAAGCACCAGGAATCACACAAACACACACACACACCTGATCTTGTGGAGTTTGGAGAGGTCTGGGTTGAGGCTGGAGAACTTTAGGGCCAGTTTCCACACGGTGATGATGAAGACTGTAATGTTGAGGATGACGATGATGCAGACGGGTATAAAGAAACTCAAGATTAAATAACCCTCCAGAGAAAGCCAACAGCTGGAAAACAACACACACCATTCACAAAAGGGTAATCAGGAGACTTTCTCTTCATTTTCCTGTTAACTATATACAACTCAGTGTTAAATAATGAAAAACTGCATAATACTATAATTATTATATAAAAACATGGCTTTTTATGAACATTTTAAGTTAATTTGAGAATATTCATTATTTATTTTTTATGTTTTTGGTTTTTATAGCTTTTATTAAATTTACTTCACAATTTTTTGTTATTTTCATACTTCTAGTTATAAACTTAATGTTGAAAGAAATATAAAAATAAAATAAATATTATTACTTTAACTTTTACTTATCTGTTTTATTTATTTATTATTAATAATTTATATAATTATCATTTTAATTTTATTATAATTTTAGTTTCTAAAATAATGCGCAGGTTAGTGTATACTCCATCAGCTGTTTTAGTTTCAGTCTAGTGTCGGAATAATGCGCAGGTTAGTGTATACTCCATCAGCTGTTTTAGTTTCAGTCTAGTGTCTACATAATGCACAGGTTAGTGTATACTCCATCAGCTGTTTTAGTTTCAGTCTAGTGTCTGAATAATGCGCAGGTTAGTGTATACTCCATCAGCTGTTTTAGTTTCAGTCTAGTGTCTGAATAATGCGCAGGTTAGTGTATACTCCATCAGCTGTTTTAGTTTCAGTCTAGTGTCTGAATAATGCGCAGGTTAGTGTATACTCCATCAGCTGTTTTAGTTTCAGTCTAGTGTCTGAATAATGCGCAGGTTAGTGTATACTCCATCAGCTGTTTTAGTTTCTGTCTAGTGTCTGAATAATGCGCAGGTTAGTGTATACTCCATCAGCTGTTTTAGTTTCTGTCTAGTGTCTGAATAATGCGCAGGTTAGTGTATACTCCATCAGCTGTTTTAGTTTCAGTCTAGTGTCTGAATAATGCGCAGGTTAGTGTATACTCCATCAGCTGTTTTAGTTTCAGTCTAGTGTCGATATAATGCACAGGTTAGTGTATACACCATCAGCTGTTTTAGTTTCTGTCTAGTTTCTGAATAATGCGCAGGTTAGTGTATACTCCATCAGCTGTTTTAGTTTCAGTCTAGTGTCTGAATAATGCACAGGTTAGTGTATACTCCATCAGCTGTTTTAGTTTCTGTCTAGTGTCTGAATAATGCGCAGGTTAGTGTATACTCCATCAGCTGTTTTAGTTTCAGTCTAGTGTCGGAATAATGCGCAGGTTAGTGTATACTCCATCAGCTGTTTTAGTTTCTGTCTAGTGTCTGAATAATGTGCAGGTTAGTGTATACTCCATCAGCTGTTTTAGTTTCTGTCTAGTGTCTGAATAATGCGCAGGTTAGTGTATACGCCATCAGCTGTTTTAGTTTCTGTCTAGTGTCTGAATAATGCGCAGGTTAGTGTATACTCCATCAGCTGTTTTAGTTTCTGTCTAGTGTCGGAATAATGCGCAGGTTAGTGTATACTCCATCAGCTGTTTTAGTTTCTGTCTAGTGTCTGAATAATGCGCAGGTTAGTGTATACTCCATCAGCTGTTTTAGTTTCAGTCTAGTGTCTGAATAATGCGCAGGTTAGTGTATACTCCATCAGCTGTTTTAGTTTCAGTCTAGTGTCTGAATAATGCGCAGGTTAGTGTATACTCCATCAGCTGTTTTAGTTTCAGTCTAGTGTCTGAATAATGCACAGGTTAGTGTATACTCCATCAGCTGTTTTAGTATCTGTCTAGTGTCTGAATAATGCGCAGGTTAGTGTATACTCCATCAGCTGTTTTAGTTTCAGTCTAGTGTCTGAATAATGCGCAGGTTAGTGTATACTCCATCAGCTGTTTTAGTTTCAGTCTAGTGTCTGAATAATGCGCAGGTTAGTGTATACTCCATCAGCTGTTTTAGTTTCTGTCTAGTGTCGGAATAATGTGCAGGTTTTTGTATACTCCATCAGCTGTTTTAGTTTTTGTCAACTTTGCGTATAACTTTATTAATTAATAAACTAATATGGCTCAGAACGATGTTTTTTGTCTAATTTTTGTTTTGTCATGAGCCTTTGGATATGAAAAATTACATCCAGGACGATTGTTTCCTCAGAATAAACCTTTCAGTCTTAAACAACTGTGCTCCGCATTGGGCCACTGATAAAACTTTTGGATTTTATTCTGCGATAACTTCCTGGATGTACTTTATCACTAGCTTAATGTCCAGCATCAGAGACTCTGTGAATGATTGAACCACATTTACAGCTTCTGAGTTGATGTTTAACCATTTAAAGAGTGTTTCACTGATAACGACTGATGAAAATGTTTTCCTGTCGATGCTAATCTTCTGTGTTCTGACTCTAGCACACCTGCACTCCTGTTTCAGAATAATTTATACTGTATTACTTTAGAAAATTCGAATTGGGGGTATCTTTACTGTGTTGACATATTTACATATCAGATAACAAATTATCAAAAAACATGAACATGCTAGCATAACTTGTGTTTAGAAAACCTTTCACTATTAAATTGATGTGCTTCTGCATGCACACTCACTGTCTGTCTGTGCCGTATCCCTTTGGAACGGCGATGGCAGAGATAGAGACGATGACTAGAGGGACTCCGTATCCCACCGCGTACATGTACAGGTGTTTTAATGTGGTGTGAAAAACCAGAACAACCATCCGGTAGAGCTGAACCCCCTCCAGCAACATCCAGCAGAACGCAGACAAGAAGAAAAAGTGGAGCAGACCGGCCACAATCGCACACGCCACCTGACAGGATCAATACAGTCAAGAATTACAGTCAGTATTTCTGTCAACAAAGTTTACTAGTTCTTTATATCTGTCAAAATAGCACAAGATTATCCATTTTAATTTACAGTATGTTTCATCAAATAAGGTTCAGCACAAATGTAATCTAAATGTAATCCAAAAGTAGTCTGATTACAGCGAGGGTGGAGTTAGGTTTGCTGGATGTTTGTCATCTGCATAACAGTAGAAAAAAGATGCCTAAACGAAAGGTACTACGAAGAGAAAGAAGGTAAACGATGAAAAGAAGGGGCCCGATACAGAGCCCTGAGGCACACCAGTGTTAACAGGGGAATATTGGGAACTAAATGATTGAGCTGTGATGTTCATAAGTGTGGTTTCTATACTGTGAAAGATGCAGGAACCAGATTGAAATGTTTTTACAGGTTGGAGTTGAGTAGCAGCTATTGTTTCAAGGGTTTTGTAAAGGAGGAGTAAATTAGAAATGGAAATTATTCATGATGATTGACATCACTGTTGATTCTCCATCTCCTATAACCTCTACATATGAGAGCCACACACACCTGATTGTGAGTGCTGGAGATCCCGCAGAGGAAGACGAGGTCTGCGATGAAGAGGCAGACGCTCAGATGGAGGTGGATGCTGTTCCGGGTGCCTTGGATTGAGCGGCAGAAGCGGAAGGTCAGGATACAGAGAATTAAACAGATCAGAGACAGAACTAAACCCACACGTGTGATCACCACCAACTCAAACGTGTCCTGCAGGAGGGAAACAGAAAAAAATATACATAAATCCTGCTGAAATCTCAAATAGATACGCTAAATGCTCATTTACCTAAATTGCAGATGTACCTCGACAGGATAGAGCGCCATTAGCACAGCGAAACTGCTCAGGTGAGAGCAGGAACATGCTGTATGAGTGCTGTTAGACCACGCCAACTCACAGCCCCGCCCAGACCACCCCCTCTCAGACTCACTCCAGTACACACAGGAGTAAGCCACACCCTCAGACTCCGCCCTCTTCTGAAAAACACAGAGCAAGAGTTTGAATTTGGGAACACACAAACGCTGCACATATAAATTATATTAGATTGTTGTTTAAAATATTCGTTTAAAAAAAATATCCCTACTTTGGCCTTCAGATGAATCAAACATATCTTTTTGAAACCCTTTAGAAAGTGGTTAAATAGGAAATAAATGTGGTCTATGAAAACAATGATGCATTTTAGTCTTGTTCTGTGGTGAAAGAGGTGAGAAAATAAAGGAATGGTAGATGGAAATGACACAGGCTGGACCATCTAATGTTTACTTGTGGGCAGTATAGAGACTTTTAAGGGATGATTTCAGATGTTTATTTATCCGGCTTAGTGTAGACATAGATTAATGCAAAACAGCAAAGTCTGTGTGTCTATAAATGAAGGCATCTGCATCTCTGCAGGAGACACTGGCAGTTTTTTATTAGTAAATAATTTGTTTACTAATTTTAATCGTTTACCCACTCCATTGATCTGTTATGCTAGACTGTGGATTCTTCACCTCCTCATGTGTAAAGATGAGCGTCACTGGTTTTGACAGATGTTTGGTGTCTGGGTTACTGACGACGGCCGTCACCACCTTTGAGTTGAGTTTGTAAGTTATTTGTTTCTCCTTCACATCCGATTTCTCTCTTGCCATACTGTTGAACAGATCACTGGACGAGTTCATGTCTTTATAACTGACCAGCGCCACAAACGCAAAACCTATAAGACAGCATTTGTACCTCGTCATGAATGTGAATATGATTACATGAGGATTTATTTGTGCATATTTGCTAGTATTAGTACCTGGATATGATTTGCCAACAACCGTTTCCCAGCTGGTATTGAAGTGGGCGGAGCCTGTGCTCAGAGTGACACTCCCACTGGGCGGAGTTTGATTCCGTGTGACCGCAACCTCAGCATCTGTGAGTCACATGATCATACAAAACAACTCATTACAAATTTGCATAAAAATGTAACAATATTTTTTAAAGTGTTTCTATTAGGTATATTTTCAATTCGAGCAATTTTAGGGCTAATGTAAAAACGGCTCGTACAGGTATTTTGCGTCTCCATCTTGGTCACAGGATCTTTCAGCTGAGGACCAATCAGACGCATGCTGTTCTCCACCGCATCCAGAAAAACACTCAAAGTTTCACCGTCTGCAACATTTCCCTCCGACAGCAGATCATCCGTGGAATTGCACAAGTTCTGTCAAATGAATCAGTTCATTCAGCACCATGTAGGTGCATGTTCCTTTCCATGTAATGAGTTACAAGTAATCCAATCATTCAGTTACAAGTAATCAACTCAATCAGTTAAATGTAATCAGTTACAAGCAATCTATTAAATCTTTTACAAGTAATCTGTTACAAGTAATCAGTTACAAGTAATCCACCCAAACCGTTACAAGTAATTAACCCAATCAGTAACAAGTAATCAGTTACATGTAATCCACCCGAACAAGTATAAGTAATCAGTTACAAGTAATCTACCAAATCTGTTACAAGTAATCCACCCAAACAGTTACATGTAATCCACCTAATTAGTTACAAATAATTAACTCGATCAGTTACAGATAATCAGTTAAAAGTAATCCACCCAGTCAGCTACAAGTAATCAGTTACAAGTAATTCACCTAATCAGTTACAAGTAATCAACTCAATCAGTTACAAGTAATCAACTTAATCAGTTACAGGTAATCAACTCAATTAGTTACAAGTAATCAACCATTTCAGTTACATGTAATCCACCTAATTACTTACAAATAATCAACTCGATCAGTTACAGATAATCAGTTAAAAGTAATCCACCCAATCAGCTACAAGTAATCAGTTAAAAGTAATTCACCTTATCAGTTACAAGTAATCAACCAATTCAGTTACACGTAATCCACCTAATTAGTTACAAATAATCAACTTAATCAGTTACAGATAATCAGTTAAAGGTAATCCACACAATCAGCTACAAGTAATCAGTTACAAGTAATCAACTCAATCAGTTACAGCTAATCAGTTACGAGTAATTCACCCAATCAGTTACACTTAATCAATCAAATCAGTGACAAGTAATCAGTTTTAAGTAATCCACCCAAATAGTTACACATAATTCATTACAAGTAATCCACCCAATCAGTTACAGGTAATTCACTCAATCAGTTACAAAGAATTCACCCAATCAGTATCAGATTATCAGTTAAAAGTAATCCACTTAATCAGCTACAAGTAATCAACTCAATCAGTTACAGATCATCAGTTAAAAGTAATTCACCCAATCAGCTACAAGTAATCAGTTACAAGTAATCCACCCAATCAGTTACAAGTAATCAACTCAATCAGTTACAAGTAATTAACTCAGTTACAAGTAATCAATTACTAGTAATTAACCCAATCAGTTACAAGTAATCAACCAAATCAGTTACAAGTAATCCACCTAATTAGTTACAAATAATCAACTTAATCAGTTACAGATAATCACTTAAAGGTAATCCACCCAATCAGCTACAAGTAATCAGTAACAAGTAATTCACCCAATCAGCTAAAAGTAATCAGTTACAAGTAATTCACCCAATCAGTTACAAATAATCAGTTGCAAGTAATCCACCCAGTTTTATCGCCACAGTGTGTGTTTTACCTCCAGTAACTTCTCTGCAGTGAAATGTTCTCCATGTGGATCATTCAGAGACTTGCAGCTGTTCATCAACAGTGACATCAAATGCTTCAACTACAAGGAAACACACAGAAATTGAAGCATGAGTCTGGTAGTGTTACACATTTTTCTTCTTAATAGAGCTGCACATAATATCGAAAATTTATCAACAAATAATTATAGTCCTCACAAAATAAAGTCAAGTAGTCTAAATATATGTTTCCTTAACTTTTAGGTTTTTTTTTTTTTTTGCTCAGACGATACTATTTCCTAAAACTTGTCAAAAATAAGGTACATTCATTCCTAATTGAAATTAATCAAGTAAAAGTAAATGAATCAAGTTGATTTTCTTGGCAGTCTACATTTTCTACCTTCTCCGGTGTGTTTCCTGCATCAGGCTCAGGCTTAAACTGATCACAGCTCATTTCTATACACAGAAAAGATCAAAAGTAGATTGACCTATTCTGATTAACTGAACAGAGGGACCAAAAATGCATGAATAGTTTGCTTTGCTATGCTGTTTTAAGGCTCACCGATGCATTTGGACTGGTTGTTTCCGTAGTTTGTGAAGCCCTGATGGCATCTGCAGCTGAAGCCGCCTGGATTATTGATGCAGTCTCCGTTTGTGCCGCAAACATCTGGAGATTCTGAACACTCATTAATATCTGTGAGAGAAATGATGAGTTAGAAAAAATTCTCAGTGCCGTTATAGAGTAGTATAAAGGAGATCAAAATCTGTCATCAAAATTGCCCTAAAAACCAAAAACGATACCCATCACTGTCTTGACACCACTTTCATTTTTAATGTTAATATTATTATTATTTTTAACAGCAGCACATACTGATGCTCACCTGCACACATGCCGCCCTCAAGTTCACGAAATCCTGGAGAACATTTGCAGACGAAACTTCCAGGGGTGTTAAAACAACTTCTGTGAAGTCCACATGGTGAAGATAAACACTCATCCTCATCTACACACACACACACAATCAATCAATGGCAACTCCAAGATCAAAGAGGGTCCTAAAGAACTAATTCAATACAAAGAAATTGAAGAACATGTAAATATGTAATTAGCAAAATTAGTCAGTCAGTCACTTTATAATCCTTAACAGTTAAATGAAGTCTGTGGATTAATTAAGTGTAATCGCCTGGAGTCTGTTATTTACTATATAAAAACAGAGAGGCAAAGAACTATTACACTTATTAAGGCAGTTAGTCGAAACATTTGTCTATTTGAAGTGTCGAAAGATGCAACAAATCAGCAAATAAGCATGACCAAACTGTTCTTTTCACTTATATACATTCAATTTAATATATCAAACAATTATTAAACGTGTTCTATCAAGGGGAGACTATAGTGGAATAATTATTGTTACCATTTCATCACCCAACCTTAAATGAAATTAATCTATTGTTTATAATATATTTATTAATCTAACTAATTATACAGGGTGTAGTATCAGTTATCTTCAGAATCAGTCAGACAAATAATTGTTTACTGGATGCTTTTTTTGAACTGCAATGAAAAAACTGCATTGATTTCACTTTAACTTCTAGCCCCTTAAAATAAACTTAAAACAGTCCAATAATAAGCGGAGCAAACCATTACAAACAGAGGGAAAGACATACCACAAATGTAAACAAACTTTACATAAATATAATATACATGTATTTGAGCACTCAATGAATACATTTTAATCTATTAAAAATTACGTCTCTCTTACACAACGGTTGTGAATAGTCTACAAAATGAAAATGTAAGCAGGACAAAATCTCACCTTCACATTCAGCTTCGTTCTTCCACTGATGTCCTGTGGGACACACACACACGTAGGAGCCGAAGGTGTTCTCACACCTCATTTGGGCTGGGCAGATTAATTCATCCTCCAGACACTCATTTATATCTGAAAGTCATTAGTCGGCTTGTTTTAGTACAGATTATAGCTGCACGATATATACAGCATGTGCTGTGCATTACACCATAAAAAAATCAATGGCATTATTTTGCACATGTAAGTAAGGCAGACTCCTCCATCTCACAGTTCTCTATCATACCTTTACATGGTCCTGTTTGACTCATTTTGAAGCCTGCAGCGCAAGTACAGTAGTAACTTCCATCTGTATTCACACACTGAGCATCACCACACATACCCGGAGTTTCACACTCATCTTCATCTGTAAAAGCGGCAGAGGGATAAGTGGAATTCAAGATGAAGTAATAACACCAATTGTATTGTACATTAGGGCAAGACACTGCAGGTAAAGACAATATTTTTTCATCAACTGGTCAATTCCCTTTATTTATCAGGGGTCAGCACTGCAGAATGAACCGCCAACTTATCTAGTATGTTTTACGCAGCAGATGACCGTCCAGCTGCAACCCAGTACTGAGAAACACCTATACACTCCCACACACACACACACACTATGGCTAAATTAGTGTATTCAATTCCCCTATAGTGCATGTGTTTGGACTGAAGCACCCAGAGGAAACCCATGCCAACATGCAAACTCTATAGAGAAACGCCAACTTGCCCAGGATTTAAAGGGGTGGTCCAGAATGTTATTTTTAAGGCTTGGTTGTGTTAATAAGATGCAAAGCAATGTGTGCTCATGTTTAACTTGAAGGAAATCGTGTTATTTTTTCATAAATCTCACTTTGATTATACACAGCTACTCAGCTAACATGAAAACGACTGTCATATTTCCTAGTTCCTCTAAAAGGCCCACCCTCAAGTGACTCTGATTGGTCATCATCATAATATGCTGTGATACGCCGATCGGCTTCACGTCACGCCCTGACAAGCACGCGCGTTTTGTGTAAACAGTCAGTCAGTCAGTCAGTCAACACGTGTCTGTAACGAGTGAAAATGGGATGCGGCTCCTTTAACTGTTTCTGTGCCTTTTAGTGTGTTTATGCGTGTATACGATGAAGCATCTGTAACACGAGAAGCGCATGTGCGCGGGAGAGATTTTTATTGTTCTTTTTCTCTCATGCTCGGATTAAGTTATTTTCTGTGGTGACAGAATAAAGCACAAGATGTGAGATGAGACCTTTGTGAGCCTGGATTGATTTGTTTTTGATGTTACACTCCAGTTGGGAAATCATTGCTGTATTTTTTTTAAATCAACGCGTTACAGGACGTCTTTCATGCATATGCGGAATATGCCTGTGTAAGTAACATGAATCGTTCACATATCTTTTGCGACTTTATTGTCCGAGTTGTAAAACGCATAGCATAGCTGCCTATAGAGAGAAACTCTGCCGTCTCACACAGAGAGACGCAGGTGCTGGCCAAGAGTGCGTGTATGTGTATGTGTGTGTGTGCGTTTACAGCCGTTTGATAAATATGGATTTGTAACGTTAGCTAAGTCGTTAGCGGTTACCATAATTTCCCGTTGTTTACATCTTTGCTACAACACACCGTTAAAGTTAGACACTGTACATGTCATGATCAATTTTAACAAATAAAAACACTTACAGGTCATGACTCAGAGTTCACAGCGTCTCCTTGCTCCATCTTTGAGGAGATTTTAACTGAATCCAGCACTGAACTGGGAGAGATTCTGGAAGCTGTGTTTTGTCAAATCATGCTTGCTATGTATTTTATAGTTCTCTGGAACATAATTAATATTGAACTGTAAGCATTTCTGTGTTTGGGTCGTGTCATTTGGAAGCCCAACAACAGAAACAGAACAGCTCTGTGGAAACAGCAGGATGGCATTTCTCCCTCTGCAGTAACGTTACAGCGCCTCTGGCCACGGCCTTTACCTGCGCAGTGTGGGATGCGCAATAACGAACTTTTGTGATCTCACAGGGGGCGGAAGTATTTTTTGTAGTCCCCAAAATTCGTTAATTGTAGGCGTTGCTAAGCTAACTCTGTACAAATCAAGGTCTCCCTTTGCATTAAACTTTGAATATTTTACATTCAGAGATGCTGTTTATGTTCACACAGCTACATTACACATCAACTGAAGTTTAAAATATAATATCGTAGTGGACCACCCCTTTAAACCAGCAACCTTCTTACTGTGAGGCAACAGTAATAACCACTGAGCCACCATGTTGCTCCACAACATTTCATTGTACAAAAAGGATTTTGTTTCTGTGTTTTTACAGTATTTTCTGAATTAAAAATAGGCAAAATTCCCTCAAATGTCTTAATACGAATTCTGAAACTGGCTTTGCATAGAAGAAATGTCAGTGCATACTTTATTAAATATTTGTACATTAAACATTGTAGAAGAGCTGTAATAAACACTAAAAGAACGGTAATATCCATTAGTAGTAGTCTTTTTCTATTTACCTGCAGTGTCATGTCTTAGAACTATGACTGTCACTTATTCAAACCACATAATTACCAACGCATTTCCTTTTAACAAATTTATACCCCAAGGCACATCCGCTACATGACGGCAAAAAGAGACCTGGAAAAAGAAATACCACTGTATCATCATTTGTAACGTAAATAGTGCTTCAAACAATGTAGAAAAACTATAAAATAGACTATACAGTCAAGCCAGAATCCCCGGGAAGCAATTCGCGCGTTCCCACAAATTTAAAAGTTAACGGCTATTTTCGCTAACCGTCTTACTCGTCCATTCGTTTCTACTGACTATAGTTTTAGATAGTTTTTTAACCGATACTGCTCTTGAAGAGAGCAGCTACTACACAGTGAACCGGATATCCAGACTCTAATGGTAATGCTGTTTCCATTGTAATTTTAAGGTTCAGAAAACATTTATCTGCAAACATCGTTTAAAGAAATACGAGGATGTTCTGCTGTTAGTATTTGCTGCAGTGTAATATAGAGGTAACGTTGGTTTTATATTCCCACATTCGTTTATTTAGAAGTCTCTATATTGTTTACCATGTTACTTTGAATATTCAATGGGAATTAGCATGCAATTGTGACTTTAAAACAATAATAACACTGTTTATTTGACTGTGAACAATGTTGTAATTTGATAGTCATTGGCTGCTAATTTTTTGGAGTTTGCAAATAATACTTTAAAGAAATTATATTATTAAGGGGAAAGTCCGAATGTGTGAATATAAAACCAACTTTACCTCTATCAGTGTAATCTGAAAAGCAGTCAATGTAAAAAGTGACTCAAAGAGTCAGCAGTCAATTAATTGTTTTCCAAAACAACTGATATAGCTAGTATTGACTATACTTTCGTGTTGGTTACAGACCCCAGACGGATGACTATACAGTAGGTTGATTACAAGTTTGCTCTGGCCGACATGATGAAATATTAAACGTCATAAGCATGAGGGGAAAGGTCTGAAGAAACAGAGGAAATAATACAGGTATGTACAAGATAGGTGTGTCCAGATTCGCAAATTTATGTGCTGGAGTCGTGTTGCTGGTGGTGTTTTAGCTCTTTCAAACAAGAAACAGAATCTACTCACCCAAAATAAATGCCCATTTTAGCTCCATTTAAGAAAACTTCTACCTTTTCAGTCACTGTTTATCTGTTTGAAGGTTCGCGATATACAAGTCTCCAGTCGCCACTTGTTCCTTCACGTCCGTAAAGCGTTTACCTCTGTCTCACCAGTCATTTGTTCCACCTACAGTTGTTCAGAGGAATCTCAAAAATCTTGGTTATCACTGCTGAAATCTAGAAACCCCTTTCAGCATGTGCTGTTGTACTCCTCTTTCTCGTGGTGATCTGGCTTGGCTGCTTTTCTGACTGAGTGAATGAGATAAAATCTGATATATCATCTAACCACAAGATGTCCCCCCTTCCCGAGAACATGATTCATTTTCAGCTGATTTCACAATGAGCAATATAAACCTAAAAATAATAAACAGCATGACATTTGAAATATTGTACATCCCTTTTATGTTGTACGTGTTCTTTCCAAACACACAAGTTCTTAAAAAAAATAAATAAGTAAAATGAGCATTTTAGTATATCAAGGACAAATCCTTTGGAGACTTTAAAAAAATGCTTAATGCAATTTCTTCTTTAACCTCATACTGCCTGAGTGTCCACATACGTGGACAGCACATTTTAGCTCTTAAGTGGCTATTTAACATACTTTAAACGTTTTATATTTTGTTACAGACATAAAGTGTCATCATGAAGCTGTTTTGCAGCATAAGAAATGTCCCAAATCCTACTTTTAACTGTCTAAAATGGGGGAAAGGTTGTTTTTATTCTCTGATAGTCAAAGCAAGTAAAAAAAAAAAACTTTATATAATAAATATGCACAAAAATTTCGGGGAAAAGTGTTTTATGTAAATTTGGACAACAAGTCCACATAAATGGACATACTTTTTCATTTTCATCATATCAAAAGATGAAACTTGGGTTTTTATTCTAATTAGGTTCCAATAAGCCCAAATAACAAAGAGAAATAAAAAAAATGCATGTAAAAAAACACATTGGCCCAAGAGGATAAAACTTCTCCAGTTTATTGGGAAGTTGTATATCAGTGAGTGCCAATGCACAAAAATTTAAGTATTTAAGCAAAACTGTCCTGTGAAATCTCCCTCCTTACTGTACTCCGCATTGGTTTTATTCATTTTCACTGGAAATTATTTGAAAGAAAATCAGTTCATGTGTTAATGCCATGTTAATATACCAAAGTAGGAAATAGGTTCAATGTTAAAATATATAAAATAATAATATTAATAATATATATATATATATATATATATATATATATATATATATATATATATATATATATATATATATATATATATATAAAAGTTACTAGTTCATTAATAAATGTGTCAATGCATCATCACAATATGTGAAATAAGCCCATTATTGGCAGTTACTCTAAAAATGCATACTTTTACTCAACCCAAGTCAAAAGTTGGGTTAAAAAAGTAATTTAAATTACTAAAAACATACTAGAACCACACTGGGTTTGTGCATTTTTGCTTAAATGTTGGGTTAATACAACCTAGTGTTTTTAGAGTGTAGAACATATTTAAACTAAATAATGCTATAAGGTAAGCAAGTAACATAGACTTTTAACATCATATATTACAACATTTTTAATAACCATAATATCTCTGATTAGATATACGTTGCAAAGCTCTCACTAGTGAATTCTGAACCCTGTTTCAGGAGTTCACACTTAGCTGATGATTGATTATAAAGCTTGTTCGGCATGCTGCTAAGGGACTAGAACCAGTGACGTTTTTGCTGTGAGGCAACAGTGCTAACCACTGGTCCACCGTGCCACCCATCTAGGAAAGGAGGAGGAGTAGAGGTGGAAGTGGGTATTCTTCAAAATGAAGATGGCTGTGATATGGAAATTATAGGGTGTTAATAGTGGCTTAGGAATCTTCTGATTGGTGAATCATAAATTGAATAACGCGGGACTGGCTACAAGCAATCATAAGTACATGATCCTCTCGACATTAGTTTAACTACACTTAAAATCCAACTTCAGTTTCACTTTCATTTTCCATAGTTGAAGAGATTTAAAGGTTTTAAATAAGACCTGCCCCATTGCAATACAACATCATTTCAAAGAAGAGGCTTTGTGCATAATCTAAAATATCATATAAATTCAGACTGGTTTAAATTCATATGAACCAAGCAAAGCCAAAGACACCAAAACACGCATGTTTTAATGTGGATGATGAACCACTTCTGCAGTATTCCTGTTAAACTCTTCATTTGTCACAGCAAGACTTCATGTGTTCAATAGTCAATAAAAATCCACCAGGACTTGAAAAGCGCTTCACAACTGTGACTCTCCTGTGCTCTGATCACTCTGTAGACGTTTCTGTAGGAATCAGAGGATGAATGAAGGAACTACAGGCACAAACTCTGAATATTCTGACACACACACTCAAACACACACTGCTGTACCTGACTGCTGTGAGACGGCTCTGTACTGACACTGTAGTCTCCTTTCTTTTTATATGGACACATTCGCACAAACAGACTGTGATACTCCACTCTCACCTGAAGAGGGCGACAGAAGATATCACATAAGTTAGATAAAATGTAACATAATAATACAGTGTCTAGTGCCAGTTTTACAAAAAAAATTTAAAATCATAATAGAGGTTATGCATTTTTATTATGATGCCAATATAATTATCTTAAACACCAGAATAGCTGATATACACCCAATTTCCTCCTTTTTTTCTACATCTTTTGGGTTAAAAAACATTTTACATTTACATTTTGTTTTTATTTTTAATTTTAGAGCATGTCCACTGTAGTGGACCACTGGACCATTTTAGTTCCAAACGACCACCACTCAGACAACAAAACTGTAGAGGATATGGCTGTAAAGGAATAATAATCCAATATTAATGTACCAAAAACAAAACAAAACCTTTTTTTTTTCTTTTGTATTGAAATTCCTGAAATTGTTTAGTCTGAAAAAAAAACTTTAAAAAAACTAAACAAAAACAAAAAAGTGATGTTAATCCAAAACAAATTTAACATAAAAGTGATTTAAAACTGATCGTCATTTTTTAATTGTCTCTAATTCTCTCATTGTCAGACTCTAAATCAGAGTCTCCCTCAACTATCTTATAAATAATCCTCTCTGCTTCAGTTCTGCCTCCTACAACATGCAGTTATTAATTACATTAAGATGGTCCTGGTGTCCACTATAGTGGACATTTAAAAAAGGATGATATTTTGAAAAACAAACAAGTTAACAGCTTTGAAAGCTAAATGTATTGTTCCTGACACTTTAATAAACAAACATATATGTAATAATAATAGTAAAATATATGTATGTATATATATATATATATATATATATATATATATATATATATATATATATATATATATATATATATATATATTTAAAAAGCTCAATTTTACATGCTTTTTTGTATTTCTGCCATTTTGGAGGCAGTGTAAGAAGTGGTTCCTAGCATGCCAGCCAATCAACTGACATATCACTAAAAAACCCAGGATGTCCTCTGAACAGTACAATGGACTTGACAGAGTAGCTCAAAACTTCCAAGAAAATTCATTAAACCGCAATGTCCACAACAGAGGACACAAGTCAATGGGCGGGGTCTTAGGAGGATATATACTATATTATTAATCTTAACTGAATGCTTGATTCTGATTGGCTGATGAGCATTCTAAAGTGTGTATTTATTTTGAGATAAACGCTCAGCAAAAGTAGTTCCAGGCAGGAACCAATGATGTGTTTTTAACATTGTTATTTCAGCTTATTATCTCTGTCATTACTTTACATTACAGCATAGGAGTCAAACTCAGTTCCTGGAGGGCCGCTGCTCTGCACATTTCAGTTCCAACCCTAATTAAACACACCGGATCAAACTAATTGAGTCCTTTAGGCTTTTTATGAAACCTACAGGTAAGTGTGTTGAAGAAGGACTGAAACTAAACTGTGCAGGGCTACGGCCCTCCAGGAAGTTTGACACTGCTGCATTAGAGGATGTTTGAGTATAATGAAACCAGACTCTCCTCTTTTGTTATTATTTTTTCTAGGCTACTTTTTTTACTTTTACTCAAGTATATTTTGGCATCTTTCACAGGTCATTTTTGACGTCAAACTCCACTTTTCGCCCTATAGACTTCCATTCATACACATGACACTGCACCAAACCGATGCGTTCCAAAGTTCAAGGTCAAGTGTAGTCAACTCTAACCCCCAAATTTACATCACCGGATTGCAAGCGACCAATTGTAAAATTGTACATGACCTCTATGTACAGAAATTTAAATTATGGAGCAATCACTTATTTTATTAGTGTCGTATCATCTTGTTTTTTCCCGCCACTTTTCGCACGCTCCAACTCTAATGTGACTGCAGATTACACAATCATCAGTTCATCACAGATGTGTATTTATTCATTCATTCATTCATTCATTTTCTTTTCAGCTTAGTCCCTTTGATAATCTGGGGTCACCACAGCGGAATGAACCGCCAATTTATCCAGCACGTTTTTACATAGCGGATGCCCTTCCAGGCGCAACCCATCTCTGGGAAACATCCACACACACTCGTTCACACTCAAACACTACGGACAATTAAGCCTACCCAATTCACCTATACCGCATGTTTTATGACTGTGGGGGAAACCGGAGCACCCTGAGGAAACCCACATGCAGGGAGAACATGCAAACTCTACACAGTAACCCCAACTGACCCAGCCGAGGCTCGAACCAGCGACCTTCTTGCTGTAAGGCGACAGCACTACCTACTGCGCCACTGCGTTGCCCCACATGAGTATTATTGCATGTATTAAAGTACCTGTTTGGACAGCAGGCAGTGCATGATGAAGATCAGCGCCCCCTGGAGGCTGTTGAGGATGATGAAGAGGTACAACATGACCTCAGTGCCGTTTTTCTGGAAGAGGAAAAAACCGAAAACCCAAGATCCTCCAAGAACACACAGCTGAGCCACTGCGGTCGCCAAAAAACTCCTGAAAACACAACAGAGTTCATCAAAACTGCTGATAAACCACAAAGAATCACACACACACACACACACACACCTGATCTTGTGGAGTTTGGAGAGGTCTGGGTTGAGGCTGGAGAACTTTAGGGCCAGTTTCCACACGGTGATGATGAAGACAATAATGTTGAGGATGACGATGATGCAGACAGGTGCGAAGAAACTCAAGATTAAATAACCCTCCAAAGACAGCCAACAGCTGGAAAACAACACGCACCATTCACAACATTACAACAAAAATTCAGCCCTCTTTGTCTTCATAGTCCCTAATATCGCTGATATACTGTTATAGATTTTACTAACTGTGTTTCTTTTTTATATCCTAATATTATAATTGAACAAGATTGCAGTGGTGATTTTAAATGTGCCTGGAGAAACAATGACTTTCATGCGCTGTATACAGATATAGATGTGCTACTGTAAAGAGCATCTATAGCATTCAGCTCTATACTTCTGCTTTTTGTCTCACACTCACTGTTTATTTGTGCCGTATCCCTTTGGGAAGGTGATGGCAGAGATGGAGACGATGACTAGAGGGACTCCGTATCCCACCGCGTACAAGTAGAGGTGTTTTAATGTGGTGTGAAAAACCAGAACAACCATCCGGTAGAGCTGAACCCCCTCCAGCAGCATCCAGCAGAACGCAGACAAGAAGAAGAAGTGGAGCAGACCGGCCACAATCGCACAAGCCACCTGACAGGATCAATACAGTCAAGAATTAGAGTCAATATTTCTGTCCAGAAAGCTTACTAGTTCTATATATCTGTCAAAATAGCACAAGATTATCCTGCTTCAATGTACAGTATGTGTCATCAAATAAAGTTCAGCACAAAAGTAATCTAAATGTAATCCAAAAGTAGTTAGATTACATCAAGCGTGGATTTAGGTTTGCTGGATGTTTGTCATCAACCGAAGAAAAGATGCATAACGAGGCACACCAGTGTTAATGCGGGGAATATTGGGAACTAAATGATTGAGCTGTGATGTTCATAAGTGTGGTTTCTATAATGTGAAAGATGCAGGAACCAGATTGAAATGTTCTTACAGGTTGGAGTTGAGTAGGAACTATTGTTTCAAGGGTTTTGTAAAGGAGGAGTAAATTAGAAATGGAAATGATTCATGATGATTGACATCACTGTTGATTCTCCATCTCCTATAAACTCTAGATATGAGATCGACACACACCTGATTGTGAGTGCTGGAGATCCCGCAGAGGAAGACGAGGTCTGCGATGAAGAGGCAGACGCTCAGATGGAGGTGGATGCTGTTCCGGGTGCCTTGGATTGAGCGGCAGAAGCGGAAGGTCAGGATACAGAGGAATAAACACAGCAGAGACAGAACTAAACCCACACGCGTGATCAGCACCGATGCAAAAGTGTCCTGCAGGAGAGGAACGGGAAAATACAAACTGATTTTACTGCAAAGATTTGATCTAAATTCTGAAATTCTGAATCACAGGTGTACCTGGACAGGATAGAGCGCCATCAGCACAGCGAAACTACTGAGGTGAGACCAGTGACACACTGTATGAGTGCTGTTAGACCACTCCTTTACACAGCCCCGCCCAGACCACACCTTCTCAGACTCATTCCAGTACACACAGGTGTAAGCCACACCCCCAGACTCCGCCCTCTCCTGAACGATAGAAAACGAGATATTGTGAAAGATGGATAACAGAGAGTAACTTTTACAAGGTGCAGCACAGAGAATAGCATCTGGTGAATCTGGTAGAGCACACACCTCACTTTAAGACAGGTGAGTATTACTGAAATACTGGGCTTTACTAAAACTCACAAGTGAATGCTGGACATTGGTGCTGGGGACTGTGAGAGATACAGGGAGATCAATGAAGATTCATTTGATACTTGACAATTCAAGTATTATCTTTGTCAATAACTTTAAATAAAGTTATTAGTTATCATGTAAAGTTGCTTTTCCACGACTTTGCCCAACGGTTCTTGGAATATTTGTTTACAGTTCCAGTTGTATTTCCATGTGATCTTGGTACAGCATGGTGCAATTACAAACCATCCTAGAATTCTAGGCACGGATACACAATAGAACATGTGGAATTTGTCTGTCCACACCAGACTTAACACGACTTGACATTAAAGACTCGACAATTCAGAAGATTAACTACCTTAAGCAATTAAATTAACCATTCAGAAGATTAACCATCTTCAAAAGTGAAAACTTTTAGCAAGACAACACTGTTCAGAACAAAAGTGGAAAGGAGGCTAAACAGTCTTCAAACCCTAATTAAAAACCAAGTTCAAGTTTGGTCGAGGGTTTCCTGCTGGTCTAACCTGGTCTTTAGTGTGTGCCAACTGGTGAACCATCTTGGACAGGCAACCAACCAGTTAGTCAAACCAGCTTATGAAGTTCAATCTGTTAAACATGGTAGCTAATCAAACAATTAGCTTAAAATACAATTTGAAAAGAGGGAATACACAGATACGTGATTTTTTTTTGGTGCAGTCATGACCTACATTTTGTAACCTGAAGGTTGCAGGTTCCAGTCTTAGTACTGGTAGGGATTATAGAGAATGGGATTAAATACCTAGTGCTCCCTTCCACCATCATCATCATGATTTGGATGAGACCCTTGAGCAAAAAATGGCTGCCCATTGCTCCTGGTGTTTGTTGACAACTCAAGAACACAAAGTCTGTGAATGGGTAACTATATGTGGCCACAAATCTCTTCACTTTTAGTATCAGTTTTTACAATTCATATAAACAATGTGATGTTGTGCTAGTTTGTGTTGTAAGTGGATGTGCCAGTTTTTTTACCTCCTCATGCGTAAATGTGAGCATCATCAGATCAGACAGCTTTTTGGTGTCTGGATTACTGACGACAGCCGTCACCACCTTTGAGTTGAGCTGGTAAGTGATTTTTTTCTCATCCACATGCAGTCTCTTTCTGCTATCCTCTTGTAATGTTCTGCTCGTCTTGTGAGACAGATCACTGGACGAGTTCATATCTTTATAACTGAACAGCGCCACAAATGCGAAACCTAATGGACAACAGCGTTTACATCTAATCAATAATTTGATGATGCTTTCATAAGCACGAATCTGTGTGTTTGTACCTGAATATGCTTTGCCTACAACAGTTTCCCAGCTTGTGCTGAAGAGGGCGGAGTCTGTGCTCAGAGTGACACTCCCACTGGGCGGAGTCTGATTTCGTGTGAGCGCAACCTCAGCATCTGTAAGACGTGATCATACAGAACTGCTTTCACCACTGTTACAGCATTAAACACAGCATGTCTTATACACCGATGCAATCTCCTTTGCATTATAACCTTTTGAATTAGAGGCTACTTTGTATTAATTTGTATGATCTTATTCAAAAATGTATTACGACTTGCTCATCCTCCAATGACAGAAAGGTCTATGGAATGGGGTTTGGATAGGATGCCTCCTTTTAAAAATCATAATTTTTTTTTAACAAATTAAATTGCATTAATTAGCGCAAATTAGCCACTTTACTGACAATTTGTAAAATAGTTGTTTCTTCGTGAGATCAAGCTGGTTGGAAACTGACTGAACTCTAATGGCTAGTTTATACTTCAGCATCAAGTGTGAGCGGATGGTCCGCCGGTGCCTTTCTGCAGTCACATACATGTCAGACATGCACCTTTGGTAAATATTCCAATGCATATTGCAAGAGCTGTGATTGGTTGGCTTGGTATCAGTGAGGAATATGGGCGGGGCTGATAGCAGAGCCCAGCCAGTGGACCGAGTGTTTAGAAGTGTCAAGTACTGTGGAGGAGCTCCATATAGATCACTTGGTTTTGGGGTTACTTTAGAGCACAGGTGTCAAACTCAGTTCCAAAAGGGCCGCAGCTCTGCACAGTTTAGTTCCAACCTGATATAAACACACCTGATCAAACTAATTGAGTCCTTCAGGCTTGTTTGAAACCTACAGGTAAGTGTGTTGGAGCAGGGTTGGAACTAAACTGTGCAGGGCTTCGGCCCTCCAGGAAATAAGTTTGACACCCCTGCTTTAGAGTTAAAGTTGTTGAACGTCTGCCGGTTCCCGCCTTTTTCTTCCTTGAATGATTAAGTGTGAGCTACTTGAGGTACAGTATGTTAGCATTTCCGGTGTATAAAAAACACCCATTAAGAAACTCAAGAGAGGAACTGACAAACCAACACTGCCTGCTAGCATTTCGGATGTGTTTTTACCGTGCAACACAAACAGAATGCAGAAGTATAAATGCACAAGCCAATCACTCGGTGTAAAAGTATAATCCAGGAGTCTTACAGGTATTTTGTGTCTCCATCTTGGTCACAGGATCTTTCAGCTGAGGACCAATCAGACGCATGCTGTTCTCCACCATGTCCAGAAATACACTCAGATTCTCGCCGTCAGCGACTTTTCCCTCCAGCAGCAGATCATCAGTGGAGTTGCACAAGTTCTGTCAAATTTATAATTGACGTTTGTTTGTAAGTGCACGTTCACAAACCGCTAAATGAATTTCTCAGGCAGTGTGTGTGTTTCACCTCCAGTAGCTCCTCTGCATTGAAATGTTTTTCTACTGGATCATTCAGAGACTCGCAGCTGTCCTTCAGCAGAGACATCATCTGATTCAACTACAAGAAAACACAGAAATCAAAGTCTATAGGAGAGTCAAAGAAGAGGCGGTGCAGTTTTGCTTTTAAAAATAAACATTTTTTTATGTTCAACACACACATAATAATTCAAAGGTTTATAACCACTTAAGGGAGAGTAAATCGTGAGAAGGTTTTGGGTGAACTATCTCTTTAAACATTATTTTACTAATATCATATTTACAAAACTAATAATATTAAGTGGGTTTTTACCTTCTCTGGTGTGTGGTCTTCATCAGGCTTAGATTTAAACTGATCACATTCGATTTCTGTGCACATCAAAATAATCAATCACACTATATTGCACTGATTAACCTTCATATTATTCTATTCACATTCTCATTTGCAGATGTAACCCGTGTTCACTGAAGGAGAGGGATTGCTCTGCATGAAAGACTCGTGAATGGCAGATTAACCTGCTGCTGCTGAAGCTACAATAAGGTAAATAAATAAATATAACAGAAATGTGGATGATGTGTGGAGATGATTGACAGGGCCCGAAAATAAGCAACAGAACAGTCCATTAATGAGGAAGTAGTTTGTTTCAAAGCTTGCATACTATTCTGCTACACACTCAAATGTATGTGCTTTTTTTCACAAACAAAGTACACACTTTTAGGACGTAGTATAAGTAGGTATATTAGGACAGTGGTTCTCAAAGTGGGGGTCGGGACCCCTTGAGGTGTCGCGGAACAATGTAGGGGGGGTCGCCTGGTGATTTCCAAAAATCTACTTATTATTATTAGGCCATAAGAATTACCATATTTTATCCATAACCAACTGAAGAGAAAAACGTTTATAGTTACTATAGTAGCTTATTTACTTGTTCTATTGGATTGCGACCCCTGGGGTAAAGATGCAGCAGATTGATTTTATAACACCAGGTTAAACTTTCTGGCCCATTTACAGCACTGACATACATAAAAGAAATTAACGAAGAATAGACTTTGGTCTATTGGTGTGTGTGTGCGCGCCATTGCATGCAAGTTTTCTGTATTTATAACCACCTCAGAGGATATTGGGGGTCGCGAGTCATTGGCATTGTTATTTTAGGGGTCGCGTGCTGAAAAGTTTGGGAACCCCTGTATTAGGACACTGAATACCTGTTTGCTCTGCTGCTCCTTTAGGGCTTACGAATGCATTTTGACTGGTTGTTTCCGAAGTTTGTGTAGCCCTGATGACATCTGCAGATGAAGCCACATGAATAATTGATGCAGTGTGAAAGAAAGAAAAGACGAGTTAGAGAGCATCCTACTTTATTAAAGTCTTGATTAATTTTGTTATTAAACGTCCTGTGAAGTGCTTTGAATTGTGCATTTTTGGTCAGTGTGTGACGATTTCAACTGAAACATTACGACAGGGCGAGATGTAGAATAGCTCCTCCCCTTTGAAAAAATAGCCAATAGCATTTTTTGTTTTTGTAAATCTCGCGCATAAAGCAATATCCTCCTGAAGGAGGCGGGGCATGTCAGATAGTAGAGAGCATATGAGTGGTCAGAAGATCTGATGAGAAACTGCAGTATGAGGGGATGTCAAAACAAGTTTGTTGATCCAAACTGCAAACTTTGGATGCTTTTATCATTTTATTGCACATTTTGACTCTGTTTTGGAGCACACTAGCTTAGAGTCTAACATAAAGATAATAATATCTAAGAAACAATCATTTATTTACACAGGGACTTTAAATATACAGCCCAAACTTGTAGATTGTCTCACAAATCAAATTAACTTTATAAAAAAAAAATGTAAACAAAAGGTACCTTGACGGTGAGCCGGAAATGAAGATGCAGTGATATCTAAACTTGCTTGAGTAGACATCGTTAAATATGGTTGACTAGAGATCTCTAAATCTGAATCACCAGAGATCTCTGAATCTGTATCACCAGAGATCTCCAAATCTGGATCAGCAGATGCAGTAGTAGGTCCATTATTACACTGTACACCTGACAGGAGGGAAAGAAAGTTGTTTTAGTAGGAATCACAGTGCATTCTGAAAGTGTTCACAGTGCTCCACCTTTTCCACATTTTGTTATGTGACAGCATAACACCATGTCCTACACATGATGCGATGCTGCGATCTTTCCATGTTAAAATGATTTTGTTGTCCTGAACATCTGTGACAATAATGCACAAAATATGTTGTTTCTATTTCTGTGACATCACAGCTGAACAACATCATAATCTACTAAGACAATGATCACCTCAGGTACTGATAATCTGCTTTATGCAGTGTTAAATGCACCCAATGTGAGTTTTAATACCAATATGTATGACATTTAAAAATATACCGAAAGCTGCTGCAGGAAATTTACCCAATATCTTAAAAATAAACATAATTTTTTTAATTATTTGATGCAATAATGCAGTCTCTGCTTTATTGGAAAAAAAGGTATGAGACCTAAAAAGAGGAAAACTCCACCCTGTGTTTGACTCTTTTAATGCTTTTCCTTTCCAGCACATTGTCCATTAACTGACCTTAAACCTCCACTGTTCCTGTTATGATTTCCATGCACTGGGAACAGCGTAGATGTTCTAGCTTGAGATAGTTCATAAACAAATTTAGGATCACAGGATTAGAGTTGACACAAACAAACCAACACAATCAGGCTTTGTTGGGATCATGACATTGGTCTACAACTTTCTCTGCTTACTCAAACTTTGATCCCAAGCTCATGAAAGCATGCAGAAGGCGGCGGAAAAACAGCAGCAATGCAGCCAATCACAGGCCTTGAAACATACTTTTTTAAATGGACAAAAAATATATTAAAATAATAAAAATGTAATGTATTTTTTTTCTCACTGACAGCCTCGAAACTATGGTGCCAAACAATAGTACAAATTTAGTTTTTTTACTTATTTATTAAAGCTAATTCTGCCTAAAAAAATCAAAAGAACGCACATGGGTTAAACTTTGTGCTACATCAATAACAAAATAGTCATTTGAAATTTGTAAGTCGCTATGTATAACGCATCTGCTAAATAACTGAAATGTACAAAATGGATTCAGTCCAATACCGTGACATACTGCGGGAATCACACTCGATAATCCTTTATCGCTAGTATAGGAACTTCCTTCTGTAGTAAAACTTCTAAAGGACAGAATGAAACCTGAAAGAGACAGAAAATACACAAACATACTTGTGATGCTTCACTTACTGATATCAGGCATATGTTGAACGTCATTAAATATAGTTTACCGGTTTGACTGGATGAACGTTATAAACTCGATTAAGCGTAAATGATATTCAAATAACACAGAAACTCGCGCGCTCTCGGAATTCAAAAATCAACGGTTATTTCTCACCTTCACAGTTGACTCAGGTTCGTTTTGATATCTTTAACTTATACTTGATTTGTAGGTGAAAATGTATGTACATCGATTTATTTATTATTATTTTTTTAATTGAAGAAAACAGATAAGAAAAATATTACATTTTACAGTCTATGGAAAAATCACAGGTGCTTAACCAAATTTGTTTAATTGTTCATTTTATTGAACGTGATGCTTCACTGCTAAATCACATAGGCCATATAAAAACCTTTAGAAATCGACCTTAAAGGCAGATTTTATAAATAATATTTGGTAACACTTTATATTAACATAATGACTCGTTTATTAAGCATAGTGAATTTATTATTTGGTAGCATTAACTAACCATTAATAAACTTTAGTAAGCAGTTTATAACTGCAGCTACAAATGCTCTGTTCTTGATTTATAATGTGCTTAATAATTGTATTTTCATAATTTGTGAGTGCTTGATGTTTCAAATGAATAGAAATTAATTAAGTCATTTAATTTATTTCCTGTTTAGAATATAACGGAGCCTTTAATTGTCATTTATTAGGGATTTATAGTCCTTTAGATTAGGTCACAAAACTGCATGAAGCTGTGTTAATAAAGCATTTATTAACATACAAATTAACTGTTATTATATGCCTGAATAATAAAATATAGGCCTATACATGTTCATTTGAAGTTTATTAATCATGAAAACGACCAACAATTCTTAAATAACTGGTTTGTAAATAATGCAAGTTAATTTAGTAATGAAGAATTTATCATTAAAGTATGAAAACAATCATTAATCATATTATAGATGTGCTTATACAAGTCAAGAATACAGCATGTGTAGCTGCTTACTAACGTAGAGTTAATGCTTAACAAAAAATGAATTATATGCTAATGCTTAATACATGATTTATAGTGTAGTTATTATAAAGTGTTACCAAATACTTTTAAATATCTGTCACCGGTCATGATTGTCAGCTGAGCTAACTTATTTAATGATGTCCGACTGTGGGCAGAAGTGAAAGAATGCGAAATGAAACAAATGTTGGAAAATGCGAGCACTTTTTAACTATGCACGACTGTGTAGAATAGATGTGAACACCATCTGTATGGTTTCATATTTCGTACAATGGAATGTTTGAAACTGAAACTGTTCGTGTTACTGACACATAACCAGCAGCAACTACAGAGCAACACTGCTGAACACTAAGACGGGCTGCTGTCCCAAAAGAAGAGCCCAATTAAGCTCCATGTTAGAAACAACACAACATCTGTAATAGAATGTACGATCGATATATGTCAAATTCCTAAAATCTGACAGGTACAGAAAGCCGTATGCTACTTTTCTTACGGGCTGTGTTATTTTGAGCTCTGACTCCCGGTGCTTTATGTAAACGCACGCCGAGCGCCTTTACACGTACATTGTAAAAACGCTGGCACTTTCACTGACGGCAGAAACGTCGTGAACCATACAATCTTTACAACAGAAACCGTTATGTCTTTTGGTTGCAGACACATTAGCTGCAGAATAATCCAACTTTAATAATCACAACATCTGTGAACATGCAGGAAAAGCTACTCACCCAAAAGCAGTGCCCATTTTGGCTCCATGCTGCAAGTATCTTATTTTAAGCTCAAGTATTTACATACAAGTCTGTGTTATTAAATGACTAGAAAGCCTTATGCTCTTCTTGAGTTGTTATTAAGGACACTGAAAATGTTTCTTGTTAAGTTCTGCAACATGCATGGCATTTCAGAGATGATCTCTCTGCTGTTCCCCACTGCATTACTACTTGCATTAGATTCCTCAAACCACAGAGTCCCTCCTTCCCGAATACAAAAGATTCATTTTCAACTAATTGACAAAAAAAAAGCTGTGTGGGTGTAAAGCTAAAAATAGTAAATAGCATGAAAGCTGCTTTGATTGATATGGAATTTTGAACATTTATGCATCGAATTTAATGTGTGTGTAAATATATATATATATATATATATATATATATATATATATATATATATATATATATATATATATATATATATAATTTATTTTATTTTTTTTTTCCATTAAATTTGCATTTTAAAAAACTACATACTAATAGGTCAAACTGCTGTCAGGATGCAAAAACATATTACTCCACTTAATATTTGTTCTCTCTCAATGTTTCTATTGTATTTATTTATTTATTCCACGTCTGAGAGTTTTAAATACAGGAAACATGCACTTATTTTCCATTATTACTGTTATTTACATTTCGTAATCAATGCAAAAGGTATCAGAGCTGACGTGTCATCAAGACTATCGATGTGACAAAAGGTTTAGAAATAAATCAAAATAATTATGCATGATATATTATAAAAGAACAGGAGGAAATCAAACAAATCTGTCTTTATCCACTGTGGAAATACAAACACGTTGGTGTAATGACCACCAATGAAGCAAAGAGAGTAATGGAAACATTTTCAGCTGTAAATACAGATGAAATAATACAATTTAAAAAAATAAGTCCTTTAAAAAGCGCTTAAAGTTATCGACTGCTCCTTTACCACGGTTTCTAAAACAATATGAAATAATATAATGATTTCCCGATGCTGATTTTGACAAGTGATTTTTAAAACATTTCCGTGTATTTTGGAAATCTTTGTATGAGTCTTCAAATGCTATTAATAGTTCCTTACAGAAGTAAACAGGTAAAACACTTGAAATGTTCCAAAATAATACATTTCATATGCATTTCATCCTGTTTTTTGCTGTCATAGTTGATGACAAAATGCCTCATTACAGGCATGCGCAATCCAGTATTATAGGAGGTAAACCATTTAAAATCAGAATATCTTCCTTTGTGTTTAACAGAAAACAGAAACTTAAATTAGTTTGGAGCAAGGGAAGGGAGAGTGAACGATGACAGAACTTTCAGGTGAACTATCCCTTTAAATATGCACAGCTTCATGATCAACCAATGCACTGAATGCTGAAAAGACTCTACGATGATTCAGTATTCATTATTTTGAGGAAAGCTCAGTGTTACTACTGCCTCTCCTACTGGAGTTAACCCTTGTATATTGTTCAGATTGACTCCCCTTTGGTTATGTTGGGGCCTGTTTTTACCCCATTGACTTCCATTATAACCATGTTTTTTAATTGTAAAGGCATGACAGCATATAGTCATGCATTCTTGATTGTTGCTGGTTTGCCTTGTTGGGAAGAAGTAAAATGTGTCATTTTTACTGTTGATCATCAGTTGGCAGCATTAACTCTTTAGATAGGCCTATGCAAATATAAGTTTCTGGCTGATCGTTGAACTGCAACAGTAAAAACGTCCCTCTTCCCAACAGGGAAAACCACTAACCATGAAGAATGCATGCAATATACGTTGTCATAGCTTTTGCAATCAGAAGTGTCATTATATTGGAAGTCAATGGGGTAAAACAGCCACAACATAACTAAAAGGGGAGTCAATTTGTGTATTGAGAAAACTTTTTTCCATTTCTCAAAGCATTTTTTCAAAATATGTTTCCAAATAAGATTTGTGGCCAAAAATCATTCCATTTGTTGTGGAAAGTCATGGCCAAATCATCACTCAAAATCAAACAAGACTGGATGAAAACATCCCCAACAGCACACAAGGGTCAAACATGCACAGTTTCATGATCAACCGATGCACTGAACTGCCTCTATGTTGATTCCGCAGCCGGCTGTTCTTTCACATGTTTATTCTGGTGCGTCTGGAATCCTCCTAAATACGCGAACCTCTCTCCGCAGATGGAGCAGTGGTACGGTTTCTCTCCGGTGTGAACTCGTTCGTGGATCTTCAGCACGTCCGACCGCGCGAACATCTTGTCGCAGTGTGAACACTTAAAAGGTCTTTCTCCGGTGTGAATCCTCTTGTGCTTCAGTAGATTGGTGTGTTGGCGGAAGCTCCTCCCGCAGACGCTGCAGTGGTACGGCCGTTCTCCAGTATGGACTCTCTGGTGGACCCTGAAATGCGCCGGATCTGAAAAACTCTTCCCGCAGTGGAAACACAAATACGGCTTCTCTCCAGAATGCATTCGCTCGTGGCGCTTCAAGTGCGCGATCTGCCGGAACCGCTTGTCGCATTGTAGACACTGATGCATTTTTTCTGAATGTATTTTCTGGTGTGAAATTAAACAAATGGGTTGCTTGAAGGTTTTTCCGCACTCGCTGCACTGATACGGCCGCTCGCTGGCATGCGATCGCATGTGCGTTTTAAAATGCGAGCCGTCTCTGAAGGTCTTGACGCAGTGAGGGCATTTATACGGCCTTTCGCCGGTGTGGATTCTCTTGTGCACCATCATGGACTGTTTGGTGCTGAAGTGCTTGTCGCATTCGCTGCAGTGGAACGGCTTCTCTTTGGTGTGTGTTTTCATGTGTGTTTTCAGATTGCCGGAGGAGAAAGAAACCTTCCCGCATAGCTCGCAGTGAAACTCTTTCTTCACCGTGTGCACTTTTGAGTGAACTCGACGCTCTTTTAAGGTGGGAAAGCTGATGTCGCATCTCTTGCAGAAGAAAACCTTCTGCCCGGAGTGCTTTTGCTCGTGTTTCAATAGATTTCCGAGCTTTCTGAATGTTTTTTTGCATTGTTTGCAGGGGAAAGTGGTCTTCGGCTTCTGTTTTGAAGTTGATGCGGTTTCTTCATCAGATGAATCTTTGTTTTCATCTGAAGGGATACAAAAAGCTTAGCTTTAATGTGCGTGTCGCTGGAGTTAAACAGAAAAACATGAATGCAGATAAATTAAAATGGTTGTTCAGAGCTAAATAATAACAACATCAACTCACTTGGCAAAATGCACATTTTTTAAAGAGCCGCTATAATGGGTTTTCGAAAAGGACCTTCCATGTAGTGTGTAACACAGATCTAGTGAAGTGAAATATCCAGCTAAAGCTTAAATCTGAAAGTGGACAGATTTTAAAACTATTGATTCATCTTAAAAAAAAAAAAAAAGTCAACTCACAGTTATCCTCTTCATAATTAGTCTTTAGCTGTTTCGGCGTGACGTGACTACGAAACATAATTGTTGCGCGCGCAAACTCAGGAAATTTTAAACCTGCGGCCCGCCCACTAACATAGCAGCAAAGACTTACAGATCCTGAATTCGATATTACTGGAAAAGTGAGAGGAAAGAAGTGATTCAGCAGTCTACACACTTACAGTGGGCGATTCATTCGTTTGTTAAAGGAAGGATCAGAAAAGACTGTTGTATTAGACTTGTGAGAATGGGCAGACAGTACACTAGGGGTGCGTGCAAAATAAGGCCAGTTTATTAGGCACAAAGGCAACCTGCTGCACGCTGAGGAGGAGCACTGGTGAGCGCTACAACCCCCTGACTAGGGATGTGATCTTTGGGCAAAGCAAAGTACAGGTAAGCCCTGAGAACATATAACACTTCACGCAAGAGGTGCCACAGCAATAAGTGCAAATAGAAATGATCTTACAGCTGAGAAGGGAGAAAAAGCTCCAAAATAAAAGATAATTAATGAAATCAGTCCTGGCCTAAGGCACCTTTTTAAAAGGCTGTCTCCTTGTTTTCTCTGGCTTGATGTATTTAATTGTGTTTTGTTACTTGTAACCACTTGTACTGTATCAAGTTAACTCTTTATATTCTCATATCGCGTCTAATGCCACATTGAAACGCTACGCGGGCTGCTTTGTGAGCTCTAATTGCACTGTCGTTTGTCGTTGCTGGTGTTTGACTATACTACTTTTGGTGGTAAGGTGTCTGAATAACACTGTTGAGTAAGTTTTACTATGAAGCGTGTTTCGGGCGTCCGCTGCGATCAGATGCTATACCAATGTTGGGGACCTGGGGGCTTGACAAAACACGCTGGGCATTTGTCTCACGCTGAACGCTGTCGACCAAGCACAACAGGCTGTTATTGGTCCAATCAGCGCATATTAGCTTTGCGCTAAGGAGGGGTTTGGGAACAAATAAATATATAATTTATAACTATATAATGATTCATATGGGGGGGGGGGGGTCGCTGGGATAACTAGGTAAAAATAAATGCATCTTAAAAGACCATGAAAGTGTTTTTTGACCTTGCATGCATATCAGTATGTTGTTGGAGATTCATATACCCGAGATATGACCCTTTTTCATGTATAATATGAGCTCTTTAAATTATTATTTTTAGTATTTGTACTAAATTCCTTATTGAGTGTAAACAGACTTATTAAAGGGTCATGCCAATGACACACAGTCAAATATTTGAACAGATCCGCCACTGCTGACGCTCATAAACAATCATAAAGCCCAAACCCCAAGTGAACCGCGCCTAAGCCCGATTCAGAGCACTCACACTTCTCAAACGATCCAGGAAACGGGCCTGGGCACGGTTCGGATAGTAGGGGTGTTTCGATCAAAATTTATGCTCAATTTCGATTATCAAATCAAAAAATAGAATCGTCGATGCTGCCACGCCCCCATGTCACGTTAGCTTGGCTTGCCAAGCGGGAAAAAACAGGCTTGTTAAACTCCAGAAGCAGGAGACCCGTAGACAGAGCTTAAACCCTCTCCTCTTTCAATGAAGTCGCGGGTGTGTAAGCATTTTGGATTTCCAGTGAGTTATGTTGACAACGTTCGTGTTGTCGACAAAAAAACACAGTTTTGCAAGCTCTGCTATGTACGTATTACGGACGGTTCGTCCGATAGACAGCACCGGCATCGCGATCCTCCGCCCCGCACCCGTTGCAAATCTGCTCACGAAAAGTACACACTCAGGCCCTGTTTACACTGTCTTTGTTTTTAAATGGCATTTTAGAACGACAACGATTTGACATCCACAGTGGCGTGTAGCATTTCTGAGCAGCCCTCCTTCCTCTCTGCCTCTGAAAATGCACATCACGTGACCACACAGACACAGACGCACACACAGCCATGCGCTCCAGACAGCGAACACCTCAGATACTGTTGGCTGGTTCCTGTTGGTTGTGCGTCTCTTTTACCGACGCCATTATAACGACACAGATCACTGCCTATTCACGAGTCCCGCAGAAAAAGTGATTGACAGGTGGTAATTATGTGTGAATCTTGCCTTTATTCATTTACTGTATGATTTGTTCATGGGTAAAACAAAGACCATGCAGGTCAGGTAGTTTAAACGGTAGGCTACAAATAATTAATTGGTCATTAATTAATTAATTAGTCATAATCGAAAATCGAATAGAATCGTGCCTTTAGAATCGAAAATGTAATCGAATCGAAGATTTGGAGGATCGTGACACCCTTATCGGATAGCATAGTGTGAGTCCGCCCTCAATGTCAATCAATAAATGAGAAAAAGTAACCAATAAGTTAAAAATAAACCAAAGAAATCAATAAATAGTTGTACTTTGCCATTAACTGACGTTCCATGTAATGCATCACTCCAACACTGTAAACCCTTTACAAAGCAAACAAACCTGAAGGAATGAAGTCATCATCATCACAGTGATCATCCTTCCCATCTTCCTCACTCTCTTCATCATAGTCGCTCTGCACTTTCTCCGCAGTGTTTTCTTCCGCCGTCTCTTCTAAGCTCCCGCAGTCCTGCGCTTTGTCGGAGCTGGTTTTCTCCGCCGTCTGCTCTTCTCCAGTGTTACCGTCAGACTCCACAGGAGATTTATCCACAGAGCCGTGGCTGTCGCACACACTCTGCTGAGAGTCAGTAAAACACAGCAAACTGAGGCTGAGCTCCGAGTGCTGCGTGCGTCTGGACTTCTGTTTGGAAAGATCATCCTTGACGGTCCAGGCGGAAGCCTGAGAAAGCAAAACATAGCATGACTGTTCAGCCGGGCTGTGGATGAACTTCTTTAAGGTGCTGTAAGTAAGTTTTTGATTCTTCCATGTTTGCTGTGATTTGAGAAATATGCTAAGTAGGGCTGCATGATTCTGGGAAAAATCATAATCACGATTACTTTGGTCAAAATTTTTATTACGATTATTCAAAACGATAACTGTTGAAATCAAAATTATTCACCCTCCTGTAAAGGATTTCCATGTTTTCACACTACAGCATTCAATCTTTTTCACACTATTAAAAACACGAATGATTCCAGTGTACATCAATTAATGATACGCACCCCGTGCTGCAAACGTTACAGCACATGCTTTTAGTCATGTTCACGTGAAACTGAGCTTTGCAGAGCAACACGTGTATAACTGGAAAGGGGGCGGTATATGATGCAATAATTGTTTTATCTCGATTAATGTTTTTTCATAATCGTTAGAAGCCAAAATTTGAATAGAAAATTTCCGAATAATTGCACAGCCCAAATGCTAAGTATTTGTGTAACAGAGGCCAGCTAGTGTAGTGCTGTGCAGGTAAACCGTACTCCTCTAAACCTCTGAAAAGGTATTCTAGTGACAGATGATAGAGGCCATGGTCTTTAGCCTACTTGTTAGAGCAACCAACTCCCATTTAAAGAATAGCCAGTTCGATCTTAGCTCGTGGCGGGTTGATTGGTGAAGGCCCGGCGTGTTACATTTGTTTATCTAAAAAAACTAGCTTTGAGAATGTGTGTTCTGTGTTGAAATGTCTGTCTTTGTTTTGGCCTCTATAACCACCAGCTCACTGCAAGTTTACCTTATTATCACCCTGGGCTGTCTTGGTGGAAAATGCACCATATTTCAGTCATGAAGGCTTCATCAGTATGAGATAACAAAACATATAAAATACAGCCATTCATATAGGCATGGGACGATAAATGTTTTCAAGGTATACGATGGTTTGGAAAAGTCAAGGTTTATAGTCTAAATGTTCTTCTATAGGTGTTTTCAATCACGTGGTTCTGGTGACGTGCAAAATTCAGATAGTGGGCAGGAAGTAAAAAAAACTCAATGGGAGACAGAGGAAAGTGCATATTTTTGCAATTTTTATATCATATTTCAAAGAAGATATGAATAGAAAATAAGCACATGTTTTCAACTGAACTAAAACTTGCCTGTCATCGAGGGGGTATACTGTATGCTATTACGTTAAATGAAAAATAATATAGTAAATACTACAGTGTTTGGAAGCATACTCTAGATAATTACTTGAATTAAACGTCGTAGTAATTATTTTGTTGCTGTGGTACAAGACTACTGTAGTATTGAACAAATTATTCAATAGGCTTCAGTTTTCTATGCTAAAATTATACACCATCACAATGCACCACAGTTTACACTTACATTATTTATTACAGTTTATTAGTTTACTATGCTACAAGAGTTGTACACATTATACACTTTACTGTGTGCTCCAAAAACATGTTTATTGTTAAATTACTATAGTTTCCCTCATATTTAAAATATATTCTTTTAAATGTCTGGGTTAAAAACAAAATTTTTTCCTTTTTGAAAACAATATATTTTATTTTTTAAAAGGTTTAAAATATTTAGGAGCTGTAAACATGTCCGGCTAAATAATTCAAATGATTATTAACTTCTGCTGTTTGTAATAGTTTCAAAAACAGATTTCTTTTCAATTTAAAAGCAGATTCAGTCTTTTATTTATGTATTCATTTTTCATTAATTCATTTTCTTGTCGGCTTAATTCCTTTATTAATCTGGGGTCGCTTAAAAAAATAACAAATCTTACACATACCTTAGGAACAGTATTACAGAAAATTTCGCCGGTTTTAAAACCTTGACTTTTCCAAACCGTTGTATACATTGAAAACAGTTATCGTCCCATGCTCAACATTACTCCACACACTGTCGGGAAAGTAAGTGAAAGAATTGACCTGGAAAGTCTGGATCAATTATTGGTTCTGAATGTTGATTTTTCAATTACTTTTCGATTAATCTCCCAGCCCTACTGTCAGAATCTTATACCGGCCCATGCCTACATTCATAAGCACTGGATGCTTCATTCTAGTATATTGTCACTGTTTTGAAGCACATTATATTATAAATATCCTTAAAACTAACATCTAAATAAACTTTAATTCAATTTTATTTTTGTGAATTACACATTTAAAAGTCTGACATGAAGATCTGCTCAAACCTCTGGCTGGAGTTTCTCTCCTCTTTCTCTCAGCTTGGCCTCCAGCGACGCCACCTCTTTCTTCAGCTGACAGATTTGACTGATGAAATCCTCAATATCCAGCATGGACAGATCAGTTCCTACTGATTTACAGCAGCTCACGTCCACCTGCACCTCCATGCTCAACATCTGCACACAAACACCACATCATCAGCAAACACACGCTTTAATAACAGATCAAACAGTTACACAGAACATGTTTAGGCGTTTAGATTTTCACGTTAACGTTTTCAGACTGTAGTTAATATACAGCATAACACTAACAAGTGATCAAATTGATTTAATTTAATACTAATATTTCGTCGATGGCTTTATTGAACTTATTTAGCGTTACGTGAAATTAACGAGATACGGCGTGACGAAGCAGACACATTCGCGACCATCCAAACGAACAAAATCAACAATATCACAAACAGACACGTCAAATAAATCTAAACAGGTGTTAATGTTAATTTAATAGATGGTGTAAAGCATATAAAACACGCACCGGGGGACTGTTCAAACTGTAAGCTCCTGTGTCGCTCGTTCTGTGGTGGTTTCAGGGTCGGGAGAGGAGCTCCACCGTGCCGCCGCCTGTGCTGGAGCGACATCGCACATTATTAATATTATAATAATTGAAAATACTCAAAACATGGGGGATTTAGGAATAAGCTAAATCCTTAAGTGTTTATCATTTATCTTGCTTTTATTTTGAGAATGATTCATTTATTTTAACGTGAATTAAAATGTAATACTGAACTGCTGTTTACAGCTTTGTGACTGCTGAAGGACTGAGGTGAGCCGTTATTTTCAGTTAAACCGTTTAACGCAGCGAGTTCTGGTCAATTTTAAGCGCGCTTTATATCACTACGCTGAATGATTTCAGTTAACAGCTACAACAGTCTAAATTTTAATAGTTACAGTTGTTTAATAACAATAATAATATTCGTATAATATGACTAGCTTAAAGACACTGTAGGGGGTGCTGTGAGGGTTTTCGTCTACCAGACCGCCAAACCACTGAGGAAATAAACACTGGAGCCCTTGATGGTAAGTGTGTTTTGCTGTAATAACCACTGTTTTATTACTAATAACACCTATAAACTACTGTAATATGAGTCATATGTTATCGTTAGCTACCATGTTATTATTCGTAGCAAAACCAGTTACGATAAAAACTGTTGCATTTGTTTTACAGCTCTTTAAAATGTTATTTTTAGTAAGACTAACTAACTTATTTGTGTGTCTTGTCTCGTTACATTATTGTACTTATTTTATACCTAATTATCATAAATTTCTTAGTGATTTTGATCTATACAGTAAGGTGTTTATACAGTGTTTACAACTGTTTGTTAAGGAATGCTCCAGCATACTGTACTCTAATAAACATTGTAGTATACTTTAGTTTTTACTATGGTAAACTGTGGTGTATTGTGGTATTATATCCTAATAAACTATGTTTATATAACATGTAATATATATTATAAATGTCAGTATTTTACTTGTTTCTGTGTAGTTTTTCTCTCATTCTGAGTTTGATGGTTTGGTTATGAACGTGTGTGTTTGCTGATGATGTGGTGTTTGTGTTCAGATGTTGAGCATGGAGGTGCAGGTGGACGTGAGCTGCTGTAAATCAGTAGGAACTGATCTGTCCATGCTGGATATTGAGGATTTCATCAGTCAAATCTGTCAGCTGAAGAAAGAGGTGGCGTCGCTGGAGGCCAAGCTGAGAGAAAGAGGAGAGAAACTCCAGCCAGAGGTTTGAGCAGATCTTCATGTCCTGAAGGTGGATTGATGAGCTCTCTGTCAGACGCAGCTGATGTTTCTTGTGTTTTTCAGCGTCAGGATTCGCTGTGCGGCGTCAGAGCTCAGAGATCCAGAGACACGCAGAACTCAGAGCTCAGCCTGACTTTACTCTGTTATACTGACGCTCAGGATCATCAGAGCTCTGAGCCAGACGCTGGAGAACAGCAGACCACACTGAAGATGTGCTCCGTCAGACTGGAGGACTGCAGGAACCTGATCCAGAGAACTGAAAACACCACAGAAGAAGACGATCAGAGAGACCCAGAGGATGATGGTGATTATGATGAAGATGGGAAACATGATGGTGAAAACGAAGATGAGGATGATAATAATGCGGAAGATGGAAAAAATTATGATGATGATGAATTTATTCCTGCAGGTTTGTTTCTTTTATGACCTCTCGTTGTCTTTCATGGCTTGTTAATGTCAGCAGAGAGATTAGGTTTTCTTTTTGGTGCTTAATCTTTGCTGTTCCATGATGGTGGCTTTACAAACTTCGGATTACAGGATTAATTTTCAGTTGTCAAAACCAGACCAGTGCAATAAGGCTTTGTTGGTCTTGGTTTGTGATTTCTAAACTAAAACGTAACCTGAACATAGCTAGAATATGACGTGAACATAATCTGAACATAGCCAGATAATGACGTGAACATAACCTGAACATAATCTAAACATAGCCATAAGATGACTTGAACATAACTAGAACATAACCTGAGAATAGACTTCATCAAAAAATAACATGAGCATAGCCTGAACAGAAAAGTACCTTCTCCAGAGCAGGTTAGCTGTGCAGAGTGAAGGTCTCAGTATACTTAAACCAAAATAAAAAAAAAAAAATTGATATTGACATAATTTTTATAAGCACAACCGCATCGGTCCATGTCTGATAAAGTTGTAAACATTGTTTAATTCAATGTCTGTCCACGTCAAATAGAAAGCAACATGGTGTGCTGTGGTGGCGCTTCTTGCTGGAGAAGGCTGTTTGTTTTATTTGAAGCTGTTATTCTTCAACAGCTGCTATTGTTGTGTTTAGGAGTCTATTCGAGCGCCGTGACGCATTTACAACCTCGCCTCCTGCATCGTAGTGGTGTCGGAAGATAAGAAAACTGTATATCAGGGTGTCCGTGGGGTTTTAAAAAGTATTAAAAGTTGATAAATCAATTATGAGAAAATTAAGGCCCTTAAAAGGTATTATAGGCCCAGCTTCACAAATGGGGCTTAGATTAAGCCAGGACTAGGCCTTAGTTAAATTAGGCTATTTAAGCCATAAATATAATGACCTTAGAAAAATATTTTACTGGTGTCCACCTGGAGACAAAAAAAATGACACTGACGTATTTTAAGACATCTCACCGCAAGTTATTTTGAGTTGAGACTGCTTGAACATGCAATTTAATCTTGACTAGCCTTAAACCTTGTTTGTGAAACTGGGGGATAAAGTCTTAATTGGGTTTTATGACGTATTAAATTTTGTTTGTCCAACATTTTTGACTTTAAAAAAAGCATGAATATGTTTATTTTCCTCTTAATATTGAAAACGGCTTGCTCAATTCATGCGATTGGATTGGGCCGGGGCACGTCCGGCCAAGCTCCTCCATCCGGGTGATGTCACGTAATCTGTGACAAACGCGGGAAAGTGATTTGACGCTCTCCACATGTAGCAAAACAGACGGCAAATTGGGAAAATATAAGTTTGTATAATCCTGTTTGGAGAAAGACGAGTTTACACAGTGGCTTAAGCCTGTCGCTGAAATCAGCTTCGTAATTTATTCTTTTAGGATTTGTTTCTTCCGAGATTATCTGAGTTCTGTTGTATGGTTGTGCTTATTTAACTACAACTGTTTATTGACAACTGTTTATTAGGTTAAAGGTTTGATACTGATTAGAACTTGAAGTGACGACAAGGTCTTAAAATATACTGAGAAGGTCTTTAAACAGTCTTAACCCTTAGGATACTTGCATATACCCTGTATACCATCACTCAGCCTTTTTGAACTTCTTTTTTGGTTCAAACCAACATTGAAAAATAACTTTTGTTTTAAGTGTACTGAGGCTTTACCAGGGTGACAAGGGCTGATTAAAGCTACATAAACCCCCCAGGATTGATGCAGAATAAACTGATACTCAGGTAGCTTGCCAGATAATCCAGCTTCTTGGTACGACCCCAGGTTTTGATAGCAGAAATTTTAAAATATAATGGCAAACTTGCTGCAATCAGTCCTTGAAGTCTAATATTGAAACATTCAGTAACTATTCAATGTACTGTCAGATTTTTTATTAAAGTTCTGCTTCTTTCAGATGACAACATTGGATCGTCTGATGAAGAAGCGCCTTTACCTTCGAAAGATGAGCTGAAGGCCAAGAAGAGTTTCTCCTGCACCTCCTGTGGAAAAGCATACACCTGTCAAAGTTATTTATTGATTCATGAAAGAAAACACTCAGAACCGAAGGTCTTCATCTGCTGGAGATGTCGTAAGTGCTTTCCAACATTACAGGAGAGAAAACTTCACCTGAAAGAGCATCTGGCAGAAAAGGAGTTCCACTGTGAACAGTGCGGGAAGAACTTTTTATTGTCTAATCAGCTAAAAGTTCACATGAAGACGCACAGCGGTGACCAGCGTGTCCAGTGTGACGTATGCAACAAATCATTCAGCACCAAAGGGAACCTGGAGGCTCATAAGAGAATCCACACGGGCGAGCGGCCGTATAAATGCCCTCACTGCGAGATGAGCTTCAACCACAAACCCCACATGAAGAACCACATCCGCATTCACACCAAAGAGAGGCCGTACCAGTGCAGCGAGTGCGGAAAAACCTTTGGAAACATGACCTCTCTAAGGTCACATCTAAAAATACACTCTGAGGAAAAACCGCATCAGTGCAAACACTGCGACAAGCGATTCCGGCAGAAGTCAGCTTTGACTTCTCATGAAAAGACTCACAGTGGAGAGAAACCGTACCTGTGCGCTGAATGCGGGATGAGGTTTTATATTCAAGCTCAAATGGTTTATCACCAAAGAATCCACACTGGAGAGAAACCGTACCTGTGCAACATCTGTGGCCGGAGTTTCAACAAACCAGGCATCTTAATAAACCACATGAGGACTCACACTGGAGAAAGACCCTATAAGTGTTCACACTGCGACAAGACGTTTGCACGATCTGACGTGCTGAAGACCCACGAGAGGGTTCATACCGGAGAGAAACCGTACCGCTGCTCCATCTGCGAAGAGAGGTTTGCGTATTTAGGAAGTTTTCAGAGCCACCAGAAGAAACATGGAGGAGAACTAGTGGATGCGCAGATCAGCGCATGATGGAGAATTGACGACTGAGTGTTTCTGGCAGCGTTTTTCAATCCTAGTCCTCACTCTCCACTGCTTTTCATGTTTTGATATTTTAAAAAGAAGTTAATATTATATACCAGTAGTCAGTGACTTCCATAATAGGCCTACAGCGTCTCATAAACACAGCACTCATGTGAGAGGTGCTGCAAAGCATGTGAGCATAACAGTCACGTGCATTAAGCGCTTACATAGAAAAACAATGGGAAAGTGGTACACTGGAATGGAGAAGCGTGTTCTTTGTCAATGGCTAATAAGTCATCGAAATATTGTAATGTGCGATATTATATTGCCACATTCAAATAAAGCTTTAAATATAAAAATGATACCACATTCTAATAAAACATTTTACATGACTAAATGTCATTAAGCAAAGAAGTATATGAAGAGTTCAGATGCAAAAACCTCCAAATGCCGTCTGAATTTCCCTCTAAAATGAGCATTTCTATCAGGCTCCTGTGTGCATGTGTAACGGAGGCCAGCTAGTAAGTGCTGTGCAGGTAAAACCTCACTCCTCTGACCTCTAAAGGTGCTCCAGCGACTGATGCCAGAGGCCATGCTCTTTAGCCTCCTTGTTAGAGCAACCAACTCCCATGCGGAAGGTCGCCGATTCTATCCCAGCTCAGAGCGGGTTGGGCGGTGTAGGACCAGCGGGATTACACATGTTCAGTAATATCACTTTTATGCCAAAGAATAAGGCCTTTCCCTGGTCTTCAAAGTGAAATATCTCAACATAAACAAAGCAGGCTGAGAAAAATATTCATTTTCAGTGGAAATTTCAGACGGCACTCTCAGGTTTTTGCATCTGAACTCTTCATATATTCGTATACTTCAGATATTTATGTACATATAAACCTAATGTATTTAATTTTCTCCTAAATTTAGAAGTTGTGTGGAGATTTATGCCTTTGTCAAGAGTTTAAACACATTCTCAGAAAAACGACCGGTACAAATTCTAATTTTGTATGTATTCAAATTTAACCGAATTTTGCCGTTAGCTCCCAAGTAGGGCTCTGTGGGAGGGGCTTATGCCACGGGTTTACAGCTGCACATACTATGCATGTGCTCATCAATTTAGCATCATGTTTGACACTGCACAACAAACGTTTTTTCATTATGGGTTGGGGTAGGTATAGACCCCTTGCGTTGCGAGGGGGGCTTTTGGAATATGTTGCACTTACAAAAATAGGTTGTATAACATTTATTTTGTTATCCAAGTACTTAAAATACCACATCACCCGTATACCACTTAACCCAGCTTTTGTGTTGCTCACAGTGAGTTTGTGCATCTAGCTTATTATTGTATAGCTACATTCTACTGTAAAATGCTATGTCAGTTAGCATCGATTATAAATCGACTTTATTCTTATGAGAATAACTAAGATGGCTGGAAGAACACATAGAGAGCATTTATTGTCGCAGTCGTGTAATTGCAATTTTATAACACAGAATTGTGACTTTATAACTCAGAATTGTGACTTAATAACTCAGAATTGCGACCTAATAACTCAGAATTGTGACTTAATAACACAGAATTGTGACTGTATAACTCAGAATTGTGACTTTATAACTCAGAATTGTGACTTAATAACTCAAAATTGCGACCTAATAACTCAGAATTGCGACCTAATAACTCAGAATTTTGACTTAATAACTCAGAATTGCGACCTAATAACTCAGAATTGTGACTTAATAACTCAGAATTGTGACTTTATAACTCAGAATTGTGACTTAATAACTCAGAGTTGTGACTTAATAACTCAAAATTGCGACCTAATAACTCAGAATTGTGACTTAATAACTCAGAATTGCGACCTAATAACTCAGAGTTGTGACTTAATAACTCAAAACTGCGACCTAATAACTCAGAGTTGTGACTTAATAACTCAAAATTGCGACCTAATAACTCAGAGTTGTGACTTAATAACTCAGAATTGCGACCTAATAACTCAGAGTTGTGACTTAATAACTCAAAATTGCGACCTAATAACTCAGAGTTGTGACTTAATAACTCAGAATTGCGACCTAATAACTCAGAGTTGTGACTTAATAACTCAGAATTGCGACCTAATAACTCAGAGTTGTGACTTAATAACTCAGAATTGCGACCTAATAACTCAGAGTTGTGACTTAATAACTCAAAATTGCGACCTAATAACTCAGAATTGTGACTTAATAACTCAGAATTGCGACCTAATAACTCAGAGTTGTGACTTAATAACTCAAAATTGCGACCTAATAACTCAGAGTTGTGACTTAATAACTCAAAATTGCGACCTAATAACTCAGAGTTGTGACTTAATAACTCAGAATTGCGACCTAATAACTCAGAGTTGTGACTTAATAACTCAGAATTGCGACCTAATAACTCAGAGTTGTGACTTAATAACTCAAAATTGCGACTTAATAACTCAGAGTTGTGACTTAATAACTCAGAATTGTGACTTAATAACTCAGAATTCTGACTTTATAACTCAAAATTGCGACCTAATAACTCAGAATTGCGACCTATTAACTCAGAATTGAGACATTATAACTCAGAATTGAGACTTTATAACCCAGAATTTAGACTTTATAACTATTTTTAACTTAATTTTTTTTCCAATATTTTTTTTTATCGTTCAGTGGCGGGAACAGGCTTCCATAAGGATCAGTCGTGTCATTTGGGTGAAAAAGCTGACATTTTTAGAGTTTTTTCTTCATAATATTAACGGCGATAGCTGAGCGGTACTGTAGGGGGCGCTGTGGGGATTTTCTTCTACTGGACCGCCAAACCACTGAAGGAAGAAACGCTGGAACCCACGATGGAAACCTTGGTGAGTGTTTTTTGTGTTCTCTACGAAGTCCACCACAGTTTTGTTACAAATACCATTAATATGCCAAGAATATGATTACTCTGATTTTACTGCCGTAGATGTGTAGCATAACGGGCTGAGTATACTATCATCAAAAACAAGTAGCTAGACTATAACAACTTAGTCGCTGCTTAACTGCAGCTTTCAGCAATGTTATTAGTAGTAAAACTGCTTTATTTATTGGGTTTCAGTAGAACTCAGTAAAAACTATAACGTTAATGGTAATATATTGTACTTTCAGATGGTTTTCCTGTTAAAAACAGGCCAGGTAATGAAGCTAAAACACACATTTATGACAATCCAAATTTAAATGTAGTGTTAGTAGTTATAGGAAATACCAGTGGTGTTATATATATATTATATACTGTGTGTTTAATATTTGCAAGTCTTTATTAATAAGTGCTCCAGCATATTGTAGTAGTGTAATATATTAGTTTACGTTATAGTTTACTACAGTAAGCTTTGGTGTATTGTAGGATAATACACTTTATAGTACTACAATATTTTGTCATTTGTTTACATTACTGTAGTTGTGTTACCATAGCAACCATACAATTCCCACAGTAGATTAGATGTAATATAGTATGGTTCAAAAAGCATACAGAGTATTTACCTGAGTATCTTTCCCCTATGTGTGGGCACTGACAAGTTTTATAACATGTAATGTATATTATAAATGTCAGTAATTAACTTGCCTTCTGTGCAGTTTTTCTCTCATTCTGAGTTTGATGGTTTGGTTATGAACGCGTGTGTTTGCTGATGATGTGGTGTTTGTGTTCAGATGTTGAGCATGGAGGTGCAGGTGGACGTGAGCTGCTGTAAATCAGTAGGAACTGATCTGTCCATGCTGGATATTGAGGATTTCATCAGTCAAATCTGTCAGCTGAAGAAAGAGGTGGCGTCGCTGGAGGCCAAGCTGAGAGAAAGAGGAGAGAAACTCCAGCCAGAGGTTTGAGCAGATCTTCATGTCCTGAAGGTGGATTGATGAGCTCTCTGTCAGACGCAGCTGATGTTTCTTGTGTTTTTCAGCGGCAGGATTCGCTGTGCGGCGTCAGAGCTCAGAGATCCAGAGACACGCAGAACTCAGAGCTCAGCCTGACTTTACTCTGTTATACTGACGCTCAGGATCATCAGAGCTCTGAGCCAGACGCTGGAGAACAGCAGACCACACTGAAGATGTGCTCCGTCAGACTGGAGGACTGCAGGAACCTGATCCAGAGCACAGAAAACACCACAGAAGAAGAGGATCAGAGAGACCCAGAGGATGATGATAGTGATTTTGATGAAGATGGGAAAGATGATGATGGAAATGAGGATGATGATGATGGAAAAGATGATGATGAAAATGAGGATGATGATGATGGAAAAGATGATGAGGAAGATGTGGTCGATGATGATTTTATTCCTGCAGGTTTGTTTCTTGTTATTTTTCATGTTTTTAAATGCTAGAGGGCTGTTGGGCAAAACGAGTAAAAAAAACTGGGTGGCAGAGTAAGAACATAAACAGAACATAACCTGAATATATTCTGAACGTAGCATAAACATTCATTCATTCATTCATTTTTGCCTAGTCCCTGTATTAATCTGTGGTCACCACAGCGGAATGAACCGCCAACTTATGAGGCTCGAAGCAGTGACCATCTTGGTGTGAGGCGACAGCACTACCTACTGCGCCACTGCGTCATAACACAAACATAACACAAATAAATCCAGAACATAACCTGAACATACTCAGAACATATCTTAGAACACAATCTAAACATAACACAAATAAAGCCAGAACATAACCTGAACATACTCAGAACATATCTTAGAACACAATCTAAACATAACACAAATAAAGCCAGAACATAACCTGAACATACTCAGAACATATCTTAGAACACAATCTAAACATAACACAAATAAAGCCAGAACATAACCTGAACATACTCAGAACATATCTTAGAACACAATCTAAACATAACACAAACAAAGCCAGAACATAACCTGAACATACTCAGAACATATCTTAGAACACAATCTAAACATAACACAAATAAAGTCAGAACATAACTTGAACATACTCAGAACATATCTTAGAACACAATCTAAACATAACACAAATAAAGCCAGAACATAACCTGAACATATCTTGAACATAATCTAAACATAACCTGAATAAAGCCAGAACATAACCTGAACATACTCAGAACATATCTTGAACATATCTAGAACGTAATTTAAACATAACACAAATGAAGCCATAACATAACCTGAACATACTAAGAACATATCTTGAACATATCTAGAACATAATCTAAACATAACACAAATAAACCCAGAACATAACCTGAACATACGCAAAACATAACTTGAACATATCTAGAGCATAACACAAATAAAGCCAGAAGATAACCTGAACATATGCAGAACATATCTAGAACATAATATAAACATAACACAAATCAAGCCAGAACATAGCCTGTACATAAGCAGAACATATCTACATCATAATCTAAACATAACACAAATAAAGACTAAACATACTCAGAACATATCTAGAATATAATCTAAACATAACACAAATAAAGCCAGAACATATCTTGAACATTACCCACCCTGGAGCAGGTTAGCAGTTCATAGCAAGATTCCAATGGGGACAGACTGATTAAAGCCGAGCTACCTTCATGGTACCTAAAACCTAGGATTGGTGCAAACTAAATGGAGACTTAACTGGCCAGATAATCCAGCTTCAGGGTACAGGCCCTTAGGTTTGAGATCTTATGAAATTTGAAAGCATGATGGCAAACTTGTTCTTGAAGACAGACTAATATTGAAAATTGTGATGATTTTCTACAGTGTAAAGTCAAGATGTTTTATTGAAGCTTTATTTACTTTCAGATACTAACAGTGGATCATCTGATGAAGAAGGAGCTCCGATATTAAAAGATAAGCCGAAAAACAAAAAATTCTCCTGCGCCACCTGTGGAAAACCATACGCCTCACGAAGAGATTTAGAGGTGCATGAAAAAAAGCACTCAGAAACGAAGGTCTTCATCTGCTGGAGATGTCATAGGTGCTTTCCCACGTTAGAGGAGAAGAAACTTCATTCCAAAGAGCATGTGGTAAAGAAAAGGTTTCAGTGTGAACAGTGCGGTAAGAACTTTGTAACTCCTTCTAGTTTAGCTATTCACATAACGACACACACGGGTGACCAGCGTGTCCAGTGTGACGTATGCAACAAATCATTCAGCACCAAAGCAAACCTGGAGGTTCATAAGAGAATCCACACGGGCGAGCGGCCGTATAAATGCCCTCACTGCGAGAAGAGCTTTTGCCACGGATCTCAATTAAAGAACCACGTCCGCATTCACACCAAGGAGAAGCCGTACCAGTGCAGCGAGTGCGGAAAAACCTTCGCAAAATCGGGCACTCTAAACTCGCATCTAAATATCCACTCTGAGGACAGGAGGTATCAGTGCAAATACTGCGACAAGCGATTCCGGTATAAACCGAGTCTGTTTACTCATGAGAAGGCTCACAGTGGAAAGAAGCAACACCTGTGCGCTGAATGTGGGATGAGTTTTATGACTACAAAACAACTTACTTATCACCAGAGAACCCACACTGGAGAAAAACCGTACCTGTGCAACATCTGTGGCCGGGGTTTCAGTCAACCAGGCATCTTAATAAACCACATGAGGACTCACACTGGAGAAAGACCCTATAAGTGTTCACACTGCGACAAGACGTTTGCACGATCTGATGTGATGAAGACCCACGAGAGGGTTCATACCGGAGAGAAACCGTACCGCTGCTCCATCTGCGGAGAGAGGTTTGCGTATTTAGGAAGTTTTCAGAGCCACCAGAAGAAACATGGAGGAGAACTAGTGGATGAGCAGATCAGCGCATGATGGAGAATTGACGACTGAGTGTTTCTGACAGCATTTCTTCATCCTAGTCCTCACTCTCCACTGCTCTGCGTATTTTGATCTTTTAAAAAAGAAGACAGCATTTACTTCTATAGTAAGGGTCACCCCTGATAAATAAAGGGACTAAACTGAAGAAAAATCAATAAATTTTTATTACAGCGGTGGTTCAATCTGTTTGACATCGTCATTTGAGCAGCCAGTAAATACACATTCATGCACCATCAAAGTATTGTAGAGTGCGACATTTTGCCATGTTAAAGTAAGGTTCAAAAATAAAAGTGTTGCCTCGTTCAAATAAAGATTTTGAAATGAAAGTGTCATTAGTCAAACAATTATATGTTCTATGATTATGAGCCTCCCATGTGTGATTTGCATAAACAGTTAGCGGTTATATTAACAGCCTTTTCATTTAGTTTATGTTCTTTTAAATTTGCAAGTTATGTTAAGGGCTACTTTCAGCATTATAAAGATATATTGTGAATATAAGATTGTGAATTTGAGAATGTCCTTTATTCACTCCATAAGCTGGGGTTTGTCGTATGTGTCTCTGTTTAAGTGGAAATTTTCAGCTCTGGAGAAAAATAACTGACTCAGAAAACGGCGGGAAAACATTTGAATTTTGTATCAATTCAAACTGAATTTAGCCGTTATCTGCCAGGTGTGTGGGAGGGGCTTTAATAACGTCGCGTTTATATAGCATAGACTGTAAAAGATATGGTTATAACTACGCTACTGGACATTTTTAAGACTAGACATTATCAGTTACTATTTTTTATTATGATAAAAGAGGTTTAGGGTTGGGGTAGATATGAACCTTAACAAAACACAATTGGTTGGACCAACTCGTTTTGTCATGTTATAATTTTATCGGCTTAAATTCACCATGCTAGTATGTTATTTGGGTGAAGAAGCTGACGTTTATAGTTTTTTTTTCTTCATAATATTAATGGCGATAGCTGAGCGGTATTGCAGGGGGCGCTGTGGTGATTTTCTTCTACCTTGCCGCCAAACCACTGAAGGAATAAACACTGGAGCCCGCGATGGTGAGTGTTTGTTCTATGTGAAGTTATCCACCGTTTTATAAACAGCAGCAATAGGCCATGGATAATATGCGAGTTATATGATTAAAGCACCATATATTGTTTTATTTGTAGCAAAATGGGTGGTTTACTAACGTTAAAAACAAGTAGGCTAACAACAAAGTTGCTGTTTTACTGCATGAACACTTGAACAATGTTATTTGTTGTAAAACTGCTTTAAAAATATTCAATTTCAGTAGCACTTTGAAATATGTCACGCTTATGGTAATATATATGTTGTACTTTGTTATTTTTCCTTTTATAAACAGGTCCTGTAATGAAACAAACACATTTATGGCAATCCAAATGCATAAATATTATAATAATATATTGGAAATACTACTGTGTTTTTGAACCAGACTACATAATACAAATGTACTGTGTATATATTATATTAATTACAACTGTTAGTCAATGAATGCTCTTGCATACTGTGGTATTACTGCAGTGAACTGATGTAATGTATATTTTGTAGCTTACTTTGTTTTTTACTACAGTAAACAATGGTCTATTGTATAGTAATAAACCCATAGTTATAGAATAACTACAGTATTGGGTCATTTGTTCATATTACTGTAGTTGTGTTACATGAGCAACTATAGAATTCTACCACAACAGCTTTATTGACATTATTTACTATAGTTTGATTCAAAAGTGTACATTACTAGATTTTCATGTGGGTACAATTTATACAATATACATTATAAATGTCAGTAATTGACTTGCTTTCTGTGCAGTTTTTCTCTCATTCTGAGTTTGATGGTTTGGTTATGAACGCGTGTGTTTGCTGATGATGTGGTGTTTGTGTGCAGATGTTGAGCATGGAGGTGCAGGTGGACGTGAGCTGCTGTAAATCAGTAGGAACTGATCTGTCCATGCTGGATATTGAGGATTTCATCAGTCAAATCTGTCAGCTGAAGAAAGAGGTGGCGTCGCTGGAGGCCAAGCTGAGAGAAAGAGGAGAGAAACTCCAGCCAGAGGTTTGAGCAGATCTTCATGTCCTGAAGGTGGATTGATGAGCTCTCTGTCAGACGCAGCTGATGTTTCTTGTGTTTTTCAGCGTCAGGATTCGCTGTGCGGCGTCAGAGCTCAGAGATCCAGAGACGCGCAGAACTCAGAGCTCAGCCTGACTTTACTCTGTTATACTGACGCTCAGGATCATCAGAGCTCTGAGCCAGACGCTGGAGAACAGCAGACCACACTGAAGATGTGCTCCGTCAGGCTGGAGGACTGCAGGAACCTGATCCAGAGAACTGAAAACACCACAGAAGAAGACGATCAGAGAGACCAGGAGGATGATGATGTTGATAATGATGAAAATGAAAAAGATGACGATGATGATGAATTTATTCCTCCAGGTTTGTTTCTTTTATGACTTCTTGTTGTTTTTCATGATTTGTAAATGTCGGCAGAGACTCTGTAAGATTAGGTTCCCTGTTGCTTACTCTTTGCTGTTCCATAATGGTGGTTTAACAAACTCCGTATTACAGGATTAGTTTTGAGTTGTCAAAACCAGACCAGTGCAATCAGGCTTCGTTGGTCTTAGTTTGTGATTTCTAAACTAGAACATGACTTGAACATAGCCAGATAATGACGGGAACATAACTTGAACATAACCTGAACATAGCCAGATAATAGTGGGAACATAACTAGAACATAACCTGTGCCTAGCCAGATAATGACGGGAACATAACTAGAACATAACCAGATAGTGATGTGAACATAACTAGAACATAACCTGAGCATAGCCAGATAGTGACGGGAACATAACTAGAACATAGCCAGATAGTGATGTGAACATAACTAGAACATAACCTGAACATAGCCAGATAGTGACGGGAACATAACTAGAACATAACCTTAGCATAACCAGATAATGAGGGAACATAACTAGAACACAACCTGAACATAGCCAGATAGTGACGTGAACATAACTAGAAAATAACCTGAGCATAACCAGATAATGACTGAAACATAACGTGAACATAACCTGAGCATAACTTGATAATGACGGAAACATAACTAGAACATAACCTGACCATAGCCAGAGTGTAACCAGAAAACAACATGAACATAACTTGAACATCATTAAAAATAAGCAAAATAATAATGTAAACAATGTCAGCAGAATATAATCTGAGCATAACCTGAACATCACCAGAAAGCAGTGTGCCCATAATCAGAAAATAACACAAACACAACCAGAAAATTACGTAAACGTAGCCAGAACAAAGCGAAAAAACAAAACAAACTGGGTACCCGTCTGGCTTGCTGCCAACCATATCTGCAAGCTCGCTTTCGTTCATCAATTAAATTATAAAATGGGAAATGCAAGTTTTCGGACCTCTGGCTGGAGGACTCAACATCTAAAGACTGACTTAGGCCTGTAGTTGGCAACACGTCTGTTGCCACGACTGCAAGAAGATGATCAATATAATCTCGCTTGCACGCGCATCACGCAGCGCCTGCAGTTAAACTCACAGCGGTTTATTATGACACTTTTATAGATCTTTTTTCCCGTAATTGACAGCAAGAACAAACATAGAAGCGTTGTCTGATTGACAAGCAGCACCTGATTATGTTCGAAAGAATTGAAAATGCCAAATGGGATGAATTTATTCCCAATTTCGCAAGTAAAGCATACTCCAATAGCTAGTGCAGTGTTTCAATGTAATGTCATGGTTGTGTGACTGTTGGTGTTGGTTGCTGTATGGTTAAAAATTATGACAGTTAAAGTAACTAGGTTTATTTTAATTAAAAATAGATAAAATATTCATCTAATTCTCTGTGCGTTTGGGTGGGTTTTGGACAGCTTTTGGGCTATATCTCTCCACTATAAGTCCACTATATCTGGCAACGCTGGTGGTAGCTTGGCAACAGAGCCGTCCGCAAAGTCAACACAGTCACATAGTTCAGGATGGTTGTCTAAGCGTGTTGAGAATTCCGGGCTGAGAACGGTTTGTAATCGTGCTGTGCTGTGACATCTATGACATTAATTAAAAACTATGGACAAAGGTTCATTATGACATCTTGATTAATCCTTCCGCTTTACTTAACTGCATATGTTATCTGCAATATGTTATGTCCATTTGGAAAGATATTTCATTTACGCCACTACAGTTGCAGCTCTAAGTCGTGCTGGTGTTAATATTTTTTGAAGGTATTAAAAAAGGTTGTAAAAGGTATTAATTTCAACTTAAGAAGTTCTTTATAAACCCTGTAACTATTCAATGTACAGTCAGATATTTTATTGAACTTCTGCTTCTTTCAGGTGACAACACTGGATCGTCTGATGAAGAAGCGCCGTTAACTTTGAAAGGTAAGCCGAAGGTCAAGAAGAGTTTCTCCTGCACCTCCTGTGGAAAAGCATTCGCCTGTCAAAGTTATTTATTGATTCATGAAAGAAAACACTCAGAACCGAAGGTCTTCATCTGCTGGAGATGTCGTAAGTGCTTTCCAACATTACAGGAGAGAAAACTTCACCTGAAAGAGCATCTGGCAGAAAAGGAGTTCCACTGTGAACAGTGCGGGAAGAACTTTTTATTGTCTAATCAGCTAAAAGTTCACATGAAGACGCACAGCGGTGACCAGCGTGTCCAGTGTGACGTATGCAACAAATCATTCAGCACCAAAGCAAACCTGGAGGTTCATAAGAGAATCCACACGGGCGAGCGGCCGTATAAATGCCCTCACTGCAAGAAGAGCTTTAATTACAAATCCTACATGAAGAACCACATCCGCATTCACACCAACGAGAGGCCGTACCAGTGCAGCGAGTGCGGAAAAACCTTCAAAACAAACAACTCTCTAAACTCTCATCTAAAATTCCACTCTGAGGAAAAACCGCATCAGTGCAAATACTGCGACAAGCGATTCCGCATGAAAGCAAATCTGAATGTCCATGAGAGGATTCACACCGGAGAGAAGCCGTACCTGTGCGCCGAATGCGGGAAGAGGGTTAAAACTTCTACTGAGCTGGTTTGTCACCAAAGAATCCACACTGGAGAAAAACCGTACCTGTGCAACATATGTGGGCGGAGTTTCAGTAAACCAACCATCTTAATAAACCACATGAGGACTCACACTGGAGAAAGACCCTATAAATGTTCACACTGCGACAAGACGTTTGCACGATCTGACGTGCTGAAGACCCACGAGAGGGTTCATACCGGAGAGAAACCGTACCGCTGCTCCATCTGCGAAGAGAGGTTTGCGTATTTAGGAAGTTTTCAGAGCCACCAGAAGAAACATGGAGCAGAACTAGTGGATGCGCAGATCAGCGCATGATGGAGAATTGACGACTGAGTGTTTCTGACAGCGTTTCTTCATCCTAGTCCTCAATCTCCACTGCTCTGCGTATTTTGATATTTGGAAAAGAAGTTAAAATTGTGCACTGCTAGCTATTGACTTCCATAGTACGTTGTCATCAAAACAGTGCTGATGTGAAAGATGCTGCAAAACGCATAAGCGTAATGGTCATGTCCATTAACTGCGTGTCTACCTAGAGAAACAATGAAAAAGTAGCTCACTAGAATGGACAAACCTGTTCTTTGCGATATTATATTACCATATTAAAATACACCTTTAAAAATAAAATTTATAAATCAAAAACTAAGTGTCATAAATTAAACAAGTATATGGTTGGATTTGAAAGCATCAACTACTCGAGTATGTACTGTACAAGTAAATCCAAATTTACTACACGACTGTTCGAAAAGTGCATTCTGTATCAGGGTGTCCGCGGGGTCTTTAAAAGTATTAAAAGGTGATAAATAAATTATAAGAAAATTAAGGCCCTTATAAGGTATTAAAAAGTCTTAATCATGTTTTTACGAGGTCTTAAATTTTGTTTAAGCATTGTCCAAAGTGTTTGACTCTTAAATATGTTTATTTTAAACACGGGAAGGTGATGTGACGCTCTCCACAAGTAGCGAATTATAGAGCGAAACAGGGCAAAATGGGGAAATGTAAATTTGCGTACTCCTGGTTAGAGTAAGACGAGTTTAAACAGTGGATGAAGCCTGAAAACAACTGCGTAAGTTATTCTTTCAAGCTTTGTTTCTTTCTAGCTTATCTGAGTTCTGTTGCACGGTTGTGCTCCATTGACTTATTTAACTACAACTGTTTATCAACAACTATTTATTAAGTTAAAGGTTTGATACTGATTAGATCTTGAAGTGGCGATTAAAATATTTTGAGAAGGTCTTTTAAAAAGTCTTAAAAGGGTATTGAATGTACCTTTAGGATTCCTGCATATACCCTGTATATAGTATGAATGCTGATAGTACAAATGGAACTTGGAGGTTCTACATCCGCCATTTCTTATAATCACATGACCTACCCACGTCAGTTGGGTCACTTCAGTTCCATTTATGAATTATCTAGAATTGCATTATTGGATGGCATAGCCTCCACTGCATGCATACTACTGAATCTTGCTGATAGTAATTGGTCATCTGGGTACTTTTTCTGTTTATACAAAATTATCTGCTTGTTAATTGTGACGTTACACAATGCGGCTTCCAGGTCCAATCGCTATTTCAAACTGTATGAGGGGGCTCATCAAATGGTGATAATAAATGTTTACAAAGCGATGTAATACTTCCGAAAACCATGATCACAATATATTTATATATATATATATATATATATATATATATATATATATATATATATGCCCATTCCTAATAGGCTATATGCCGAAGCATGCTAATAGGACTTTTAATTTGCCAGTAACCTGAGTTAAGCGCTTCTGGTGAACTGTATGCCAATTCAAAAATCGGTGCGTTTAGGGTCTGTTTTCTTAAGTAAATCAGCGATCTTCTCTGGCTGAGTGATATCCGATATAAAGTGGGTCTCAGATTGTACAAGAAGCACTGCATTTCATTACATTTACTCCGCCATGTCTTTATAATATGAGTATTTATTTTACCCCAGTATATCAATGGAGCTTCTGTGCTAGCCTGCCGATTCTGACGGGCGCGTGCAAGCAAAAGGCATTTTGTATCGTTTTATGCTTGAAAAACTAAATGAATGCCGAAGTTTATTTAACTAAATGTATTTTAATTATATTACAACAACGATGCTGTAAAAGGAACCGTATAAAATGGGAAAAGAATCACATTAACAGGTCACCGGAAGTTTATCAGTATGGGAACAACAATAGCTCGGCATATACCCTATATCTAATGACTAGAAAGTAATTTTTTTATTTTTATAAAATTTTTACAACTTTGGTATTTGTGATACAAGTCCAGAGATTGATGTGTACACCATGATTTTATATAAAATGAACTTAAATGTGTGATGTGACTAAAAAGTCTCCATAAACAAATGTTTTCTTAATTCAAATGAGTAGCGGTATTCAATATGTCACTGATACGCACGACTTAAAAAGCAAATTTCAGTCCTTTATTCACTCTATAAGCTGGGGTTTGGTGTGTATATCGCTGCTTAAGTGGAGATTTTCAGCTCTGGAGAAAAATAACTGACTCCGAGAAAACGGCGGGAAAACATTTGAATTTTGTATCAATTTAAACTGAACTGAATTTAGCCGTTATCTGCCAATTAAGTGTGTGGGAGGGGCTTAACTCCGCGGGGTTATAACTGCCACTACTGGACATTTTTAAGACTGGACATTAATAATTACTATTTTTCATTATGATAAGGGATAGGTTTAGGGTTGGGGTAGATATAAACGATAGTTAATAAAATAGGTTGGACCAACTCGTTTTGTTATGTCTTAATTTTATCGACTTTATTTCACCATGCTAAGGATCAGTCTTGTCATGTGGGTGAAGAAGCTGACGTTTTCAGAGTTTTTTCCATAATATTAATGGCGACAACTGAGCGGTACTGTGAGGGGCGCTGTGGTGATTTTCTACCGGATCACCAAACCACTGAAGGAGTAAACACTGGAGCCCACGATGGAAACGATGGTGAGTGTTTCTTGCTCTGCGTTATGAAGTTATTCACCGTTTTACAAACAGCAGGAATAAGCTATGGCTAATAATTTGTGATTTCTATGATTTAAGCATCATATATTGTTTTAGTCGTATCAAAATTGGTGGTTTACTAACAAGTAGGTTAACGACAAAGTTTTACTCCAAGGTTTTACTCCTTTACCGCATGAGCACGTTTAAACAATGTTATTTGTAGTAAAACTGCTTTAAAAATATTCAATAATATATGTACTTTGTTATTTTTCCTGTTATAAACCGGCCCTGTAATGAAATTAAAACACATTTATGACTAAATAAATAAACACTATAATAATGTATTAAAAGTACTACAGTGTTTTTGAACCAGACTATACAGTACACATGTACTGTGCATATATTAGAAGAATTACTTCTGTTTGTTAATGAATGGTCCGGTATACTGTAGTATTAACTATAGTAAACTGATGTTATATATATATATATATATATATATATATATATATATATATATATATATATATATATATATATATAATTGTAGCTTACTTTGTTTTTTTACTACAGTAAACAATAGTTTATTGTAGTATAATATACCCATAGTTGTAGAATAACTACAGTATTGTTCATGTTACTGTAGTTGTGTTACATGAGCAACTATAGAATTCTACCACAACAGCTTAATTGACATTAATTACTATAGTATGATTCAAAAGTTTACATTACTAGAGGATTTTTCATGTGAGTACAATTTATACAATATATATTATAAATGTCAGTAATTTTCTCGCTTTCTGTGCAGTTTTTCTCTCATTCTGAGTTTGATGGTTTGGTTATGAACGCGTGTGTTTGCTGATGATGTGGTGTTTGTGTGCAGATGTTGAGCATGGAGGTGCAGGTGGACGTGAGCTGCTGTAAATCAGTAGGAACTGATCTGTCCATGCTGGATATTGAGGATTTCATCAGTCAAATCTGTCAGCTGAAGAAAGAGGTGGCGTCGCTGGAGGCCAAGCTGAGAGAAAGAGGAGAGAAACTCCAGCCAGAGGTTTGAGCAGATCTTCATGTCCTGAAGGTGGATTGATGAGCTCTCTGTCAGACGCAGCTGATGTTTCTTGTGTTTTTCAGCGGCAGGATTCGCTGTGCGGCGTCAGAGCTCAGAGATCCAGAGACACGCAGAACTCAGAGCTCAGCCTGACTTTACTCTGTTATACTGACGCTCAGGATCATCAGAGCTCTGAGCCAGACGCTGGAGAACAGCAGACCACACTGAAGATGTGCTCTGTCAGACTGGAGGACTGCAGGAAGCTGATCCAGAGAACTGAAAACACCACAGAAGAAGATCAGAGAGACCAGGAGGAGGAGGAGGAGGAGGATGATGATGATGATGATGGTGGTGATGATGATGAAAATGGAAAGGATGATAAGGAAAATGATGATGATGATGATGAATTTATTCCTGCAGGTTTGTTTCTTTTATGACCTCTTGTGGTTTTTCATAGTTTGTAAATGTCAGCAGAGACTGTGTAAGGTCAGGTTTTCTTTTTGGTGCTTACTCTTTGCTGTTCCATGATGGTGGCTTAACAAACTCTGGATTGCAGGATTAGTTTTGAGTTGTCAAAACCAGATCAGTCCAATCAGGCTTTTCTAAACTAGAACATAACCTGAGCATAGCCAGATAATGATGGGAACATAACCTGAGCAAAACATACTCTAATACAGGAGTTCTCAACCTTTTACACTTCAAGGCCCACCTTTTTCTCCGAAATTTTTTGAAGGCCCAAACTAATTGTCTTGAGAAAATGCTTATTGTAAAGCTTTATTTATTAGCAAAACATTTATGTGCCCTAATAAACATAATTTTATTAAAAAAATAAATAAATAAATAAAAAAATATATATATATATATATATATATATATATATATATATATATATATATATATATATATAAAATGCACGGACAGATTCAAAGCTCCTGAATTCTTTGCTTAAGTTATTCTTTACAACCTGACATGACTACAGGAAATGGCAAAAACACTGCTGCTGCTTTGAATTAGACTGATTCATTAAAATAAACAACTGAACCCTAAACGTAAAATACTGTAAAAACCCTCTAAATCTGTTGAATCACTGATCTGAAGGCGGTTGGGTTTGCAGGACATTATTGAAGCTCGCTGACAGGAACAGTGAACAGCTGTTCACTACTGAAACACCATCGAGTCTCACCAGATCCTCCTGTACGGGTGCTCGTCTGTTACAAAACACTCGCAGGCAATAATTTGGACAACGATGAGGATATTTTAAAGTGTTCACACAAAGAGAGTACACATAGTTTGTGAATAAACAGACTTGTGCGACTCTGATACAGTACAAGTTGCAGACGTAAGGCACGCGCAAGCTGGTTATTATAACTCTAATCGTCGTTACCTTTACATTTGCGTGACTGTTTGCTTTATACAACTGAGAACGTAGTCCTAGTTGACGTCCAGCGGTTGGAAATTTACACCACAGTTATGTCTGTGATTAACAGTGGGGCTGTTTTTGTATACTAGTGTAATATTTAAGTTATCTCGCGACCCACCTGCAGGATCGTTGAGGCCCACCGGTTGAGAATCCCTGCTCTAATCGGTAGAGGGGGCAGTGTTTTAATGTGATCCAGTTAGGTTGTGGTTGTGTGACTGTTGGTGTTGGTTGCTGTATAGTTAACAATTTTGATAGTTAAAGTAACTAGATAATTTCTATTAAAAATAAATAACAGATTCATCTAATATTTTGGGCGTTTTTATGTGCGTTGGGGTGGGTTTTGGACAGCTTTTGACCTGGAAGTCCACTATATCTGGCAACACTGGTGGTAGCTTGGCAACAGAGCCGCCCGTCAACACAGTCACACAGAATCTATCGGCACAGTTCAGGATGGTTGTCTAACTATGCAGAGAATTCCTGGCTGAGAACGGTTTGTAATCGTGCTCCGCCGTGACATGAATGACATTGTTGAAAAACTATGGACAAAGGCCCATTGTGACATCTTGATGAGTCCTTGTGCTTTACTTAACTGCATATGTTATCTGCATTATGTTATTCTATTTGGAAAGATATTTCATTAACGCCACTATAGTTGCAGCTCTAAGTCGTGCTGGTATTAAATTTTTTTTGAAGGTGTTAAAAAGGTATTAAATTCAACTTAAGTTCTGGATAAACCCTGTAACTATTCAATGTACCGTCAGATTTTTTATTGAAGTTCTGTTTCTTTCAGATGACAACATTGGATCGTCTGATAAAGAATTGCCTTTATCTTTAAAAGGTAAGCGGAAGACCAAGAAGAGTTTCTCCTGCACCTCCTGTGGAAAAACATACACCTGTCAAAGTTATTTCTTGATTCATGTAAAAAAACACTCAGACCCGAAGGTCTTCACCTGCTGGAGATGTCGTAAGTGCTTTCCAACATTACAGGAGAGAAAACTTCACCTGAAAGAGCATCTGGCAGAAAAGGAGTTCCACTGTGAACAGTGCGGGAAGAACTTTTCATTGTCTAAAGAACTAAAAGTTCACATGAAGAGACACAGCGGTGAACTGCGTGTGCAGTGTGACGTATGCAACAAATCATTCAGCACCAAAGCAAACCTGGAGGTTCATAAGAGAATCCACACGGGCGAGCGGCCGTATAAATGCCCTCACTGCAAGAAGAGTTTTAATTACAAATCCTACATGAAGAACCACATCCGCATTCACACCAACGAGAGGCCGTACCAGTGCAGCGAGTGCGGAAAAACCTTCACAACAAACAACTCTCTAAACTCTCATCTAAAATTCCACTCTGAGGAAAAACCGCATCAGTGCAAATACTGCGACAAGCGATTCCGCACGAAAGCAAGTCTGAATGTCCATGAGAGAACTCACACCGGAGAGAAGCCGTACCTGTGCGCCGAATGCGGGAAGAGGGTTAAAACTTGTACTGCGCTGGTTTATCACCAGCGAACCCACACTGGAGAAAAACCGTGCCTGTGCAACATCTGTGGGCGGAGTTTCAGTAAACCAGCCATCTTAGTAAACCACATGAGGACTCACACTGGAGAAAGACCCTATAAGTGTTCATACTGCGACAAGACGTTTGCACGATCTGGCGTGCTGAAGACCCACGAGAGGGTTCATACCGGAGAGAAACCGTACCGCTGCTCCATCTGCGAAGAGAGGTTTGCATATTTAGGAAGTTTTCTGAGCCACCAGAAGAAACATGGAGCAGAACTAGTGGATGCGCAGATCAGCGCATGATGGAGAATTGACGACTGAGTGTTTCTGACAGCGTTTCTCAATCCTAGTCCTCAATCTCCACTGCTCTGCGTATTTTGATATTTGGAAAAGAAGTTAAAATTGTGCACTGCTAGCTATTGACTTCCATAGTACGTTGTCATCAAAACAGTGCTGATGTGAAAGATGCTGCAAAACACATGAGCGTAATGGTCATGTCCATTAACTGCGTGTCTACCTAGAGAAACAATGAAAAAGTAGCTCACTAGAATGGACAAACCTGTTCTTTGCGATATTATATTACCATATTAAAATACACCTTTAAAAATGTAGAAATGAAAAGTAAGTGTCATAATTTAAACAAGTATATGGCTGCATTTGAAAGCATCTACTACTCGAGTATGTATGTGTAAATTCACTTTTACTACTCAAAAAATGTTCTGTATCAGGGTGTCCGCGGGGTCTTTAAAAATATTAAAAATTGATAAATCAGTTATAAGAAAATTAAGGCCCTTAAAAGGTATTAAATAGTCTTAATCGCATTTTTCTGAGGTCTTAAATTTTGTTCAAGCGTTGTCCAAAGTGTTTGCCTCCTAATGTTAACAACGGCGTGCTCGATCCACATGATTGGTTCAGGCCAGGGCGTGTCCAGCCAAGCTATATCTGGGTCCAATCGCTATATCAAACTGTATGAGGAGGCTCATCAAATGGTGATAATAAATGTTTACAAAGTGATGTAATACTTTCGAAAAACCATGATTGCAATATATATATATATATATATATATATATATATATATATATATATATATATGCCCATGCCTAATAAGGTATATGCCGAAGCATGCTAATAGGACTTTTAATTTGCCAGTAACCTGGGTTAAGCACTTCCGGTGAACTGTATGAATGGTGAACAACTAAATGAATGCCAAAGTTTATGTAACTGAATGTATTTTAGTTATATTACAACATCGATGCTGTAAAAGGAACAATTAGAAATTGTATAAAATGGGAAAAAATTCACAATAACAAGTCGTCGGAAGTTTATCAGTATAGGAACAACACTAGCTCGACATATACCCTATATCCGATGACTAGAAAGTGATTATTTTTTAATAAATTGTTACATTTTTTGTATTTGTGATGCAGTAAGTCCAGAGATTGATGTGTACACTGATTTTATATAAACTTTACTTTAATGTGTGATGTGACTAAAAAGTTTCCATAAACGAATATTTTCTCAATTCAAATAAGTAGCGGCTTGGACCCAGAAACAGTATTCAATACGTCACTGATACGCACGACTTAAAAAGCGGATAATTTCAAACAACTTTGCTTACATACTGTTTTTTAACATGCTTCATTGTATGTTCATATGCGTTTTTGGACACGGTCTTTGTTCAGCTTATGTGGGATTCTTGTAAAGTTTCATTTAATTTAGTTTCTCCCAAATTTGCAGTTATAAAGATATGGACTACTTTCAGCCTTAAGATATATTGTGAATATAAGATTGCAAATTTGAGGTGTGTATATCGCTGCTTAAGTGGATATTTTCAGCTCTGGAGAAAAATAACGGACTCTGACAAAACGGCGGGTAAACATTTGAATTTTGTATCAATTCAAACTGATCTGAATTTAGCCGTTATCTGCCAATTTTGTATGTGGGAGGGGCTTAACTCCGCGGGGTCATAACTGCGGCTACTGGACATTTTTAAGACAATAATTAGCTACTACTATTCATTACGATAAGGGATATGTTTAGGGTTGGGGTAGACAGAGACGTTAATAAAACACAATAGGTTGGAACTCGATGAAATGTTAATTTCATTTCATCGACTTTATTTGGTCGTGTTAATAATAGTATCAAGGGTGTCATTTGGGTGAAGAAGCTGACGTTTTCAGAGTTTTTTCTTCATAATATTAATGGCGATAGCTGAGCGGTACTGTAGGGGGCGCTGTGGTGATTTTCATCTACCGGACCGCCAAACCACGGAAGAAATAAACACTGGAGCCCACGATGGAAGCGATGGTGAGTGTCTTTTGTGTTCTGCTATATGAAGTTATTCACCGTTGTACAAACAGCAGGAATAAGCCATGGTTAGCATGTGTTTACTATGATTTAACCACCATATATTTATTTTTTTTCGTAGCAAAATGTTGTATTTACTTACAGTAAAAACAAGTAGGTTAACAACAAAGTTGCTGTTTTACTGCACGAACACTTGAACAATGTTATTTGTTGTAAAACTGCTTTAAAAATATTCAATTTCAGTAGCACTCTGAAATATGTCACGCTTATGGTAATATATATGTTGTACTTTGTTATTTTTCCTTTTATAAACAGGTCCTGTAATGAAACTAAACTCATTTATGGCCATCCAAATTAATAAATACTTTAATAACTTATTGGAAATACAGTGTTTTGAACCAGACTATACAGTACATATGTACTGTGTAAATATTAGAATAATTACTACTGTTTGTTAATGAATGCTCCGGTATACTGTAGTATTACTGCAGTGAACTGATGTAATGTATATTGTAGCTTACTTTGTTTTTTACTACAGTAAGCAATGGTCTGTTGTAGTGTAATATACCCATAGTTGTAGAATAACTACAGTATTGGGTCATTTGTTTATATTGCTGTAGTTGTGTTACATGAGTAACTATAGAATTCTACCACAACAGCTTAATTGACATTAATTACTATAGTTTGATTCAAAAGTGTACATTAGTAGAGGGTTTTTCATGTGAGTACAATTTATACAATATACATTATAAATGTCAGTATTTTACTTGCTTTCTGTGTAGTTTTTCTCTCATTCTGAGTTTGATGGTTTGGTTATGAACGCGTGTGTTTGCTGATGATGTGGTGTTTGTGTGCAGATGTTGAGCATGGAGGTGCAGGTGGACGTGAGCTGCTGTAAATCAGTAGGAACTGATCTGTCCATGCTGGATATTGAGGATTTCATCAGTCAAATCTGTCAGCTGAAGAAAGAGGTGGCGTCGCTGGAGGCCAAGCTGAGAGAAAGAGGAGAGAAACTCCAGCCAGAGGTTTGAGCAGATCTTCATGTCCTGAAGGTGGATTGATGAGCTCTCTGTCAGACGCAGCTGATATTTCTTGTGTTTTTCAGCGTCAGGATTCGCTGTGCGGCGTCAGAGCTCAGAGATCCAGAGACACGCAGAACTCAGAGCTCAGCCTGACTTTACTCTGTTATACTGACGCTCAGGATCATCAGAGCTCTGAGCCAGACGCTGGAGAACAGCAGACCACACTGAAGATGTGCTCCGTCAGACTGGAGGACTGCAGGAACCTGATCCAGAGAACTGAAAACACCACAGAAGAAGATCAGAGAGACCAGGAGGATGATGAGGGTGATAAAGATGATGGTGATGATGATAATGATGATGAATTCATTCCTGCAGGTTTGTTTCATGTATAACTTTTGACTTCAGTGTTTGTAGTGTTTGCCTTGCCTTGCCTAGAATATCCCTGTGGTTAGATCTGAGATGATTTGACAGATCTCAAACTTTGTGATTATGTTAACAGGCTTTTGGTTATTACTTTCTTCAAACTATCCTCGCCGTATGCACCAGACACTTTCCTAACAACTCTCCTAGCAATTGTCCATGTTCCTAGAAAAACATTGTGTGATTCATATGCTTTGTTCTCACCAAAGTTTACTTTTGGGATGCTTTTGCCATTACGCGAATGTTTCACGCCACACACACATTTGAGGTGTATTCTACATGTTCATGCCAAATGTGATGTACATTTTAGGGTTGGCCGATGTTGACCAATTTGGCATCGTATGACGTCTAATGTGAAACATCGTGATGGATGAATAATTCGTTAATTCATAACAAATTAATTATTTGTAGCCTACCATTCCAGCAACCTGACCTGCATGGTCTTTGTTTTACCCATAACCAAATCCTAAATAAATAAAGATAAGTTACACACATATTACCACCTGTCAATCACTTTTCCTGTGGGACTCTGGAGTGATCTGTTTCGTTATAATGGCGTCCACAAACTTGGTTGGTTAAAAAAGGCGCGCAACCAACCAACAGAATCTGAGGTTTCACTCAAATGACTAAGTACAAGCGTGAAAGCGAAAGACTGAAGCAGTGTACTGACTTTGATACATGTTACCTGATAGATTCAAAAGACAGTAGAGTCGTTAGATGGAGACAAGATTAATGAAATATCATGTTTAACAACTATAGTGAGACCCCATCTAGTGCTACATCCTTGATAAACTGGCCGGCGTGCACTGCTCTCTGGGGTATTGTGCTCAAAGCACCCGCTGACTGCTGGAACTCAGATGAGCGTCACGATAAAATGCCAGTAGCTACATTTCCATCCACCTATTTTTATGTGCATTTTGGATGTGCGTATAAACGATGGAAACTCCATGTTGCGCATGCATTTTTAAAATGCGCATAAAAAACGCATAACTGTTTAGAATAAACTACGTTTTACGTCTTTATTAGCTGTTTATAGCCCCTTTCACACATACAGACCTTACCGGAAAATTACAGGCAATTTTCCGGAAAGGTGTGTATGTGAACAGGACCTTTTTGAAAATACCGGTAAATTCGTCTGGGCTATTTTCCAGAAAGAGAAGTTGTAATATTAGCGGTGATTTGTCGGAATGCTGCTCTGTGTGAATGCAGAAGAAAGACTGCTGGAAAGAGCGCGTGCACGTCTAGAACATGCTGACGTGAGACGTCTACTTTAGCCAATCAGAACACTCAAGACGCATTCACGTTCGCGCGGTTTATGAAAGTAAAAGCCTGTGAATATTTTCCCAGATACATTTAACTGCTAGAAGTTAGTCAGATAACGTTTATATGTTCATCTTAATGCCAACCGTGTAAATAATCATCAATAAGATGCTTATGATAAGCCGTTGTTTGTTTATTTTCAAGCTTTGCCGGTAAGATATTTACCGTTATCACTGTGTGAAAGGGGCTAATCACAGCTTATGCAGGTTCTGCTCTCTAAAGTAGACTTCAATCACAGGTGCGCCCTCTCTGTGGTAACAGCTCACTGTCAGCTCACGTGTGGTTTCGCGGCCGTGAATACATCATGATCATGAAAACAGAAATTACATTTTTGGGTGAATTATAGCTTATAAATACAGCATGTGACTCTTTCAACACCATTGAGAGATGTCCACGTTGCATCGAGCAACATATGTAAAACAGTGTGAAGTGCGATCGCCTTTGCTTCTCTCCTGAACTTGAAAATATAATTGGGAGAATCGTAGAAATGCTGGATTAAAATCTTCTAGGGCAGTAGTGTCTAAACTCAGCTTGTTTAGCTGGTTCAGGTGTGGTTAATTGGGGTTGGATGCCGGCCCTCCTGGAACGAGTTTGGACATCCCTGGTCTAGGGGATCGAATCAAGAACGCAATCTTTTATCAATTAATCGTGCTGCTCTATTATAAGCAGGGCTTAATTTGTGCTGGAACACTCCATATCCGGCACCTCTGAAATCTGATCCCACAACTAATTTTACCGATCCCCCTCCTCAACGGCCCTCCTCCCCCTTTCTGCGACTCTCCAACCCTTTTAACTTTCGTCCGCAACAACCTCCCCCACTCTTTGCTTTAGTCCGTCGTCCGCGACACTCCCTCCGACATCTACTAGTTCCATTTTAGTTCCAGTAGATAAAACGGTTTATTAAATGATACGCAGTAATTTGTTATTTGTACATTTTTACTATTAAAAACAGTCAGATTTATTATTGAAGTTCTGCTGCTTTCAGATGACAACGTTGAATCGTCTGATGAAGAAGCTCCTTCGTCTTCAAAAGATGAGCCGAAGGCCAAGAAGAGGTTCCCTTGCACCTCCTGCAAAAAAACATTCTCCTATGAAAGTTTTTTATTGGCTCATGAAAAAAAACACTCAGAGCCGAAGGTCTTCACCTGCTGGAAATGTGATAAATGCTTTCCCACTTTAAAAGAGAAGAGACGCCACCAGAAGGAGCATCTGGAAACAAAGGAGTTTCACTGCAAACAGTGCGGGATGGACTTTTTATTGTCTTGGCAGCTAAAAGCTCACATGAAGACGCACAGCGGTGAACTACGTGTGCAGTGTGACGTATGCAACAAATCATTCAGCACCAAAGGGAACCTGGAGGCTCATAAGAGAATCCACACGGGCGAGCGGCCGTATAAATGCCCTCACTGCGAGAAGAGCTTCAACCACGGATCCCACTTAAAGAAACACGTCCGCATTCACACCAACGACAAGCCGTACAAGTGCAGCGAGTGCGGAAAAACCTTCACAACCAGCAGCTCTCTAAGCTCACATCTAAAACTCCACTCTGAGGACAAACCGCATCAGTGCAAACACTGCGACAAGCGATTCCGGCAGAAATCAGCTTTGACCTCTCATGAGAAGACACACGGTGGAGAGAAACCATACCTGTGCGCCGAATGCGGGAAGAGTTTTTTAACCGCGACACATTTAATTGCTCACCAGAGAACCCACACTGGGGAAAAACCGTACCTGTGCAACATCTGTGGGCGGAGTTTCAACAAACAAATCATCTTTAAGAACCACATGAGGACTCACACTGGAGAAAAGCCGTATAAGTGTTCACACTGCGACAAGACGTTTGCACGATCTGACGTGATGAAGACCCACGAGAGGGTTCATACCGGAGAGAAACCGTACCGCTGCTCCATCTGCGAAGAGAGGTTTGCGTATTTAGGAAGTTTTCTGAGCCACCAGAAGAGACATGGAGGAGGACGAGTGGATGAGCAGAATTGATGTGTAGAATTGACTGCTGTGTAATTTAATATTAAAGTGATAGTTCTTGAAAATGTCCTAATTTGCTTTTACTCTTCGTTTATTTTAATGTTGTGAAAAAATATCAATTGAGTGTTATGGAGCCATATATGAGAAGGCTCAACCTCCTTTAGTGGACTTACTGGGTACTACCAGAAGCCCTGAGTTTTGAGATCTTCGGGTGCTTTCACACCTGCCTTATTTAGTTTGGTTGAATCGCACTAAAGTTGGTTTTCCCTCTTGGTGTGGTTCGTTTGGGCAGGTGTGAATGCAGCAATCGTACTCAAGTCCGCACCAAAAGAGCGTACCGAGACCTGCTTAAAGAGGTGGTCTTGGTACGCTTTCAAACGAACACTGGAGCAGTTTTCTTGTGGTGAGAATATTATCTGTAGTGCACCTTTTGGACTAATCCAGTTGCTGTAGGCTGATGCGCTGTGCATTATGGGATATGGAGGAAAAATATTTGTTGACAGCACTTTACTAGCATAGAGAGAGAGAAAGAGGGAAAACATTACCTGATGGATCGTTGGTAACATTTCAACAAGATGACCATGTCACAGTTTATCTAAATTAATTCACACCTTCTCCTGAAGTGACGAGCGATGCATTAAACATTGTTTTTCAGAAGCGGCTGTGCTTCATTCTCGAAATGTGTCGTTTTTCTAAAGCAAGCATACAATCAGTCAGCGCAGTCGCCCCTCCATAGTAAAAAGCAGCATGTTGTGTCTGGCGGTTTGTTTACTTGCGTACTAACTATTGTATTTGATTTGTAGTGGCGATTCTATAGTTGCTATAGTAACACAACCATAGTAATTGATCTGTTGTGGTTATTCTATAGTAGCTACGGTAACAATAACAACAACTATAGTAATTGATCTGTTGTGATGATTATAGTTGCTAGGGTAACAACAACTAGTAATTGATTTGTAGTAGTGATTCTATAGTTGCCGTAGTAACACAGCTATAGTGATTTATCTGTTGTAGTGATTCTATAGGTGCTATGCTAACAACAATTTTAGTAATTCATCTGTTGTGGTGATTCTATGGTTGCTATGGGAACAGCTGGTATTTGATCAGTTGTGATGATTCCATAGTTGCTAGGGTATCACAACAACAACTGGAATTGATTTGTAGTGGTGATTCTATAGTTGCTATAGTAACACAACTATAGTAATTGATCTGTTGTGGGGATTCTATGGTTGCTATGGGAACAACTAATATTTTATTTGTTGTGATGATTCTATAGTCGCTATGGTAACACAACAACTATAGTGGTTGAGCTGATTATGCAGCGAATGCACAGATGTCATCTTTGTCTACTGCACACAATCAAATAATTGAACTGAAGCGGAAAATCGAATGAATTGTAAAAAGGTAATCCATGCAATGTATAGCAGAATATCGTAATATGTTTAAATTGCAATAATAATAATAATAATTGTATGGTGATATCGCATCGTGGGGAGAATGACTCCCAGCACTAATTTACTAATCAGGATCCAAGTTTCTATTTCTTTTAAACACAAGTGCAGGTATTTTGAAGAATGTCCGTTAGCATAGCATTCAATACAAGTACTATGAAAAACAATGGCTACTAGTTTACAACATTCTTTAAAATATCTTCCTTTTTATTCAACAGAAGAAACAAAGATAAAGAAACTCGGATCAGGTTCAGGAAGAGCAAAATGATGACAGAATTGTCATTTTCAGGTGAACCGCCCCGTTAATCATGCTAATTAAATAACAACTGGAACACAAATGAAGAACTCCACGGCGTCTTTGTGCAGATATTTAATATTTGCTGAAAAATAGATGGCAGTACCACATTAGGGCAAAAAATGACCCTTGTTCAAGTACAAAAACACTTCCTCTAGAAGACACACAAAATTCATTAACGAAGATACAAAAAGTTCATTCATTGAGGAAAACCTAACGTTTCTTACAAATATTACAATGATACATACAACAGAAAGCTCATATTAAAAAAAAACATTGCAAAAGGAGTTTTAATAAAATTCTGATAAATTTTCTCCAGAACAGGAATTTTCTCAGATGCTTTGTTGTAGTTTTATTAAGAGTTAAATAAGAAAATCTGCTGTTAAAACAGGCTTTTTCACTAATATTCCTGCTTTTTTAATAGCTTCATTAACCTAAAGTACCTCTCTCACCTGTTTACCATATAAATATATCATTTTTCCCAACAGCTTAAAGACAGAGTGGCGCCAAAGTGCAAATGTGGTAAAGAAATGACATGATATATTTCATAAGGCAGAGTATAGACTAGCTTTACATGTAGAATCTTTACAAACGGTTTCTTATACAAGCAAATAAAAGCTGCCATTCACATTCAGTCTAACATCTTCTACACTTAAAGGTGCACTAAGGCAATCTTCCCCAATTATGTTGATCTTTGAAACCACCAAAACAAACACGCCCATATCAAAATAGGCCACGCCCATTTTCCCGCATATCTCCACTATCATTAATAGACACACCCCTTACTGCTGATTGGCTGCAGGTGTGTTTTGAGACTCTATATGTGGATATTTGAAAGCATCAAAACAATGCGCCCATAATCAAATAGGCCCCACCCCCCTTTTAAATCTTCACTATCATGGCTAGACACGCCCCTTACTGTTGATTGGCTGTAGATGTGTTTAAGGACTCTATATGTTGATATTTTAAAGCACCAAAACAAACATGCCCATAATCAAAGAGGACACGCCCACTTTACATATCTCTCCTATCATTACTAGACACGCCCCTCACTGCTGATTGGCTGTAGGTGTCTTTTGGAACTCTATATGTTGATATGTGAAAGCTCTAAAACAAACATGCCCATAATTTAACAGGCCCCACCCCCTTTTAAATCTCCTCTGTCATTGCTAGACACGCCCCTTACTGCTGATTGGCTGCAGGAGTGTTTTGGGACTCTTTATATGTTGATATTTAAATTCACCAACACAAACACGGCCATAATCAAGCAAGCCACGCCCACTTAACATACCTCCACTATCATTATTAGAAACGCCCCTTACTGCTGACTGGCGAATCAGTGAATGACGCAAAACGTGCAGCACATTTGCCGCAAATATGCAAAATTGGCCTCAATTGTCCTGCGATTAAACTAACACGACTATGCTGAATGCATTGCTTAGTGCACCTTTTAAACACAACAAAATAACTAAACACTGCATCCTAATTTGCATATCATACATCCTAATTAGCATCTGAGTATAGAGTCGATGTATCCCAAATCTGAGAGGATGTTGAACTGAGTTTTTTAAAGTTACCCAGATGGTCTACAATGTTGGATAAAAATTTAAAGTGCTAAATCCATGCTAACGGCTAATATCACCTAAAATACATTATGAATTGCATTAGAACTACAATCACTGGTAAACCAAATGTTTAAGAACTACAAACATGGTGATTGTGTGAGAGTGATGGTTAAATCGAGAGGCTTAGGTAAAGATGTTTATATTGATAATTAATGGAAAATATTCATGTTTTCTGCGTCATGTTTATCTGCAACAACATTGTGGGCTTTTATAAAAGGTGCGTTTGGTCGGTTATTTTTAAATGCATACTTACACAAAGACCTGAGGACATTTCTCGGCATAACAGACCCACAAATAGCAGATTAACCTTCGTCTGCAAAATGACTGGGAGTTAAATAAGAAATGTGCATGATCTGACAAGATGACTGACAGGACATGTAACTAAGCTCTCACACACTCATAAGAACATACATTTTCCCTAGTATATAGTTTTAGGACAGTATAAGTAGGCAAATTATGATGCAGCAAAAGTGTCTAAAAGCCCATTCGCTGACTGACCTACATGCTTTATTATTTGAGCTGATATGTTTCATCTTGTTCTCCAGTGACGAGTCCACACCTGCAATAATAACCCCACTGATCAGACAGACAGACAGAGACAGAAAGCAGATCTCCTGGTGTGCTGCAGAAGTGAAGTCAGATGTCTGTGAGGATCCTCCAGGACTGGACGGACGCTCTATATCTTTGATTCTCCGCTGGTCTGATCGCTCCGGAGCGGCTGCTGCAAAGGTCACATTGTGAGTTTACACCAGTCGTACCACAGTATTACACAGAAACTAATCTAGCTGTCATTCATCTCAAGACAATGTTACGTGCTTCACGAGTAGTGTGGAGTGTATTAAATATGTTGACGAGGAGTTTCCTGTTTGTGTTTCTGAACTACACTAAAGAACAGCACTTGAATTAATCTGCTGTGGTGATTCTATAGTTGCTATGGTAACAGGACAACTAGTAATTGATTTGTTGGGGCGATTTTACTGTTGCTATGGTAACACGACACCTATAGTAATTGATCTGTTGTGGTGATTCTACAGTTGCTATAGTAACACAACAACAATGGTAATTGATCTGTTGGGGCATTCTAAAGTTGCTATGGTAACTATAGTAATTAATCTGTTGTGATTCTATAGTTGTTGCTATGGTAACACAACAACTATAGTAATTGATCTGTTGGGGCAATTCTACTGTTACTATGGTAACACAACACCTATAGTAATTGATCTGTTGGGGCGATTCTACAGTTGCTATGGTAACACGACAACTATTAATAGATTTTTTTGTGGTGATTCAATAGTTGCTATGGTAACACAACATCTATAGTAGTTGATCTGTGGTGATTCCATGGTTGCTATGGTAACATCTATAGTAGTTGATTTGTTGTGGCGATTCTATAGTTGCTATGGTAACACAACTATTGTAATGCAAACAAATGACCAAATACTGTAGTTTTCTACTATAGGGTGGACTATAGTCTACAATACACCAGTTTACTGTAGTAAAACTAAAGTTTACTGCAGTATTAATTACAGTTTATCGGTTCGCTATAGTTATTAATCTACTAAAGTATCCTGGAGCACTTATTAACAAATTGTTGTGAAAAATATAATACACTTTACTACATTATAGTTTAAAAACACTACAATATTTGCTATAAAATACCACAGTATTTTTTCATGTGTTTATTCAAAGAATATTAACATTAGCATTCAGCAAATATCAATAATGACGTCAGATGGATGTTTCAGGAATTATTTTCTCCTTAATTTATAAGTAATAAGCTTTGACTATTCATTTATTTTCTATTGTTTCTTTGGTTAAACTGTGTTCCTAAGGTTTTGTTTTGATGGTAGTTTATGGACAAATGTTCAACAATGTAGTTAAGATGGCTGGTAAAAGGACATTTGCAATGTAAATTTTACAATAATGTTTAAGATGAACATTTACACAAGCTCTAAAACACATGTCCGCGGTGAGCATGTTCAGTGTTGATGTCAGCGTGTTCATTCACCTGACTGGAGTGATTGCTGGTGCTGAATTCTGAATATTTCTTCTTCTTGAGTGAGCAGATCCTGGTAATGAGCTTGCAGTACTCCTCTCTGACCTAAAGAGGGCGATAACACACACTGTATGGAATGGAGCATGTAAAATACATATATTTCTGAGATTATTTCTTGCCGTTCTCATGAGAGATTTAGTGAGATCTGCTAGTGTGTGTTTGCTGTCGATCGCACACTGAGGTGCTAAACACACTGCAGGAGTTAAACTGTTAAACCTGCTGCTTCTTCATCTGCATGTTTGTGTTTTCTCACATTTAGAAATCTGATGAGATTGTACAGATCTGTCAGTGTGGTTAGTTTCGCAATCTTGCATTACTAAGAAAAAGAAATCTTGATAACAAAGTTAAAATGGTGGATGAAAAGACTATAAAAGTCTGATTATTAACTATTTCCTTTGAGTAATGCACATAAAACAATCAAATAGACCAACACATTGTAGTGCATGTGCATTATTGTGTGTGTAAAGCTGTAAATACAGAAAGAAAGCTTTGCACTAATATAACTAATCATTATTTAGCAAAATGATTCACTGATTCATAACCTTCGAAATGCCACTATGACACCTGCCAATCAAAACCAAGTAAACTCAAGCAAAGCATGCATTAAAATAGGCTTGATCAAACACACTCCAAATGTTAAGGTGAAAGTATAACTTAATAAATGCACTTCGCTTATTATCTAATATCATTAAATATTAAGCATCTGCATAAAATCTGGTCTTTTATCTATATTCAGGGCTTATATAGTTAAATTGAGGGCTCTGCTCATCAGGACAAGATATTCCTCCTTTTTCACTTCACATTTATCTCATTAAAACATCTATAAACTCAAGAAACTGATTCCAGATTCGTTAAAACAAACGATGAAACCTATTCACCACTAGGGGGCGATCTAAGTGAAGCTGCACAGTGTTGGGGGAGGATACTTTAGGAAGTAATGCGTTACAATATTGAGTTACTCCCCAAAATAGTAACTAGTTGCGTTACTTAGGCTGCGTTAAAAACCGCATACTTCCATACTATATAGTACACTAAAATCAGTATGCGAGCCTAGTAGTGTGTCAGAATTTATAGAATTTAAAAATCAGTATGCGAGAAGTACCCGGATGATTTACTACATCTGGCGAGATTCTGAAGTGCGCATCCTATGCATGCTGCGCTATCCCATAATGCCCCGCAAGAGAATTCATGAATGGGAGTGAAGCGACGCAACTGACTATTAATCAGCTTGGTAGCTGTGCCCAGTGTGGGCGGTGCTGAAAGCTGTGATCCCGATGCGGTGAGTGTTTACAAGTGTCGAGTCTCGTGCAGGAGCTCCAGATGGAGACTTTTGTGTTTACCTTATAATTAAAGTTGGTGCACATCCGCCGGATTGCCCCTCTCAATAAGCTAGTTTGATCTATTTGCATATTAATGTAGTGTTCAGAAAAAAAAACACCAGTGAAGAAACTCGACACAAAGGAACGTAAACACTTACTGCCAGCTAGTGTTTCAGAAGTGTTATTGCAGAGCAACACGCCGATCGCTCGACGCAGAAGTATAAACCAGCCTTTACGTTACTATAGCATTACTTTTAAGCGTATTCTCTCATTGAGTGTGTGATTCACCGTTCATCATTCAGCCATTTATTTTTCAAAAGCTAATTAAACAAACTAAACAGTAAGTTGCATAATTGTGTTAAAAATGTAACTCAAATTTTATTCATTTCTAAAAGTACTGCATTACTTTACCCGTCACCTACAGAAGTAATATTATTAAGTAACTACGTGTAATGTGTTACCCCCGAACACTGAACCTGCAAGATTGATATGGATATTATATTGTTAAACACATCGCCCCCTAGTGGAGAACCCATGAATTTTCAAAACTTTTCAAAGCAGTAATGACGTACCAAAGCCCTGTTTACTGAAATCCAACCTCGCCAGTTTACTCCAGATCACGCAACTTGCTAATTTTGCCAGTTTTCGAGATCTGGCCAATTTAAAATGCACAACAAACCACTGATTCAAGTGTTCAGTACCTGTCTAGACAGCAGGCAGTGCATGATGAAGATCAGCGCCCCCTGCAGGCTGTTGAGGATGACGAAGAGGTACAGCGCAACCTGAGTTACTTTCTCATAGAAGAGGAAACTGCCGAAAATCCACATGCCTCCCAGAACACACAGCTGAGCCACCGCCGTCACCGTGAAGCCTCTGAAAACCAGCAGAGAGGCATAATTCATTCATTCATTCATTTTCTCTTTGGCTTAGTCCCTGTATTAATTAGGGGTTGCCACACCGTAATGAACCGCCAACTTATCCAGCATATGTTTTACACATCGGATGCCCTTCCAGCTGCAACCCATCACTGGGAAAAGAGATGCATTAGCGTTTGGCCAATTGTTTTTTTAGTTTGCTGAAACGAGCGCGCTCACCTGATGGTGCGGAGTTTGGAGAGGTCTGGGTTGAGGCTGGAGAATTTCTCAGCCAGTTTCCACACGGTGATGACAAAAACCAAGCTGTTGAGGCCGATGATGAGGCAGACGGGCGCGAGGAAGCTCCAGATGAAGTCATATTTGAGAGAGAGCCAACAGCTGGAGCAGAGACACAGGTAATTATGAGAGCATCCAGATAACAGCAAGAGTTAGTGACACAAATTAACACACACTGATTGAATTTACAATTTGGCTGACAAATAATTGTCTAGGAAGTTCAGTTCCACTCAGTTCAAGTGTATTTGTACAGCACTTTTCACAATAATTATTGTTTCAAAGCAGGTTTACACATTATTGCATTACTATCAAGATCAGAAAAGGTTATTAGTTACCGTAACTAGTTACTAATACCTTTACTTAAATTAACTACTGACTATGAGCTTTTACTAGTTACAGTTAGTATACTGTATGTAAACATAGTTAAACCTGCAGTTATATAGCATTTGATGATGTCTGTACATGTTCAATGGCTATGTTAATCGCTATTAAGCAAAATAATTGTATGTTTTGAAGCCCATATATATATATATATATATATATATATATATATATATATATATATATATATATGTGTGTGTGTGTATGTGTATATATATGTATGTGTGTGTGTGTATGTGTATATATATGTATGTGTGTGTGTATGTATATATATATATATATATATATATGTGTGTGTGTGTGTATGTGTATATATATGTATGTGTGTGTGTATGTATATATATATATATATGTGTGTGTGTGTGTATGTGTATATATATGTATGTGTGTGTATGTATATATATATATATATATGTGTGTGTGTGTGTGTATGTGTATATATATGTATGTGTGTGTGTATGTATATATATATATGTGTGTGTATGTGTATATATATGTATGTGTGTGTACACACACACACATATATATATATATATATATATATATATATATATATATATATATATATATATATATGTGTGTGTGTGTGTGTGTGTGTGTGTGTGTGTGTTTGTGTGGTTGAAAGTGAAAGTTTTTTCAGTATTTTAATATAAACATTGCCTATGAAATATTCTGGATTGGCCCTGCATTATGGTGGAGACTAAACATGCATGTATGACAAGTACACAAGCTGTAAAAAAAACAAAATGTTAAATATGTGATTTGCATATACTGTTGTAGATCAGATTTATATTTTGTCTACAGTCTCTCTCACTCTGGAAACCCCCTGGAAATCAATGCAAATCTGAAAGCGAAAGTGAAAGTACATTGAGGCACATTTGAAACAGTGCATAGGTATATTGTTTATCTGTCTATCTTGTTTATGTCTGCAAAAGGAATTACAGTAATCGCAGTCATCTGAGAAGAATGTGGTTAAGGCCCGGTCCCAATCTAACCCCTTATCTCTACCCCTCACATTGCACATTCAAGGGATTCGGTGTCCCAATTGTCTTTTGCTTGGAGGTGTAGGGGTCAGGAAAGGGCCAAATTGCCATTCAAACTGAGATTTATCAGAACCAAACAACAAACAGAAGGGTTTTGCGAGATTTCCCAGACTACACCTCCTACAGCAGCAACACGACAGCTAAACCTAGCAAGGAGACATAAACATCTTATTATTTCTTGCGATTATATCCATGGTTTGTGCATCGTGCAACATCCCGAAGCTTGTATGAGAGACGCTGTGCACTGCCTTTTGTGGACATTAGTAAATAGCAGTGTGCTGTACTTTTTATGTTACTAGGCAACCGATGTACGGTCTTCACACTGGAGAGCGTGACATCGGAAATGCAAGGTTTTCAGTTCATTCATACAAAAGATAAACACGCATATAACTTCCATAAGAATGACACTATATCCGCAGACCTTGCAACCTGTGCTAGTCCCTTTATTAATCAGGATTTGCCACAGCGGAATGAACTGTCAACTTTTCCAGCATGTTTTATCCAGTGGATGCCCTTCCAACTACAACCCATGACTGGGAAACACCTATACACACTCATTCACATACATATACTACAGCTAATTTAGCTTGCCCAGTTGACTTATATTGTATGTCTTTGGACTTGTGGGGATAAACCCACGCCAACACTGGGAGAACATGCAAACTCCATACAGAAATGCCAACTGACCCAGCCGAGACTCGAATCAGTGACCTTCTTGCTGACAGCGCTACCCACTGTGCCACCGTGCCGCCCTGGTGTCTCATTTCTTTAGGGAATATTTCTACTCATACCCGATCACACTCTGTTTCTTTAAGGCCACTGGGAAGGCGAAGAGGTAGGGGTTTAAAATAGAACTGGGCCTAAATATCTACAATAATAATGATAATAATAGCACACTCACTGTCTGTCTGTGCCGTATCCCTTTGGGAAGGCGATGGCAGAGATGGAGACGATGACTAGAGGGACTCCGTATCCCACCGCGTACATGTACAGGTGTTTTAATGTGGTGTGAAAAACCAGAACAACCATCCGGTAGAGCTGAACCCCCTCCAGCAGCATCCAGCAGAACGCAGACAAGAAGAAGAAGTGGAGCAGACCGGCCACAATCGCACACGCCACCTGACAGGATCAATACAGTCAAGAATTAGAGTCAATATTTCTGTCAACAAAGTTTAGTAGTTCTTTATATCTGTCAAAATAGCACAAGATTCTCCTGCTTCAATGTACAGTATGTGTCATCAAATAAAGTTCAGCACAAAAGTAATCTAAATGTAATCCAAAAGTAGTTAGATTACATCAAGCGTGGATTTAGGTTTGCTGGATGTTTGTCATCAACCATAGAAAAGATGCATAACGATAAAGGGGTCCCGATACAGAGCCCTGAGGCACACCAGTGTTAACAGGGGATTATTGGGAACTAAATGATTGTGCTGTGATGTTCATAAGTGTGGTTTCTATACTGTGAAAGATGCAGGAACCAGATTGAAATGTTCTTACAGGTTGGAGTTGAGTAGCAGCTATTGTTTCAAGGGTTTTGTAAAGGAGGAGTAAATTAGAAATGGAAATTATTCATGATGATTGACATCACTGTTGATTCTCCATCTCCTATAACCTCTAGATATGAGAGCCACACACACCTGATTGTGAGTGCTGGAGATCCCGCAGAGGAAGACGAGGTCTGCGATGAAGAGGCAGACGCTCAGATGGAGGTGGATGCTGTTCCGGGTGCCTTGGATTGAGCGGCAGAAGCGGAAGGTCAGGATACAGAGGAATAAACACAGCAGAGACAGAACTAAACCCACACGCGTGATCAGCACCAACTCAAACGTGTCCTGCAGGAGAGGAACAAGAAAAACACAGACACGTGAGTTCATAATGATCATCATTTAATCTAGGAGTGCTTTCACACCTGGACGTTTGCTTGGGCACCTGGCACCTTTGCCCCTGTTTGCTCGGTTGGTTTTTGAACGTGTAAAACCTGCAATCGCACTCAGATCACCTGAATGAGCTCTAAAGCAGTTTGGTTGTAGTGAGAAAGCAATACAATCAAACCAACTAACAAACCAGGCTATATCACAGTGTATTATGGTTAAATATAAGGCATATATATGGCTAGAAGAGAAAATGACGAGTGAGGCGGGATGTCATTTCTACCAGTAAAAGTGCATTTCCTGTCAAATACGATAGTAAAAGCATGCTATCTAATTGAACTATTCAGAAATATTTAATATACCAACAACATTTCTGATATTAGAACAGATATATTACAACCCTTGACAATTGAAATGAGGCTATGTAGGAGAAAGTTTTACCTCTGATTTATATTTGTTGACGATAACTCTGGGTGTCATTTAAAATTGCACACATTTTCGCTTATAAAGTTTAATTTCTCATCGTCATAAATTAAAATATCAACAACTGAGCATAATCTTGGAAAATAAGCCAAACTCTGCCAAACGTAAGGAGAGTTTACTCGCACATGACTTGATTTAATCATTTTGGTTTGTTAAGAAACTTTTCCATGTGAAAGCAAACTGAACCAAGAACAAAACACAACATTGTAACAATGTTAATCCCTGTTTCGGAACAAAAAAAATCGATCCACAGGTGTGAGAGCTCTCTAAAATGCATCAGATCTGAATCACTGGTGTACCTGGACAGGGTAGAGTGACATCAGCACTGCAAAACTACTGAGGTGAGAGCAGGAACATTCTGTATGTGTGCTGTTAGACCACGCCCTCTCACAGCCCTGCCTAGACCACGCCCTCTCAGACTCCGCCCAGTACACACAGTTATAAGCCACAGCCTTAGACTCCGCCCTCTCCTGAAAAACACAGAACAAGAGAATGACTACGCTGCTCGAGAACAGAGAGAAACGTCTGGCTGAGAATCACATCTTCACCTCCACATGTGTAAAGATGAGCGACACCGGCTCTGACAGGTGTTTGGTGTCTGGATTACTGACGACAACCGTCACCACCTTTGAGTTGAGTTTGTGAGTGACGTTTTCTTCCATGTCCGATTTCTTTCTGCTCACATTGCGGAATAGATTGCTGGATGAATTCATATCTTTATAACTGACCAGTGACACAAATGCAAAACCTGTGAACAAGAGAATGTTTACATCTCATCATGAATGTGACAACGATAACAGAGTTGACTAACAGAGTTGACAGTAACAAATTTCACAGTAACAAAGTTGACGATAATAAAGTTGACAATAGCAGAGTTGACGATAACAGAGTTGACGATAATAAAGTAAAAAAGTAATAGTCAACAAAAAATAGTTGACAGTAACAGAGTTGACAATAACATACTTAACGATAACAGAGTTGACATTACCAGTCGACAATAATAGAGTTGGCAGTACCAGAGTTGGCAGTAACAGAGTTGATGGTAACTGAGTTGATGGTAACGGAGTCGACGAAAATAGAGTCGGCAATAATAGAGTCGACAGTAACAGTCGATAATAACAGAGTTGACGATAACAGATTCGACAGTAACAGAGTAAATAGTAACAGAGTCGACAGTAACAGTCGACAATAACAGAGTTGACGCTAATAGAGTCGCCAGTAACAGAGTTGATGGTAACTGTCGACAATAACAGAGTTGATGATAATAGAGTCGACAGTTACAGAGTCGATAGTAACAGAGTTGAAAGTAATAGAGGACAGTAACAGAGTCGACAGTTACAGAGTCGACAATAACAGAGTTGATGACAATAGAGTCGACAGTAACAAAGTCGACAGTAACAGGGTCGATGGTAACTGTCGACAATAACAGAGTTGATGATAATAGAGTTGACAGCAACAGTCAACAATAACAGAGTTGACGCTAATAGAGTCGACAGTAACAGAGTCGATAGTAACAGAGTTGAAAGTAATAGAGGACAGTAACAGAGTTGACGATAACAGAGTCGACAGTAACAGAGTCGACAGTAACAGTCGACAATAACAGAGTTGACGCTAATAGAGTTGCCAGTAACAGAGTCGATAGTAACAGAGTTGAAAGTAATAGAGGACAGTAACAGAGTTGACGATAACAGAGTCGACAGTTACAGAGTCGACAATAACAGAGTTGATGACAATAGAGTCGACAGTAACAAAGTTGACAGTAACAGGGTCGATGGTAACTGTCGACAATAACAGAGTTGACGATAACAGAGTCGACAGTTACAGAGTCGACAATAACAGAGTTGATGACAATAGAGTCGACAGTAACAAAGTCGACAGTAACAGGGTCGATGGTAACTGTCGACAATAACAGAGTTGATGATAATAGAGTTGACAGCAACAGTCAACAATAACAGAGTTGACGCTAATAGAGTCGACAGTAACAGAGTCGATAGTAACAGAGTTGAAAGTAATAGAGGACAGTAACAGAGTTGACGATAACAGAGTCGACAGTTACAGAGTCGACAATAACAGAGTTGATGACAATAGAGTCGACAGTAACAAAGTCGACAGTAACAGGGTCGATGGTAACTGTCGACAATAACAGAGTTGATGATAATAGAGTTGACAGCAACAGTCAACAATAACAGAGTTGACGCTAATAGAGTCGACAGTAACAGAGTCGATAGTAACAGAGTTGAAAGTAATAGAGGACAGTAACAGAGTTGACGATAACAGAGTTGACAGTTACAGAGTTGATGATAATAGAGTCGACAGTAACAGAGTTGATGATAACAGAGTCGACAATAGCAGTGTTGATGATAATAGAGTCGACAGTAACAGAGTTGATGATAACAGAGTCGACAATAGCAGTGTTGATGATAATAGAGTCGACAGTAACAGAGTTGATGATAACAGAGTCGACAATAGCAGTGTTGATGATAATAGAGTCGACAGTAACAGAGTTGATGATAACAGAGTCAACAATAACAAAGTTGTCAGTAACAGAGTTGAAAGTATCATAGTCGAAATAACAGAGGACAGTAAAAGAGTTGATGATAACAGTTGACAATAACAGAGTCGACGGTAATAGAGTCAAGAGTTGTCGATGGTAACAAAGAGTCGACGATTTAAGAGTTGACCAAATTGAAGGGATACAAAATATGTTTTTTACAACTGAAATAGCCAATAATACAGAGAATTGATGCTTCATGCAAATGTTTATTTAACTTAGTAGAGTAAACAAACAAAAGACAAAAATTAGACTTGATTATTTGATGCTAACCGAAGCTGAATGTAAGATTCAAGAGGTAAACTTCAGTTAGCATCAAATACTCAAGTCTAAATGTAATCTGTTTCGTGTGTTTACTCTCGGTGTTTAAAATGTAGCCGCAGCTCTTAAATCACTGTATAAATACCTGGATATGATTTCCCAACAACCGTCTCCCAGCTGGTGTTGAAGAGGGCGGAGCCTGTGCTCAGAATGACACTCCCACTAGGCGGAGTCTGATTGCGCGTGACTGCAACCTCAGCATCTGTGAGTCACATGATCATACACGGCTTTCACTACTGTCAAACACAGCATATGCTGACTTAGCTCATGTAAATAAGCAGGATTCTCACAGGTGTTGTGTGTCTCCATCCGCATCACAGGCTCTTTCAGCTGAGGACAAATCAGACGCATGCTGTTCTCCACCGTATCCAGAAGAACACTCAGAGTCTCGCCATCACCGACGCTTCCCGCCGACAGCAGATCATCAGTGGAGGTGAACAGATTCTGCATCAAACACAGTGAGATTTATATTCCAGCACTACTGCATCACCTCATAATCTCAAGCAGGAAAACCCTAATCATACACCTTTATATACTAGTCAGTGCAGGTCAGGTGTGCTTCAGTGTGTGCTGTCAGACTACGGAGACTGTAAATCTAAAACTCCACATCTATAATCCTCTTAGTCTACGCTGACATCATCTCCAGCAGCTCAAACACTCTAATGGCTAATGGACAGACGGCTGCTTCTCACTCAGGCCTGCTGCTTATGCTAATGAGATGGAGAGATGGGCACTAGTGGGCGGGGCTTTCCTCCTCTGATGACACGTACAAAGGGAGAATGTCAATCAAAGTGTTTCTGCATCAAGTCTGATTAGAACAAACACAGTTCAGTACTGCTGAGCACTAGAGGTGCTGGAGATACTCACACACTGCTCACTGCTGGGGTTAAAGATATTTATTACATATTTTGCATATAATAGTTCCCCTTAAATATGGAAAAATGTAATAAAAGTAATGAACAAGCTGTCAGTTAACACAGAAAATGAGTTCAGCACAAGAAATGCAGAAGAAACAAAAGGAGGAAGAAGGCGTTTTCACCTCCATCAACTGTTCTCCGGTCTTGCGCTCTCCGTCTGGAGTGACCAGAGCCTCACAGCTGCTCCGCAACTGCGACAGTAACTCCTTCAGCTAAACAACACACAACAGAACACAATCATTCAGCACTAGTTTCTGAAACAGCAGTATAATACCTGGGAGACAGTATTTCTGCTGCTAGCATGTTTGATACATGGTTAGGAAAAATCTAGCAAACTTTTAGAATGGTTTAATGGTTGAAATGTTGCTGGTTTAAGAAATAGTCAAATAATTTAGCTGTATTGTACTTTTTTAAACTTAGTCATATTAATATAGGGCAGTGGGTAGCAACAAGAAGGTCGCTGATTTGAGTCCCAGCTGGGTCAGTTGGTGTTTCTGTGTGGAGTTTGCATGTTCTCCCCATGTTGGCGTGTGTTTCCTCTGAGTGCTCTGGTTTCCCCCACAGTCCAAACACATGCGCTATAGGGGAACTGATCAACTAAACTGGCTGTAATGTATGAGTGTGTGTGTGTGAGAAAGTGTGTTGTTTCCCAGTGGCGAGTTGCAGCTGCAGCAACATATGCTGGAATAGTTGGCGGTTCCTTCCACTGTGGCGACCCCTGATGAATAAATGGACTAAGCCAAAAAGATAATGAATTATTGTATATATGAAAGTGTTTAGTTCTGCTGTTGTTAATAAACTCAGGACGTTCTCACGTCACACTCCAATGTGTTCCAATGTGTAGTGAACCAAGCTCATCAGTGCCCCCACTAGTGCTCGAGTGCACATGACCTATCGATGAAGGACCTCGGGAGCTAGGGTGCAGATTGAAACGCAGCCATTCACTTGTATGCAAAATACTCCCGCATATACTTAAATTCGCATTTGGTGTGACGCTTCTGATCGCCCCCTGTTGGTTCGATGTGCCCTTTACATGCATATTTATGTGATGGAAATGTGGAGAAAACATTGGGCTCTATTTTGACGATCCATGCACAAAGTGCAAAACGTAGGAGCTTGTCAAAAGCATTTAGGACGTGTCAGAATCCACTTTTGCTAATATAAGGACGGAAAAATCTGCTTTGCGTCATGGCGCATAATCTTACATGGTTGAGCTTATTCTCCTAATGAGTTATAGGTGTGTTTGTGTGTTTTGAATCTCCCATTCCCTTTAAGAGGCAGTTGTGCTGCGCCATAGCGCATTTGCTATTTACATGCCGGCTTTGTAAGTGAAAAACTGAACGCTTCACTAGCGAGAAAACGGCAAACAGAGCATCTGCAGCATGAGAATGAGAGATGAACGTCTTCATTCTTTACTTTCACTTTCACTCTTGTGGATAAGAAAAGGTGTTGTACACGCGGACATCCATTAGCCTTTACATAATAATTTAGTTTGTTAAGTGCAAAGATTTGTGTCAAAACTATTTCTAAATTCAGTTCTAATCTGCAGCAAATGAATAAATGAACAATAATAACGAAGTGTGGTCAAACAACTGAGTTATATCCTAATACACATGCTGTGCCCCATATGGTCTAAAACCTGACAGGTGGACAGATCTAAGCATTTTTTTTATAAAACAAATATAAATATGCAGATAATAAATAATACTGCTAATAATAATAACATTATACAAAAGCAAATCGTTATGAATGAACTGTGCATTTGCATTTTTTGCATTTGCATTTGCTATTTAAACTACCATGGTTTTACTGCACTAACCATGGCTAAAATGTTTAAACTCTCCGCTAGTATCAATTAGCATGTTTGTTGCATGTTTCTAAAATGTTTAGTGCATGGTGAACATGAATTAGCATTTTGATCATGTTTTAGCATACTGTTAGCAGTTTCTTAACTTAGCAGTCTTCTCTTGAATTATCATGAACGCTAGTAGGAAATAGCATAAGTATGTTTTTAGCATGATGGCTAGTATAAATATACTAATATACTACTATGTTATGAGATAGAGCATCTCAAACTGGATTCCTGGAGAGCCGCAGCTCTGCACAGTTCTGCTCTAACGCTGATCAACTAATCGAGCTGTTCATAAGAGTCTCGAACACCTCGATTAGTTGCGTCAGCTGTGTTTGATCAGGGTTGGAGCAAGACTGCAGAGCTGCGGCGCTCCAGGAAGTAAGTAAATGTTCATTTATAATCCGACACCAGTGTTACCTTTATTGGCATTTCCTCCGCTTCGGTTTCTGTCTTAAAGTTGTCGCAGTTCATCTCTGCACACAACAACACAATGCAATACACATTTGAGCTAGTGCTTATTATTTTAGCATGACTAAAGAATGAACCTGAATGCTCACCGATGCATTTGGACTGGTTGTTTCCGTAGTTTGTGAAGCCCCGGTGGCATTTGCAGATGTAGCTGCCTGGAATATTGTTGCATTCGCTGTTTTTGTCACAAATATGTGACTTGTCTGTACACTCATCAATATCTGTGTGTGAGAGAAACATTAGTCACAAATGAAGATTCTTCATAATGTTATAAGACGAAAAAATAAATAAAGATTCCCCTGACTGATGTACTGCAATTACTAAAGTGCTTAAATAAAACACTTGTAAATTTCTAATTCTATAAAGGTCTGATAACATTTCTTCCAAATTTCGAATAAAACAGTGTAATTTGGAGCAATTTTAAAAAGAATTTGGAAATTGGTCAGAATTGTTTTTTATTTGTTGTTATTGAACGTCAGGGATATTCCACCAGATGTTGGTTTCTTAATATGTTTAATCAACAACAACGCATTAAATCGATCAAATTGTGACATTATAGGCATTTATGATGTGATAAAAGATTCTATTTTACATAGATTTTAATAGAATCTTCATGCATCTGTGAATCCTGAGAATATATATATATATATATACTAGGGTTGGGCGATGTTATCTGGGCATGTGTATAATTTGAATGGGCAGAGCCAATCTGGGTGTGGTTAAATGGTGGGTGGGACTCCTATCTAAGTGAGTGTGGTCTGTTTAAGTGGGCGGGGTCTATTAGGGTGTGTCTTCTTTTGAGGGTGGGAAGGGATTTGTAGCACTGTTTACTTTTGAGGAAGTGGGAGAAGTTAATCTGGGCATTGGAGTCTTTGAATGGGCGGAGTCCAGTATTTTGTAGGAGGGGCTGTTTTACCTGGAGAGTTTTATCTAAATAAGTGTGTCTGTTTAAGCCAGGGGTGTCCAAACTCGGCCGGTTTCTTGCAGATTTTAGCTCCAACTTGCCTCAACACACCTGCATGGATGTTTCTAGAAAGCCTAGTAAGAGCTTGATAAGCTAGCGCAGGTGTGTCTGATTGGGGTTGGAACTAAACTTTGCAGGACACCGGCCCTCCAGGACTGAGTGTGGACACCCCTGGTTTAATCATTAATCATTAAAGTTGATTTGGGAGTGGCTACTTTTTTGGGCGTGCCATGTTTCTTAGTGTTCCAGAGCTGGCCAGGGATAGTGAAAGCGTCAACAATCATTCATGCTCAGAGTGCGAGATGGAAGTGTATTGAACTGTTTCCTATCAGAACTGTATTTATGGTGTCTAATGTGAAAATTGCATTGGACGATGGCATCGTCATCATGTGAAAAGCGTGGCGGGGTGTTTGACAGAGTTAGCGCGATGTTTCAGAGGAGCGAGGAGGGATCCGGGGGTGAGAAAGGTGCATGACTTATTTGAGGACGGGGAGGGAGTCGTGTGATTTTCGGGAAATTATCACTTGTTTGCGGGCATTATGAGTCCCTCAAATGCATCGAGACTCCCGGAACTTCCATGTTGTCTAATGGCCATCGGCGATGGACAATGGCATCATCTATCGGCCCAACCCTAATATATATATATATATATATATACAGTTGAAGTCAGAATTATTAGCCCCCCTGAATTTGTTTTTCTTTTTTAAATATTTCCTTAATAACGTTTAACAGAGCAAGTCTGATAATGTCTGATAATATTTTTTTTCTTCTGGTGAAGGTTTTATTTGTTTGTTTTTTTCGACAGTTTTTAATTTTTTAAACACCATTTTAAGCTCAATATTATTAGCCCCTTTAAGCTTTATTTATTTTCGATAGTCTACAGAACAAACCATCATTATACAATAACTTACCCTAACCTGCCTAGTTACCCTAATTACCCTAGTTAAGCCTTTAAATGTCACTTTAAGCTGTATAGAAGTGTCTTGAAGAATATCTAGTCTAATATTATTTACTGTCATCATGACAAAGAGAAAATAAATCAGTTATTAGAGATGAGTTATTAACACTATTATGATTGGAAATGTGTTTAAGAAATTGGCTCTCCCTTAAACAGAAATTGGGGAAAAAATAAACAGGGGGGTGAATAATTCTGACTTCAACTATATTTATCTATCCTAATTTATGTAAATAGAATATAATGAGCTGTTACAGTAGACACACACAGCACGTTATGTAATTAGCAGTCAAACACTCTGCCGTCAGTATTATTAGTGTTATTAGTGAAGCAGCACACACTGATGCTCACCTCCACACGTGCCGTTCTCAAGTTTCTCAAACCCTGAAGAACAATTGCAGAAGAAACTGCCAAGTGTGTTAAAACAACTGCTGTGAAGTCCACACGGTGAGAACACACACTCATCTACACACACACACACACACAGAGACAAGTGTTTTGTTCAGACAAAAGCAGATGACACAAGTTAGACACAAAAACAGCTCTACTGCACTCCAGATAAACCCAAATGAGCTTCATCTGGGAGGAACAAACATATATATTCAAGTAAGGAATAACTGAAGACTGTTGAATTATTAGAACATAATGCACAACTGAGCTGGTGAGACTTGGCTGATGATTAGTCTAAGGTGCACTGTTTTTGTTTAGATAAATGCACAGCTAAAGTAGTTCCAGCAGGTTTTGAGTGCATTACAGCTCCATTGAATTGTTAGAAAATTAAGCACAGTATTAGTATAAGAGGAGTAATCACCTCTGGTGCATTGAATTATTGGAAAAATGTACAGTATGAGAGCAATAATTGATTCAGGAGCATTGAATTACTAGAAAATAATGCACAGTATAAGTAAAATAGTTGAGTCGGGATCATTTAATTATTACAAAATAAAGCACAGTATTACTACAAGCAAAGTAATTGCCTCTGGTGCATTGATTGTTGGAAATAATGCACAGTATAATTAATATAAGCAGAATAATTGACTCCGGAGCATTGAATTATTAGAAAATAATGCACATTATATGTAGTATAAGATGAATAACTTTGGTTTGATAAATTATTAGTAAATATTGCACAGTATAAGTGGAATAATTGACACCGGCTCGCTGAATTATAAGAACATAATGCACAATATAAGTGGAATAATAGACTCCGGAGCATTGAATTACTAGAAAATAATGCACAGTATAAGTAAAATAGTTGAGTCGGGATCATTGAATTATTAGAACATAAAGCACAGTATTATTATGAGTGAGTAATTGCCTCTGGTGCATTGAATTATTGGAAAAAATGCACAGTATAATTAATAGAAAATAATGCACGTTATAAGTAGTATAAGTGGAATAATTGACTCCGGAGAATTGAATAATTAAAAAAATAATGCACAGTATAAGTAATATAAGCAGAATATTTGACTTTGGTTCAATGAAATACTAGAAAATAATGTGCAGTATAAGTAGTATAAGTGTAATAGTTGAGTCGGGATCATTGAATTATTAGAACATGAAGCACAGTATTATTATAAGCAGAGTTATTGCTTCTGGTGCATTGAATTGTTGGAAATTATGCACAGAATAAGTAATATAAGCAGAATAATTGACTCTGGAGCAAAGAATTATTAGAAAATAATGCACACTATATGTTGTATAAAAGGGAATAACTTTGGTTTAATGAATTATTAGGAAATATTGCACAGTATAAGTGGAATAATTGACACCGGCCCACTGAATTATAAGAACATAATGCACAATATAAGTGGAATAGTAGACTCCGGAGCGTTGAATTATTACAAAATAATGCACAGTATTAGATGAATAACTGACTTTGGTTCAATGAATTATCAGAAAAACTTGCACAGTATAAGTGAAATAATTGACTCAGGAGCATTGAAATACTACAAAATAATGCACAGTTTAAGTAGTAAAAGTGTCATAGCTGACTTGGGATCATTGAATTATTAGAAAATAAAGCAAAGTAATTGCATCTGGTGCATTGAATTGTTGGAAATAATGCACAGTATAATTAATATAAGCAGAATAATTGGCTCTGGAGCATTGAATTATTAGAAAATAATGCACATTATATGCAGCATAAGATGTATACTTTGGTTTGATGAATTATTAGGAAATATTGAATAGTATAAGTGGAATAATTGACACCGGCTCACTGATTTATAAAAAAATAATGCACATTATAAGTGAAATAATTGACTCCAGAGCATTGAATAAATAGAAAATAATGCACATTATAAGTAGTATATTGAATTATAAGAAAATCCACAGTATGAGTAATATAAGTAGAATAACTGACTCCGGTTGGATGAATTATTAGAAAGTAATGCACTTCTGAGGTGTAATAACCACTCTGCTTTGCCGCCTCACCACCTCAGGTGTGCATTATTATATAATAAATCAATAAACTCCAATCAATTATTGTAATTATACCATGACACTTGTCTGGAACTAATGTAGATGTACGTTTATCTGAAAATAACAGCACACCTTAGAATCTCCATCAGCCAGTTTACCATGGTCGGCTTTAAAAGCTGTCTATATGTATGCAAATTATCTAATAAACTTATCAAAATGTGCATCAAACATCAGAGACGCAAAGCAGCTCATTTTTAACGTCAACTTCAACATGTCTATCAGTCGTTTTACAGGTTATGCAGAGGCAAATGAGAGGTCTTCATTGCGCAGATGATAAATTAACGGTACCTGCATGCAAAGTCATATTGAAATCATGAGGCAATGCAGTATGCTAGAGTTTCATAGCACATTGTGTGCAGAATGATACAGTCTCTGTTATTATTAATTACAGAACTTCATCTTTCATCTTTACCATTAGAGGCTGCTGGAGAGATCCACACACTACTGTGGTTAATAATAGCTAGCTGCCCTTTAAAATGATTGTCCCTACATGCATGGAATAGATCTTGAATGTTCATAATCAAAAATAAGAGAGCTCGAGGAAAATCCAAGTCAGCTTTATTGTCACTATGCAATATGTTCTGATAATTCAATGGCTCTTCTCTGGTTATTCCTGAAATTAGAGAATCGCCATTGAATAGTCTATATCCTAAACAGATAAATAATAAAAATAAATGTTTAAAATCAAACAACGTTACATGTTTAAAGTCATGGTAGACCTTTAATATGAAGTATCCTGAAAATATACTACAGTAATTTATACTATACAGTGTTTCTTCGAACCGTACTGACACTGGCAGCTCAGATAATAGAGATAGAGATGTGGTGCAATCAGCTAAAATGTTGCTGACGTTAGGGTTTTAAAGTATGGAAGATTTACTACATGACCAAAAGTGATTGAGGTGTTGTGCGATAAGTCGATATAATAATGATTGTGAATTATCAGAAAATACTGCACAGCCATTAAAAACCACTGAAATGTAAAGATGGCTGACCTGCACATGCCGAGTCCAGTCTCGTCTCCCGATATCCGTCTTTACACACACACTTATAGGAGCCGTCGATGTTCTTACACTCCATATCACCAGAACATCTGGTTACATTCTGAACACACTCATTGATATCTGTTCACAGAGAGCAGGGCATATTTACTGGAGTGTTTCAGTCATTACAGTGCTGCATTTTATGTCACAATCCTCTCTTTCATACCTTCACACTGTCCTGTATCTGCTGTGAAATTTGGGGGGGTTGAATAAAATCCTTCAATGCAGGTGCAGTAGTAACTTCCATGTGTGTTTATACACAGAGAATTATTACCACACACACCTGCAGTGTCACACTCATTTACATCTGTAAAAGAGCAGAAATACAGTCAAGCCTGAAATTATTCACACCCCTGGCCAATTCTGACTTAAAGTTTCTACTCAAATGTAAATAAAAGCTGAAAAAATGTGTTTATTTTTCCACAATGATGCCTCTTGTACATCGTCTTATTATCTTTTGGAGGAAGCCTGTGTCATTTCTGTGTAAAAAAAGCCTGCTGGGTAAATAAACGTAACTTTAAGTCAGAATTAGCCATTGGTCTGAATAATTTTGTGCTGGACTGCATGTTATTATAAACCATAAAACATATTGTTATTAAAACACACAAAGTCTCATTACCAACACACGTCCTGTTTTTCTGAAGTCCTATCGGGCAACCTTCAGATTCGCAAGACCGCAGGAAAAAACCTGAAGTAGAAGAAGAAATAAGATGTGTATAGTTATCTGCGCTTGTACATACATTCATAAGCCCATCTAATCAAGCCAAAATGTCCCCATGTACACATGTAGATTGTGCTTAATAATTCAGTTCATTGGGTAATTTGTGGGTTTTAGGGTTGTTGAATGCTTGATTCTGATTGGGTGTTTGTGTAACGGAGGCCAGCTAGTGTGTGCTGTGCAGTTAAACCTCACTCCTCTGACCTCTAAAGGTGCTCTGGCGACAGACGCTAGAGGTCATGGTCTTTAGCCTCCTTGTTAGAGCAACCGACTCCCATGCGGAAGGTCGCCGGTTCGATCCCAGCTCGGAGCGGGTTGGGCGGTGTAGGACCGGTGGGGTTAAATTTGGTTATTGTCAGGTTAATGCACTGCTAATGTAGTCCCGGCAGGTTTTGAACACATTTCAATTCCATATCACTCCGCTGAATGATTTATGTAAGGAATAATTGAAGAAACATCTGTGTGTACTGTGGCACTAGTTTCTTCCACATCTCCTCTAAATCCTTCTGATGTGATTTCACTCATTCATTCATTTTCTTTTTAAGTTAGTCCCTTTATTAATCTGGGGTCGCCACAGTGGAATGAACCGCCAACTTATCCAGCACATGTTTTAAGCAGCGGATGCTCTTCCAGCTGCAACCCATCTCTGGGAAATATCCATTAACACTCATTCACACTCATACACTACGGACAATTTAGCCTACCCAATTCACCTGTGCCGCATGTGTTTGGACTGTGGGGGAAACCGGAGCACCCGGAGGAAACCCATGTGAATGCAGGGAGAACATGCAAACTCCACACAGAAACTGTCCCAGCCAAGGCTTGAACCAGCAGCCTTCTTGCTGTGAGCCGACAGCGTCTCTACTGCGTCGCCCTGAAGTGATTTTTGATAGTAAAATAACTCTAATCATTCAGCGTAGTTATATGGCACTGTAATGCGGTCTAAACCTGCCGGAACTACTTCAGTTGTGCATTTATCTGACAATAACCAAACACCTGAGAGTGACAATCAGCCAATCAGAATCAAGCATTCAACATCAGTGTAGTACAAGTGAACGTAAAAAACTGAGAAGGAAAACACACAAGTATCATGATATTGGATCCGTGCATCCACATCAGCTCTCAATTAAACAACAGCTCTTCACTGAATATCTTTTGTAATATAAATAACGATTATTCTTAATTTAAATGGTACCGTTTAAATAGTAAGCTAAATACTTCATATATGTGAAACACATTTCATTTTATTTCTAATCTGTATTTATTTGTGTTGTTGATCAATTGTTAATTGGTTCTTATTTTATTACAAACTACTTATTTTGTCTTTAATAATGTATGCAACTTATATTAAGCTCCATTTTGTCTTGCTATAACTGTTTAAATACACTGTAAAACAAAAATCAGCTGGGAAAAAACAGATTATGTCATTATTATGTCCCATATTAACTTTACATGCATAAATTCATGCACATAATATTTTAATTAAAACAATTGTTATTCAAGATTTATTATTAAACAGAAAATGTATTGGTCATTTTCTGTCATTAATTTTTAACAGTTTATTTATACTATTTGCATTCTACATTGAAGTAGAAGTGGGCGTCGATTTCTTTATATGGAGGTGGGGCTTCAAAAACCAAAGTTACGTTTTTGGGGGGGTTTTTACACCGAACATGACTCTGACCTAAAATTGTAGTATGAAATATGCTGTGAGATTTGTGATTCGCTGGAGCTCAAATATCATAGTCATGTATGTGCATTAAAACAATACACACGTGTGTTTAACGTCCTCCATTGTACGTGTGTATTTTAATCTGATATGGAAAATTTGGTCGGAAATGCCCAAATATAGAACAATCTGCAGAGTATAAGAGTTTAAAACAATTTTACTCAAGATTTATTTTTAAACTCTTGAATATTGGTCATTTTAAACCATTAAGCGTTTGCATTATTTGACCATTCTAAAGATTAATAGACGAAAAGCAAAGTTACGTTTTAGTTTATTTTGCACCGAACATAACTGTGACATAAAAGCGTGACATGAATGGAGTTTTGTGACCTGCTGCAGCTTTAATTACAATAGAACAACACACACGTTTAACTTCTTCTACTGTATGTGTGTAGGGTAAACATTTCAATTTCATATGGAAAATTTGGACGTAATTACACAAAAAAGTAGGTTAAACCAATTTTGTTTAATATTTTTTTAAACACTTATGTTTTGGTCATTTAAACAAAAAAAATATATTGTTAATTTTCTTCCATTGCGTTGTGTGTTGTTGGACGATTTTTAACAATGAAATAAGCAAATATCTAAGTTACGTTTTTGTTTTTTTCGCACCGAACATAACTGTGACCTAAAGTTGTAGTACGAACTATGTGGTAAGCTTTGTGATTTGCTTGAGCTCAAATATCATAGTCTGTGCATTAAAACAATTCACACGTTTGTTTACCGTCCTCCATTGTACGTGTGTATTTTAATCTGACATGGAAAATTTGGTCGAAAATGCCCAAAAATAGAACAATCTGCAGAGTATAAGAGTTTTAAGCAATTTTACTCAAGATTTATTTTTAAACTCTTGAATATTGGTCATTTTAAACCATTAAGCGTTTGCATTATTTGACCATTCTAAAGATTAATAGACGAAAAGCAAAGTTACGTTTTAGTTTATTTTGCACCGAACATAACTGTGACCTAAAGTTGTAGTACGAACTATGTTGTAAGCTTTGTAATTTGCTTGAGCTCAAATATCATAGTCTTTGAATTAAAACAATTCACACGTTTGTTTAACGTCCTCCATTGTACGTGTGTATGGTAAACATTTCAATCTGATATGGAAAATTTCGTCGGAAATACCCAAGAGAAAAAAAAATAAAAATCTGCAGAGTATAAGAGTTTGAACCAATTTTTGTTCAAGATTTATTTAAACACTTATATATTGGTCATTTTCGGTCATTTAGCTATGCATTGTTTGACCATTTTTAATTCGTAAAAGACAAAAAGCAAAGTTGCGTTTCCGTTTATGCCATAACTGTGAGCTAAAAGTGTGACATGATTAAACGGTGAGCTTTTTGATCTGCCTATGCATCAAAACAATACACACATAAAGACCTTTACACCTTTCGGAACAAAGCACTCATCTTCTTGCGTATATAAATACCCAGAATGAGTGTGTGTGTGTGTGTGTGTGTGTGTTCAGGAAACCACAGATGTTTCATCGGAACTGTTTTGAGCGCTGATCTCGAGGTGTCGCCGTGTTTTTATAAGGCAAATGTGCTGCTTTTTCACACCTCTAGAACAATCTGTCCAACTGCAATTCACACGTCTTTCTGCAGCACACACACTTCATTTTCCACCAGACACTCATACTCGAACTCTAAAGCCACTGTACTATCACTTTAAAGAGGTCATGATAATACATGAAGCAGTATTTTAAGATTTACCGCAGTTTTCTGTTACACCATTGCTGCTGTATATAAGTAGTTTAATGCAATGTAATAAATGAAACATATAATCATCCAAAACTACGACTGTAAAGCAAGAGAGAAGACTGGCAGGAAATTTCTGATAGTCTCTTTATCGGGGGCAATATATATTTTTAAATATAGGCCAAAATGTGCATCTGTGCTGCAGTTTTGAGTACTTTAATCAAAATAATTGACCCCAGTCCATTGAATTACTAGAAAATAAAGCACATTATAATCAGAACAACTGACTGCAGTGAAGTAAACTATTAGAAAGAAATACAGTTTGACTAGTATAATCAGAATAATTTACTCCGGTTGATTAAATTATTAGACACTTATGCAGTTTAAGTAGTATAATCAGAATAACTAACTCCAGTTAATTGAATTATTAAAAAAATATTACAGGCTGAGTAGTGTAATCAGAATAATTGACTCTGGTACATTGAATTATTAGACTATATTGCAGTTTAGGTAGTATAATCAGAATAGTGGACTCTTGTCCATTGATTTACTAGAAAATAAAGCACATTATAAGTGGTATAATCAGAACAATTGACTTCATGTGATTGAATAATTTGAAAATAATACAGTTTGAGTACTATAATCAGAATAATTTACTCCGGTTGATTGAATTATTACACAATAATGCACAGTTTGAGTAGTATAATCAGGATAGTTGACTCCAGTCGATTGAATTATTAGAAAATAATACAGTTTGAGTAGTATAATCAGAAAAATTGACTTTGGTCCATTGAATTTTTGGAAAATTAAGCACATTATAATTAGTATAATCAGAACAAGTGACTCTGATACATTGAATTATTAGACACTAATGCAGTTTAAGTTGTATAATCTGAATAACTTACTCCAGTTAATTGAATTATTAGAAAATAATACAGGTTGAGTAGTATAATCAGAGTAATTGACTCTGGCACATTGAATTATTAGACACTAATGCACAGTTTGAGTACTATAATCGGAATATTTGACTCCGGTCTACTGATTTACTAGAAAATAAAGCACATTATAAGTAGTATACTCAAAATAATTGACTCCTGTTGATTGAATTATTATAAAATAATGCAGTTTGAATAGTATAATCAGAACAATTGACTATGATACATTGAATTATTATACACTAATGCACTGGTTAAGTAGTAGAATAGTTGACTCTGGTAAATTAAATTATTATAAAATGAAGCACATAATAAGTGGTATAATCAGAACAATTGACTCTGGTACATTGAATTTCTGGAAAATAAAGCACATAAGTAGTATAATCAGAACGATTGACTGCAGTTGATTGAATTATTAGAAAATAATGCAGTTTGAGTAGTATAATCAGAATAATTGACTCTGGTACATTGAATTATTATACACTAATGCACAGTTTTAGTAGTATAATCAAAACAATTGACTCCAGACGATTGATCTACTAGAAAATAAAGCACATTTTAAGTAGTATGATCAAAATAATTGATTCCGGTCGATTGAATTATTAGGAAATAATGCAGTTTGAGTAGTATAATCAGAACAATTGACTTTAATACGTTGAATTATTAGACAGTAAGGCAGTTTAAGTAGTATAATTGGAATAAACTGACTCTGGTACATTGAATTACTAGAGAATAAAACACATTATGAGTAGTTTAATTGAAGTAATTTACTCTGGTTGATTGAATTATTAGAAAATAATGCACTTTGACTAGTATAATCAGAGCCAGGAAATGTTCACAGTATTTCCTCTAATATTTGTTCTTCTGGAGAAAGTCTTATTTGTTTTATTTCGGCTAGAATAAAAGCAGTTTTTAATCGTTTTAAAGCCATTTTAAGGTCAATATTATTGGCCCCTTCAGCAATATTAGTGTTGGATTGTCTCCAGAACAAACCACTGTTATACAATGACTTGCCTAATTACCCTAACTTTACCCTAATTACCCTAGTGAAGCCTTTAAATGTCACTTTAAGCTAAATACTAGTGTCTTGAAGAAGATCTAGTCTAATATTATGTGCTGTCATCATAGCAAAAATAAATATAGGAGGGTGAATAATTCTGCCTTCAGCTATATATATCTGTGCAGCTAAACCAGAGTTGTGGTTCATCAGTGTGGCGTATAACTATGGTTTATCTCATGCATCTGTGGTTTTGCCATTGCTAGAACAGATATTCAGCTCACTTTTAAGAACATCTCTAGCCAATATCCGTCAACCCATCATGACCTTTCAGCTGGAGATTTTCCCCGAGACGTTATTTAGTGTGTTTATAAGTCGCTGTTTGGCTCTTGCAGCCCTCGAGCGGATGTTTGGATTCATACAAACTCTGACCCAGAATGCAGAATCAACACCTGCCAAAGTCAAGTGAAACTGAGATCATCTTCGCCAGACTTGCTGAAAAAAGAAAAGAAACTGCAGAGGCTTGTGAAACGAGCAGTCCGTCATGGGACCAAAGGTTGAGAAAGCGTTTAACTCTTGCTGCAATCAACGTGACGTCAGTCTGTGATAATCGATGGGAACTGCAGAGCTGCTTTCTGGAAATGTGTAGCTGTTTACTTTACTTTATTTCCCACTTTGACAAGCTGTAAAATGCATCTGTGATGTCTCTAGAGTGTGTGTGTTTCAGTTTGAGCTGAGAATTGCACACAGACAATGCTTTCCAGCTCTCTGAAACTGACCCCTTTAGGCTCTGTTGCTAACTGTGGTGTCGCTTTAAATGCAAATGAGATGTGGCCACCCTTGATGAATAAAGGGACTAAGCTGAAGGAAAATGAATGATATATTGTCTGGGTCTGTCCTATAAATTATGGTATAAAGATAATCTAATAATATACCCATACATTTTCTGTTATTTTACATATTCATTTGATTTATTGTTTATATATTTTATTAATTCATTAATTTTCTTGTCGGCTTAGTCTCGTTATTAATCCGAGGTCGCCACAGCGGAATGAACCGCCAACTTATCCAGCAAGTTTTTACACAGCGGATGCCCTTCCAGCCGCAACCCATCTCTGGGAAACATCCACACACACATTCACACACACGCATACACTATGGACAATATAGCCTACCCGATTTACATGTAGCCCATGTCTCTGCGTTGCCCTATACATTATATATTATAATATTTTGTTTCAGAGTACTAAATAGTCAGATGTCACTTTATTTAATGTGTAGAGTTAAATGTGTATTTTTGGAGAGAGAGACTGACGTCAAATAACTCATTCTGAAAGAGGAAATAAGCAGAAAACACTAAATATGGAAACTAATGTGAAGTTATTTTACATTGTGGACAACTCAAAAACAAGTAAAAGCATTCTTAAACTGGATATAAAATGTAAATAACGTCAAAATAGACTTTAATCTAATTCACGGAGTTATTCAGTTATATTGTTATTTAATTATTATAAGGAATTTAAAATGCACCAATAACATCTCACCGTAAACCAGCATCAGTTCTTTACTTTAAAATGAATTAAATGTGGTTGTTTTTACTCTAAAGATCTAAAAATCCCACGTTAACAAAAACAACATAAAGCTTTTCATATTCAGCATGAACTGAATTCACACACACACACACACACACACACACACACACACAGAGAGAGAGAGAGAGAGAGAGAGATCTGCTCTCAAAATACCAGTCCAGCTTCAACTTTAAGATCACATACAAACACATTTTCTCTTATTGACTGACACACACACACACACTGAGTGTCGGATCAGTCTTATCTGACGGTCTGTGTTTGGTCTAAAAGAGCCTCTTCATGCTGATTCAGTGATGTAAAGAACATGTGTGAAGACTTTCTGCTTCAGGAGAACTGAGGAGAAACCCCTCCAGCTTAAAGAATAGTGTCATTGTTCAACACACACACACACACACACATCTGCTCTCAAATTACCAGTCCAGCTTCAACTTTACAATCACACACACACAATCAAACACACTCTCACTCACAGATATAGACATGCGCATACACACACACATTGGGCTTTCATGATTTATGGGCTCTTCCAATAGAAGTAATGATTTGTATGTATTCTGTTCTCCTCATACTCCAAAACTCACCCCTCAGAAAACACTATCTGCATTATTACTCATTCAGAATACTTCATTCTGTCTGATTTATGAGTCATTTTCCTCATGAAGACCAAAGAAATGTCTTGAGAAGATCAACACTTACTGTATTGCTTTACTTGAGGGAGCATTTCGACACACACATACACTTGTACAGCTAATATTATGGGGACGTCTCCTAACCTCATACACAACCCTCACAGGAAACAATCTGCATTGTTACATGTTCAATATACTCAATTCCTTATGATTTATTGAGCCGTTTTCACCCCCCATGGTCCCCACATGGTCAACATTTACTGGTATTGCTATACTTGTGGGGACTTTTGGTCCTTAAAACTTGAGAAATACAAGATACACACACACACACATAGAGAGAGAAGCAGATCTGTTTTCAAATGACCAGCATAACTTTAAGATCTCTCTCTCACACACACACACACACACACACACAGACATTATGAGGACTTTACATAACATTTCTACTGTACACACTGTATATTCCCCCCTAACCCTAAAAGCAGCCCTCACAGGAAACAATCTACATTTTTACATTTTAAAATGCTTTGTTTATTATGATTTATTGAGCTGTTTTCACCAAAACGTCCCCACAAGATCAACATTTACTGGTATTGCTATACTTGTGGGGACATTTGGTCCTCATAACATAAATACAAGGCACACACACACAGAGACAAATCTGTTCTCAAATAAACAACATAACTTTAAGATACCTCTCACACACACACACACACATTATGAGGACTTTCCATAATATTTCTACTGTATATCCCCCCAACCCTAAAAACAGCTCTCACATGAAACAATCTACATTTTTACATTTTTTTAAAAAGCTTCATTCTTTTTGATTTATTGTGCCATTTCACCAAAATGTCCCCACAAGATCAACATTTACTGGTATTGCTATACTTGTGGGGACATTTGGTCCTCACAACATAAGAAATACAAGACAAACACACACACACAAAGAGACAGATCTGATCTCAAATGACCAATATAACTTTAAGATCTCTTTCACACACACACACTTATTTAGGGACTTCTCTTATAATGATAGTTTTAATGTACACACTATATATTCTCCTCTAACCCTAAACCTCAAAGGAAACTCTGAATTTGCATTACATTTTTAAATACTGCATTCTGTCTGAGTATGAGCCTGATTTATGCCCAAAATGTCCTCACAAAGTCAGTATTTAGTGGTATTACTATACTTGTGGGGATATTTGGTCCTCACAACTTGAAGAATACACACTTACCCAGAAGAAGAAGTGCCCACTTGAGCTCCATGTTAGGGCAGCTCGCCTTCAAGACTGTTTATTCTTATAGTTTATTTAATGCGAAACTCCTCAGTGTAATCAGTATTCCAGTGAAAGCTCCTGATTCCCGTCAGACCTCCACTTCAGCTCCTGAAAGCGCTTAATTTCCCTCCTCGGATAAGCAGCTCTCTTTGTTTAAAGTTTCCAGTCAGTTCCCCTGATGGTTCCTCCTCGGGATCGTCTCGTCTTTAATCCACGCGGAGTTTCCACTACTTTCCGTCTTTTTTTCCACCGGCCCGTCCGTCACGGTCCTCCTGCGGTCTTCGGATGAGAGATGATCCGCTACTGGGCGAGGATTCAGCGGTTATTCACGGCAGACACTCCCCCCGGAGACCAGAGTATGGCAAGCCTCTTACACATTCAACCGCTAACATGCTAGCAAAACCGTACGTTCACACCAAAAGCGGCGAGAGCGTCCAAGGTCGCTCTGGCCGCCCTGTCGACAACGCTGTCTGCCTTCAGCTCCGGCGGCGAGAGCGTCAAAACTCGCAACATTGATCTCGTACTTAAAGGAGCCGTTGCAGCATTATCAGTTACATTCCTGCATAAGACATGTTTTTAGCGTGAAAATGTTGCGCACTTCTTATCAAATTCATATAACAGTGGAAGATCAAGTTGCATGTGGTGTGGCTTTGCTCTATTTATCCAATATGTGTCCATATGTCTGAAATATCCTGAAGCAGCAGTACTGTTTTGTACGGTCACATCGCGTGAGATTCCCGCTTTTTAAAGATAAATTTATATAACATTAATGAACATCAGTAACTCGCCAGTAACTTATTTAATGTATGTTACTGTAAGAAAACATTGTAAATAATTGGAAATCCGGCGACCGCAATAATCAAACCCTTGGGAACAACTGTGGTCGGAACCAAAGTTCACAGGTCTGTGTTCTCTGAACTGCTATCAAGCGGTGGACGTCTTTATTCTGATTGCTTGCCGCCGAACCGCGTCATAGCTCATTACCATAAAGTTGACTTCATTTCAACTCTCCTCGACGCTCACGCCGGCGAAGACGCGCCGCGCTGCTCCTCGCTGCTTATCGTCGCCTATCGCCGCCGGCTCTCATTTAAAATGAATGACTTCCGGCTACTTTGACGCTCTCGCCGCTTTCGGTGTGAACGTACGGTAAGACTCTGAAGACGCGAGTTAGCTGCGGAGCTCATGTTTCTTCCTATACTGAAAAACTGAACAGTTAATGCGACTTTTTCCATTCTATACGGTTCCTTTTACAGCATTTATGTTGTTATGTAATTAAAATAAAATCAGTTAAATAGACTTTGGCGTTCATTTAGTTGCTCAAGTGTAAAACGATAAGACGCATTACACGCACGCGCCTGTCAGGATTAGCAGGCTAGCATAGAAGCTTTATTGAATATACTGGAGTAAATAAATGCTCATATTATAAAGATATGGCAGGGAAAAATGTAATTTAATGCAGAGCTTCTTGTACAATCCGAGACCCACTTTATATCGAAATCACTCAGCCAATGGAGTCGCATATTTGAGAAGAAAACAGACCTTAAATGCACAGATTTTGTAATGGTATGCAGTTCACCGGAAGCGCTTGACCCAGGTTACTGGCAAATTAAAAGTCCTTCCGCATACTTCCGTATATTCGCACATATAGGCTGCTACATTCTACAAGTTTATTTTGTAAATAAACATGTAATTAACAGAATAATATGCAAACTTTGGGACATATAGGCCTGCTTTCTTATCAACAGCATCTAAAGGACTATTATATTTAGCAAAATGCTGCTCTTTTTATCTTTGTATTGTTATAATTTTATTTTTGTTATTTTTAATATTTTAATGTCTTCATAAATAAGCTATATTCAAATTCCTGCTTGACATTTTAGAAAACGTTTTGCGTAGATACCCAGTATGAATTAAAAACAAACACAAAAACATGTTACATGGCCCCATAAACGTCCAACTCATTTTTAACTGAATCGTATAAAAGTTAAAAATTGCTCATTTTATTTTTATAAAACTTTTTTTAGTAAAAACAATATCGACGTTTAAGAATCCATATTTATTTTATTCATTCATTTGACTTGTTTATTGCTGCATATATAGGCTATAATTTAAACGCGAGTTTTTGTGCTGCATGCAATAAACTCACGCTCAGTTAGGCGAAGTAAACGTCTCATTGCCTAGAATGTCAATCAAATTAATCAAGCTCTAGTCACAAATAAAACAACAAGCTATTTTATTGTTGTAAGATTTTAGATGACGGGTTAGTAATTATATCATACACAGTTAAGCCTGGTTTATACTTCCATGTCAAGTGACCGGCGTGACCCATGCCGCATGCATAGCTGTGCATTCATATTTCTGTGCGTTGTCACTGTTGGTCTGCATTAACACTTCCGAAACACTAGTTGGCAGTGAGTTGTTAATGTGTCTCGGTGTCGAGTTTCTTCGCTGCTGTTTTGGTTTTTCTGAACGCTTCCTGAATGTACAAGTGGCTCAAACTCGCTCATTTTGAGGCAGGAACCGGCGGACGTGCAACAACTTTAACCATGAGGTAAACACAAAACAAAACTTTCCATCCGGAGCTCCTTCACGGGACTCCACACTTGTAAACAATCGCTCCATTGAGCTAGCGCCGCTCGCACGGCTCTTGGTCACGCCCTGACTCGTCATCGCTACTCAGCCGACCAATCACAGAGCTTGCTCTATGAGTCGTTGCAAAGTGTAGTTACATTTTTTGAGAGGGCCACGGCGTAAGGCTAGGCGTCAACGCATAGGCTGCGCCATAGCATACGCGTGCGCTTGACGCAGAAGAATAAATCAGCCTTTAACTATATTCAAGTCAATGAAATAATCATTTTAATAAACAAAATACGTTCGTTCGTTGTGAGTGATTCGTGGTGAGTGATTCCCTTCTCTGCCAGAGACTGCTCTATGGTTTTAAAACCATTTTCAAACTGTATCGTTTAGACCACAACCAATGTTGTGTAGTTTACTTGTGGATGTCTGTGGTAGCTTGGCACCAGTGCCGCGATGTCAACACACAGAATGTGTCGGCACAGTTCAGCACGGTTGTCGAACCATGCCAAGAATTCCGTGCCGAGAACCGTTTGTAATTGTGACGCGCCGTTCCAGGCTCTGTTGAGAAACAACCGTAACCGTACCCAAGTGTTCTTAGAACAGCAGCTGTAGTGTATACTGTTTAATAATCAATTTAAATGATGTCATAAATAAATAAATAAAGCGGTATTCATTCCCGCCCTCTCATGGCAGGTACGCACAGCTGTACGGCTGCAGGCGCCACTGAAAGGAGACACTAGCAAGTTTAGGGATCAAGTGTTAAAATGGCTTGCCATAGTATGAGTTTAAGAATGAAAGAGAGAGAGAGCAGCTGTTCTCCCTCTGTGCCAGTGTACAGTCATACACACACACACACACACACACACACTCACACACCCTTTCATTTGAAGATTTCCCTCCAGTTTCACACTGGAAAAGACTTCTGACAAAAGGGAGAGGAGAGTACCTACAATTATAATAAGCACCTCATTTATTCACACTTAAGTTGTTTCAGATGATTTTCTTTTGTTTCTTTTATTCGTTCATTCATTTTCTTTTTGGCTCAGTTTCTTTATTCATCAGGGGTCGCCACGGCGGAATGAACTGCCAACTATTCCAACATATGTTTTGCACACTCATACACTAAAGCTAGTGTAGTTGATCAGTTCCCCTATAGCGCATGTGTTCGGACTGTGAGAGAAACCGGAGCACCCAGAGGAAACCCACGCCAACACGGGGAGAACATGCAAACTCCACACAGAAACACCAACTGACCCAGCCGAGGCTCGAACCAGTGACCTTCTTGCTGTGAGGCCACAGTGCGACACCATGACGCCAGTTTATTTGTTTTGCTAGCACACACACACACACACACACACACACACACACATTTTTCTGAATATCTTCTTTTGTGTTTAACTGAAAAAGAAGTGAAGTAAATGATATACTTGTAGTTGTTAACAGTTTAAAAATGCATCAACTTAATTTTAATTAATTAAGATGTTATTAATCATTCTTTAACTTTAGATGAAGGTCTGCTGTAAATGTCCTGTGTTTGGTCACGGTGCACTGGTGATTTCTGATCATGTCGGGGGTTTTGGATACTCATTTCACACACACCACGGGACGCAGTTGACGCTTGCGGTGATGATGTCACTTCCTGATTTGCGTAAGTGTTATTCTGCAACACACACACACACACACACAATAATATGCTCACTTTATTCTTAGAATCAAAATATCAGTGATGGAGCAAACTGAGAACATGAGCACAGATATACACTCAATATTCACACACTCACACACACACACACACACACACACAGACTAGATAAATTGGCTGCTTGTGGATTCCAATTACAGTGATGTGATGAAAATACACACATACAGACACACTACAAACACGCACACACACATTACAAACACATGCACACAGACACACACACACACACATTGCAAACACATACACACACACACATTGCAAACACATGCACACAGACACACTACAAACACACACACACACACACACACACACACACACTTCTGTGCACACACACACACACACACACACTTCTGTGCACTGTGCACACATATACTACAAACACACATGCACAAACACACACATATCCTCTCTGTCTCCTGTTGTCTTGGACTGTCGGGAATTGAAGTTGTGCTTCCTCCACCCACACACACACACACACACACACACACACACAGACTGAGGTCATGAGAAAGGCCAGGAAGAAAGACACAGAATTCAAACTCATTTAAAATAATTATTAAATCAATCACTTGAGTGTGGGTGTGTGTGTGTGTGTGTGTGGGTGTGTGTGTGTGTGTGTGTCAGAGTCTCGAGCATTTTCTCTTATCATGTTGAGTTTTAGAGTACATTATGACGTGAGTTTCTCCTTAAATCAAGTCAAACACTCCGCCAGTGGGGAATCTAACTCTTCTAGCTTCCCCTTTTGACGTGAGGTTATTCTGATCACCTCATTGGCTGATTATTTTGCTTGTTTTAAGGAAAAACTCTCTTCATTTTGACTCATTATTTCTGAAAACAACACACAATGTTTTCCGTGTGTAACCCTCTGGTCCTACACCACCCAACCCGCTCCAAGCTAGGATCGATCCGGCGCCCTTCCTCCACAGGTAGCAAAGAATTCTGGTCCAGATTTGGCATAGCAGGCATTTATCCGGCACTGATATACATGTAACCCCGCCATTCCTACCCCACCCAACCCGCTCCGATCTAGGATTGAACCGGTGACCTTCCGCATGGGAGTCAGTTGCTCTAACAAGGAGGCTAAAGACCATGACGTCTAGCGTCTGTCACTAGAGCACCTTTAGAGGTCAGAGGAGTGAGGTTTACCTGCACAGCACCTACTAGCTGGCCTCCATTACGTACAGCATGTTGGCCAAACATTGGCCTGGTTTGGCAGAGGTGGCGACGTCTTTAAGGTGGGACACAATGCTTGGGCTAGATGCAAAATATAATATTTAGCCCAGATGTTACTATTTGATATGTGGGCCATGTAAGTTTGGCCTCTCTTGACCCACATTTAAATACATTTTTATTCATTTAAAATAAAAATAAAAAATTCGACCAATCAAGTCGCTTCGAGAAAAAGCACGCCCATCGCACACCTAAAGTGTAATGCTTCATGGGTTTATCAAATTCATTGCAGTCGTGACACACCAGCATATCTGGCCCAGTTCAGGCTCAGTTAACTTGGCCCAGATTTGGTTTATTCATGTACTGTAATTCACTGCATCATGCGGGCCAAGCAAAAGCTGATTGTTTGGGCCAGAGCTGTGCCAGAGATACTTCGCTATGTGGGCAGTGGGAATCGGTTGCTCTACCAAGGAGACTATCGCCCCATTCACACAGAGCGTCAGCTTCAACGCTTCCCATTCACTTTGAATGAGTTACATCAGGCATTGCCAAACTGCATTGTGGATCCGTTGGCGCCGCTTCAGTGGTGTTGCTTGCTGCAGAAGTTGGGACTTGCTCAACTTTACAAGCGCCGATGGAAGCGTCAGCCAATCAGATCACTGTGTGCAAATACACCAGCTCAGACAGTGGCCTATTGCTGACTAATTTCATTGGCTGACGCTGCTATGACGATCGCGTCAGCCTCAACTTCAGACACGCCCTCTGTCGAGCGTTGACGCTGAAGCCCGGTGTGAATAGGGGGTAAAGAGCATGGCCTCTAGCATCTGTCTCTAGAGCACCTTTAGAGGTCAGAGGAGTGAGGTTTACCTGCACAGCCTTCACCAGCTCTGCTGCACGTGTCTAGAAAATGCTTCTTGATTTAAGAGTTTTTTCAGATATTTGTACTAGAAACAAGACAGAAACTGTGAGTGTGAACAGCCTTATTTGCAGTGTATGAAGCTCTGTTTAATGTTAAGCAGCATTACCGACTTGTTTGTTCACAGCTCTTTCATTTGTGAGATTGTTTTAAATGTGAAAGGTGAAACCTGTGAGCTGAAGGTCTGATGCTTCCTTTTGGAGGTTGAGAAGAGGAAACAGGTCTCATGGTGTCATTCACAGCCGACTCCACACATCAGCATTCAGTTCAACTATCAATACCATGCATCATTGTTATGATCTGATGAGTTCAGCTGCTGGAACTTTAATCCACGGGTTAAAAGGGCTTTGGTTTTGGACAAAGTGCTTGAAAATTAGCATAATAGTTTATCTGACTGGATAATAGTTAACTATTTAAATCAACTTATTTGTTTTTGTATGAAGAGCAAACTGGCGTTATGGTGGTACAGTGGGTAGCACTGTGGCTTCACAGTAAGAAGGTCACTGGTTTGAGTCCCGGCTGGGTCAGTTGGTGTTTCTGTGTGGAGTTTGCTTGAACTAAATTGGCCATAGTGTATGAGTGTGTGTGTGTGAATGAGAGTGTATGGATGTTTTCCAGTGATGGGTTGCAGCTGGAAGGGCACCGCTGCGTAAAACATATGGTGGTTAAATTAGCAGTTCATTCCACTGTGGCGACCCCACAAAAAAGTGCAAAAATGTAAAAAAACATGCTAATCTATATTAGCAACTCCCTAGCAACCATTCAGAACACCCTAGAAACTACCTAGCAATTGCTTAGCAACTACTAAGGACACCCTAGCAACTGCCTATAATACTTATCAAATGCCTAGCAGTGCCTCATCAGCCTCATCACTTTAGCAATCACCTAGCAACCACTCATAACACCCTATCAACCAATCACCTAGCAACACTTTAGAGATCGTCTAGCAACCACTCAGAACACCCTTTTAACCAACCACCTAGCAACACTTTAGCAATCGCCTTGCAACCACTCAGAACAACAACATATCAATCAACCACCTAGCAACATATTAGAGATCGCCTAGCAACCACTCAGAACACCCTATCAACCAATCACCTAGCAACACTTTAGCAATCGCCTAGCAACCACTCAGAACACCCTATCAATCAACCACCTAGCAACACTTTAGCAATCGCCTAGCAACCACTTATAACACCCTATCAACCAATCACCTAGCAACACTTTAGAGATCACCTAGCAACCACTCAGAACACTCTTTTAACCAACCACCTAGCAACACTTTAGCAATCGCCTAGCAACCACTCAGAACACCATATCAACCAATCACCTAGCAACACTTTAGCAATCGCCTAGCAACCACTCAGAACACCCTATCAACTAAAAAATAAAACCTGAGATTTACTGCGTTATTGTATGAAATCTGTGTGTGTTTCGCTTTTGCTTTTCCCTCATGTCTGTGTGCTATATCAGCTGTCATAAGTTGATGATGAACACACACACACACACACACACACAACCCCGTAATAGCGTATGATCTGTGGTGTGTTTTCTCCACAGGTTTCTCTGAAAGCCGCCGCTGCGGTTTAGGGTGTTTGAGCAAATTTACACTTCTGCTTCTGTGTGTGTGTGTGTGTGTGTGTGTGTGTGTGTGTGTGTGTGTGTGTGTGTTTTAGGAAAGCAGTAACCATGGAAACACACTGGCTGATCATGTGACTCGCAGTGAGAATCAATCAGCCAAAATGTTACAGACAGAATCAGCCAATCAGAAGCCAAGCTGATGTTTCCTCATGAATATTCTTCATGTATTGTGCTCAACAGTGTGTATAGAAGCACACGCGTGTCATTACAGCGGCTCTCAGACGCGTCACTCAGAGTTGAAGGTGTTGTTGAGTGTGTGAGTATCAGTTTATTCAGTCTCGCCGCTCTTCTGATTAGGAAGCGCTCCCATTGGTCACTCCATCCCTCACTTCCTGTTTGAGGCTGTGAAAGAATGCATGTGGCAGATCTACTTCCTCTCAGGCGCCAATGTGAGCACACTCACACACACACACACACGTCTATACATTAGTAATATCTCTCATTCACACAAACACGTCAAAACACTCATACTCTCACACACACAAATGCACGTGTGTGTGTGTGTGTTTGTGTGTGTGTTTGTGTGTGTGTGTGTGTGTGTGTGTGTGTGTGTGCGCGTGGGTGTGTGTGCGTGTGTGTGTGTGTGTGTGTGCATGCATCTGATTCTGCGTCTGTGTTTGTGTGTACTTGTGTGTGAGTATGAGTGTATAGATTATAGATGGATGTGTGTGTATGGTTGTGTTTGTGTGTACTTATCTGTGAGTATGAGTGTATAGATGAATGTGTGTTTGTGTTAGTGTATTTGTGTGTATTTATGTGCGAGTATGAGTGTATAAATGTGTGTGTGTTTGTGTGTACTTGTGTGCGAGTATGAGTGTATAGATGGATGTGTGTGTGTTAGTGTGTATTTATCTGTGAGTATGAGTGTATAGGTGAATGTTTATGTGTGTGTGTGTGTGTGTGTGTACTGTATGTTTTCTTCTATAGAAAACTTCATAGTAAAACTGAACATAATAAAATAAATCTTTAATGATTTGTAGGATGTTTTGTTTATATTTGGGGCTCATCTGCATATATATAATCAACATTAGTAATCTGCAGTAGATGTGGTCTTCATTATGATTGTCAAGGCGTCGTGTCACATGATGTGTTCAGATTATCTCCATCAGCTGCTGACAGATCACACTGGCGGCTCTTCTGCTGATCTCTGCATTTATCTGTTTACTCAACACCAGCACAATATTGAAGGCCTTGCATTGATTATAGCTGTTTTTTCCTTTCTCTAACACACACACACACACACACACACACACACACGCACACACATGTACTCTGTTAAACTGCTGGAAGGAAGCATCTGCCTGTCTCAGATCTCTCTAAGAGAAACTGAGGATTTATTCTGTCTGAAGCGTTTCGTTTTTATGTGCCAATGCTTTTAAGAGTGTAAATATTTACTGTAGGAGTCGGTTTAGAAACTGTGATTCTGCTCACACACACACACACACACACACACACATTTTATACTTTTGTTTGGATTGAAAGTACAAGCAAGACAATAAGAATCCAAATATTTTGTGATACTTTTATTCACTTTTTTTTTAATACACACAGACAATACTTACACATCTATACACTTATACTGTCATATACACACACACACACACACATATTTTATACTTTTATTTGGATCGAAAGGAAAAGACAATAATAATTAATTCATTTTCTTTTCGGCTTAGTCCCTTTATTATTCAAGGGGTGGCCACAGCGGAATGAACCACCAACTTATCCAGCATATGTTTTACAAAGCTGATGCATTTCCAGCTGCAACCCATCACTGGGAAACACCCATACAAACTTATTCGCACACACACACACACACCCATACACTACAGCCAATTTAGTTCATTAGTTCCCCTATAGCGCATGTGTTTGGACTGTGGGGGAAACCGGATCACCCGGAGGAAACCCACGCCAACATGGGAAGAACATGCAAACTCTACACAGAAACACCAACTATCCGAGCCGAGGTTTAAACCAGCGACCTTTTTGCTGTGAAGCGATTGTGCTACCCATTGTGCCATTGTGCTGCCCCAAATTCGAAATACTTTATATATTTTTCTTCACAGTTTATCTACACACACAAGTCTATACACACACACACGCACACACACACACACACACACACAGATCTTTACTTTCCCTTCACAATCTTCCAGAAAAGCTGACTTGACCTCTGGACAGGAAGTGACCACATGCTAATTCCCTGACCCAGAGGAAAACAAGTACTTCAGCTCAATCCTCACACATCAGTCAAAACATGAACACTTTAAATATCTAAAGTTCAGAAATCTCCAGCAGAGCAGATCTGCCGCTTCAGCTCGGTGTGTGTGTGTGTGTGTATATGTGTGTGTCTGTAATAACAGAACAAAACTGTAATATGTCTTCATCTAGTGGTCATATGATGAAACACACGCATAACTCTTTTGACTTGTGTGCTTTTATACACATTTACTTTTCTTTTTACTACATAACCTGTGGTGTATTGCAGTATAAAACACTACTGTACAAAACTGCAGTATATGGTAAATTATATTACTATATTAATTTCATTCATTCATTTTTTTAACACTTAGTCCCTTTATTAATCAGTGGTCGCCACAGTGGAATGAACCGCCAACTTATCCAGCATGTTTTATGTTGTAAAAATGTTTTGTATGTTTTCAACCCATCACTGGGAAACACCCATACACTCCCATTTGGACAATTTAACCTACCCAATTCACCTGTACCACATGTCTTTGGACTTTTTAGAATGACAACAACAGATTAGTTAACTAACTGTAGCTAGGTTACTATAGTATTTTATAGTATGTACTATAAATGCCATATAGATACAGTAGTGGCGACACAGGTAGTGCTGTCTCCTTACAGCAAGAAGGTCGCTGGTTCGAGCTTCAGCTCGGTCAGTTGGCGTGTCTGTGTGGAGTTTGCATGTTCTCCCCGTGTTGGCGTGGGTTTCCTACTGGTGCTCCGGTTTCCCCCACAGCCGGGATAGGATAAATTGTCCATAGTGTATGAGTGTGAATGAGTGTGTATGGATGTTTTCCAGAAATGGGTTGTAGCTGGAAAGGCATCTGCTGTGTAAAACATGCTGGATTAATTGGCAGTTCATTCCGCTGTGGTGACCCCGGATTATTAAAGGGACTAAGCCGCAAAGAAATGAATGAATACAGTAGTTTCTGAAAAATCCTTTTTGCACTGAATAATATGCATAGTAAAACCAGTCTGCAGACGTTTAAAAATATATAAAAGGCTGTAAAGATATACCCTAGGCTGGTTGTCTGGTTTTAGCTGGTCGACCTGCTTGGTTTTGGAGGGGTTTCCAGCCATTTTCAACCTGGTTTTAGCTGGCTGGCAGATGACCAGCTAAAAGCTTGACCAGTTCAAAATAGCTGTCCAGCTTAAACCAAACTGGTCAAGCCTTGTAAAATGAAACATGACAATTAGTCTGTGCTTTTACATTACATTATGATGATGGTTATGATGATGATGCTATTATAACACACTACTGTAAATCTTTTGTAGTGAAAATGAATGAATGAACAACTCAATATAAGAGAAAACATCAAATCACCGTCTTTATTAAGGACTATGTTAAATTAACTTGTGTGCTAATTAAATAAACACACACGCTAACAAAACCTTCATATATCACCGCTATCTACTGTACTAAACTGCATTTAATTTGAATTCAACGTAACATTTTCAAACGGAATAAAAATAACGACATGAGGCGGGAAGAGAGTAACAGAAATTCAAAGTAACATTTTTAAACGGAATAGAAAATAACGGCCGCGGGAAGAAAGTAACAGATTTGTGGGAGTGACCAAAACTAGCGTTTCCTGACAGTGTTACCTGATTGGCCCGCGCCATAGTGACGGTTGTGTTTAGGGGCGGATTCATCAAAGGAGCCTCGTTTTGATTGCATAATTTTAGAACACCCACAAACCCAAACACGCCCACTTTCTGTGCTCTGCAGAAGGAGATGTTATGAAGGCGCTGTTGGAGGAGGCGCTGTGTTGCTGTTCTTCTGTGGAGCTGGAAAACCACCGAGGAAATCAGGAAAGCGGAGCCCCCTCGAGCACACGGCGATCGCTTTATTAACATTGTGTGTTGGTGTGTGTGAGCTGTTTTGGAAAACCGTATTGTCATCGTGGTATTTCGTTGCTATTTGATAATATCATAGTAATTGTGTTTTGCTTTTGCTGCAGTTCGTTTCATCCGTCATTATGGTGTGTATAACATATCTACACTAATCAAGCTCAAGGCTGACTCACAACAACATACTATCCAAAACACTCTGTTTCAATTGTTTACAAATCCACAACACACATAGTATTTAATGTGTTTTACTATCCTAAAAAACCAGCCTATGCTTGGTGTAAAACCACATTGGTTTTAGGGCATTTGGCCATTTCCAGCCTGGTCTTGGCTGGTCATCTCCCAGCCTGACCAGCTAAGACCAGGCTGGAAATGGTCGAAACCCCTCTAAAACCAGGCTGGTTGAGCAGCTTAGGCTGGTTTAAGCGTTTTCTTTTTAATGATGTGGTGTTTGTGTGCAGATGTTGAGCATGGAGGTGCAGGTGGACGTGAGCTGCTGTAAATCAGTAGGAACTGATCTGTCCATGCTGGATATTGAGGATTTCATCAGTCAAATCTGTCAGCTGAAGAAAGAGGTGGCGTCGCTGGAGGCCAAGCTGAGAGAAAGAGGAGAGAAACTCCAGCCAGAGGTTTGAGCAGATCTTCATGTCCTGAAGGTGGATTGATGAGCTCTCTGTCAGACGCAGCTGATGTTTCTTGTGTTTTTCAGCGTCAGGATTCGCTGTGCGGCGTCAGAGCTCAGAGATCCAGAAACACGCAGAACTCAGAGCTCAGCCTGACTTTACTCTGTTATACTGACGCTCAGGATCATCAGAGCTCTGAGCCAGACGCTGGAGAACAGCAGACCACACTGAAGATGTGCTCCATAGGAGAGGAGGAGGACCGCAGAACCATAATGCAGAGCACAGAAAACACCACAGAAGAAGAATATCAGAGAGAGCAGGAGGATGATGATGATGGAGTGCACCAGACGCCAATGATGTGTTATGATGAACTGGACCAATACCTTAACCTGATCCAAATCAAAGAAGAAAACTGTTCAGATGAAAAACCTGATGATGATGATGATGAAGATCATAACAAGGATGTGGATGATGATGATGATGATGATGACTTTGTTCCTCCAGGTATGTCACACACATTATTGGATAAATGTGATCTTATATATAGAGATATGAATACAGTTTCACCTGAAGAGCTCAGTTTGGAAAGAATTCATTAAGTTACATTAGTTATGATGCTCCTGTACAGGAGTGAATCATGCAATAGAATCAAATAATCAAAATAAAAGAGCCGATAAATACAACAGAGCTAAAATAAAAGTGAAATTTACAGCACTTTAAACTTTTCTGATGAGTCTAAACATATTCAGATACAGAAATTGAATAATTAAATTTATTCTACGGCGCTGCTGAATGGTTGATTCTGATTGGCTAATGAGTATTTTAGGATGTGTAGTTATTTACAGATAATTGCAAAGCTAAAGTTGTAATTGTAAAATAATGCACAGTATAAGTTTCATGTAGGGATTGTTTACAGTTTTAACCCAGAAGAATGAGCAGTCTGTCAGATGAAGAAGAGCCGGAGTCAGAGATTCAAATCAATAAATTAAGTTTACTGAAGATAGTTTGCAGTTTCAACACTCACAATCAGTTCCTAGGCCGCTCTGACTTACAGTACACCAATGCAGCAATTCTACTCTTTACACACGTCCAGAAAGGGTGGGATCCACGTAAACAGCTCTCATTGGTTACAGCAAAAATAGACAATTCTGAATGTGTGCGTTGATGAAGGATTGCATCTAACTCCAGATATGGATGGCGGCATGGTTCTTGGGGGTCAGGCCGACCCTAAACTATTAAGAGCTGATCTCAGACCTGTAAAAAGCTTAAACATAGCCGCAAGAGATAATCTGTTGTGGAAACTCAAGGTTGTTTCTTGTACGTTCATCTGTCTTATCAAACTGGTTTAATCAACATTCGGCTACAATATCCTCACTATACACAAAGTCTACCTAGCAGAAAAAGAAATCACTTTAAAAAGAATTAACAATAAAAACCACTAAATTACTGTAGACAATATCATGACAAATAGAAACAGGTAGTTTCCTGTTGAGTTTCCCTCTCCTCAGCATCAGTAATCTAGCTCAAAAGAGGGAGGGAGGTCTTCATGACCTTGGACTAGGCCTACAAGGAATCTGCGTACACAGAATTCCGCAGATTTTTAGCCCATCATTAATTCTGTTTATTCACTTGAGTAAGTGTGTGTAAATCTACATTTATTCAGTTTTTTTTGTTAATTTCAGTAATATTATTGACTAATGTAAAAATGTTCATCTGATTTATGTACAATGCAGTGTACAGTCATATTTTCTGTCTTTTAGTAGAGATATTATATTAGAGAATTGCTTTGTTAACCAAATAAAGTGAATCTAATTGGATTTGCATTTTAATTATTAAATTAAAGTTTAAAAGATATTATTTTTTATTTCACATATTAGGGTTTGAGTTAACATACTCCCAAAACAAAACAAAAAATCTGCAGACTTTTGCCAAAATTCTCTGCAGAAATAGCCAAAAACTTCCGCAGATTCCGTCTGCCCTTACCTATAACCTGGTTTGTGTGTCTCCTGAAAACAAAGTTAAAATGGACAGACAAAGAGAGGAGCAGTGGCACTGAACATTTACATAAAGCAGTGTGTTAATTTATTCATTAGTTAAAATCAGTTAAAAGTTAAATACTCATTCAAATAATTATATTTAATGAATATAATCAGGAACAGGATGATGAGAAAAGGATCATCGTTGATCCATGCTGAGACTTATTAGAAGGTATAAATCCAAATCCATCATTCATAATCAGAATAATTGTCTACTGTATGTTGAATTATTGAAAAATAATGCACATTATAAGTGGAATAATTGACTCTGGTTTGCTGAAATATAACAAGTATAAGGTGCATAAGTGGAGGAATTGACTAGTCTATTGAAATAGTAGGAAGTAATGCAGAGTATAAGTCATATAAGTGGAGTAATTGACTCTGGTCTGTTATATTATTAGAAATTAATGCACATTGTAAGCAGTATAAGTGGAATAATTGACTGGTTTGTTGAATTATTTTAAAGTAATGCACAGTATAAGTTGCGCAAGCTGAATAAATGACTTCGGTCTGTGGAATTTTTAGAAAATAATGCACAGTGTGAGTAGCGCAAGCAGAATAATTGATTTCAAGTCCATCGAAATATCAGTTATAAAGTGCATTATTCTCTAATAATTTAACATATACATCTCTCTAATTATTTAACAGCCCCATGTCAATTATTCCTTACCTAAATCTCAAACTTCTGCAGTTTAATAACCACAGTAGAACATGTTAAAATGTCAGTCTTTACTGATTATTTGTTTACTGAAGTGACATAAAACACATTTTATCTCCATTTTAGGTTTTGCTGCTGATCCTCATTGTGATGGAGAAATGCCCTCTACATCTAAACAGCAGCCCACAGGGAAGAGTTCCTCTGGAAAACCTCAAAAGCCAAAGAATTATCACTGTGAGCAATGCGGGAAGAGTTTTAGATCACCGTCTAAACTGATGATTCACATTAGGGCGCACACTGGCGAGAGACCGTTCCAGTGCAACCAGTGCGACAAGTGTTTCGGTACAAAGTATAATCTGTTGCGCCATGTGAAAAAACACACCGAGAAAACTGACGACGTAGAGAGACCGTATCAGTGTTCACACTGTCAGAAATGCTTTGTCGAATCATATCTCTGTAAAGCTCATGAGAAAACCCACACTGGAGCGAGGCCGTATCAGTGTTCGCACTGTCAGAAAAGTTTCTGTTCCAAGTCCAACTTGAAAAACCACGAGAGAATTCACACCGGAGAGAAACCGTATCAGTGTTCGCACTGTCAGAAAAGTTTCGGTACTACTTCAAACTTGAATCAACACGAGAAAATTCACACCGGAGAGAAACCGCATCAGTGTTCGCAGTGTACGAGAGGTTTCAGTACTAAGATGCAATTGAAAACCCACGAGAGAATCCACACCGGGGAGAAACCGTATCAGTGTTCACACTGTCAGAAAGGCTTCTTCACTTTGAATGCCTTGAAAGCCCATGAAGGTATTCACACTGGAGACAGTGTGTTTCAGTGTTCGTACTGTCCGAAAATTCTCTATAGTAAGTCTGTCTTGAAAGAACACGAGTGGATGCACACAGGAGAGCGTCCGTATCCATGTTCTCACTGCGACAAGCGCTTCCGAAGTAAGTCACACCGGAGAACCCACGAGAGAATTCACACCGGAGAGAAACCGTACTTGTGTCCCGACTGCGGCAAGAGCTTCATGAGAAGCCTTTCTTTCAGAATTCATCTGCGAGGCCACACAGGGGAAAAACCGTACACATGCTCGCACTGTGACCAGTGTTTCACACGACCAGACACTCTACGCAATCATGAGCGAATTCACACAGGGGAAAAACCGTACCACTGCTCCGTCTGCAGCGAGAGATTCAGTTTTCCATGGCTTTTGAATACACACAAGAAGAAACACGCCGTCTCAGAATCCTCATAGTTTAATTTGGTAATTACGTTAATAGTGTGTATATGAAAACACAGAGTCTCATTTAATTCTTAAAAATAAAAGCTAAAACAAGAATGTCTGTACAGCTTTAATTACTGGTTAGACATGTATTTAGTTTTTGTGATTGCTGTAAATTCACTGTAATGTTCAGATCGGTGTGTGTCTTTTGAGTAAGACGTCATATTTAAAACTCTTGATGTTTTAAAGGACACTCTTCCCCCTTCTGTAAATAAACTCACATATTTAATATCATTTGACGTTATCCGGCTAATTATGGCTAAAACAAATACTAAAAGAACTGAAAATGCTTGGTGCCCTTTTAAACAGTTGATGGATGAAGTATAGGCTAATGTATCACCACTTACTGCACTTAAAAGTCATGGAAATAAACTTGAATAGTAGGATGGATTCGCTGTAAAATACTTCATTTTAAGTGTTTTACGTTAGCTCCGTGCTGGACCGGTGTTCTTGATCTGTGCTACCTCCTCAGAATGGAGAGGGCTCTGGATGCAGACCTGGTGCAGTGCAATCTGAGCTGCATCCAATGCTTTTTAATGCGCTCACCTAACCCCACCCCTCACAGTGATGTCACTCGCTCCATTGAGTGCATTGTGTCTGACATTGCATCGCTGAGGGATGCAGTCTCAGCTTGCATCATAAAGGCTGCATCCATATTGTCAGAATGTGCTACTGGTAGCTTAATGTCATGTTTCATCTACCAAAACAGGGTTAGCACATCTTGTTGACTTCAAATGTCTTTCAGAACATTAAATAAGGATGTAAAAACAGGGGTAGCGCATATTGTCAGCTTCAGATATCTATCGAAGTTAACTACTACTCTATTGATCAATGTAGAATCATTTTAATTTTATTTTATTAGTTTTATATTTAATTTATTTATTAGAGTGGTAGCTCATTCTGATTGACATTTAAAGCTAACAAAATGCGCTATCACTGTTTTTACATCCTTATTTAATCTAGTAGTTCATTCTGATAGACATTTGAAGCTGACAAGATTAAATAAAGGGACTGAGCCGTAAAGCAGGGGTGTCCAAACTCGGTCCGTAAGGGCCGGTGTCCTCCAAAGTTTAGCTCCAACTTGCTTCAGCACACCTCCTTGGAAGTTTTTAGTAAAGAAACTGGTTTTAGTGGGGTTTTGGCCATTTCCAGGCTGGTTTCCAGCCTGATCTTGGCTGGCCAGGCTGGGAGATGACCAGCAAAAACCAGTTTGAGCAGCCTAACCAGCTGGGAGCCCAGCCAAAGCCAGCTATATCCGGTTTAAACCAGGCTGGTCAAGTTGGTTTTAGCTGGTCGCTTTCCAGCCTGATTTTCCAGCAGGTTCAGCTTTTAAAAGGTGGAACAAAACAGCATTTCTGAAATGTAATCTAGTTAGTAGTTTATTGGATCTGAGAGAAGAACCACACCCCTGAAAAAAGCTTTTGTGGAGTGAGCCGAGCGCGTCGCTCGTGCGTCAGGAGGCGCTGTTGTGACGTTTTCCAGTCCAGCGCGAAAACCACAGAAGAAAAGCAGACGGTGAGTGTTGCTGAGAGAAGTTATTAATCTGATTTATCTGTTCATGTCTGTTATTTTTCTGCCTCCAGTGTTTAAATGTGCTCAGATGAAGCGTTCGCTCTTGTGCGTTTAAGCAGTAGCCGTGTTTTAGCCTTGGTATATGTGATAACACGTTATCCAGACAGCAAACGTGCATCTGGAACATGTCGGCCCACAACATCTCTGCTTTTACGGCATATTCATTCATTCATTTTCCTTCGGCTTAGTCACTGTATTAATTACGGATAGTCACAGCAGAATGAACCGCCAACTTGTCCAGGATAGGTTTTACACAGCGGATGGATGCCCTTCCAGCTAATGGGAAACACCCATACACTACGGCCAATCTAGTCAAGCAATTCTCCTATAGCTATATCATAAACTTGCAATTACATGGTTCTGTGCGGTTTAAATGATTTTAAGATATTGAGCTTTAAAGGTTTTGCATTCCATAGAGCAGACAGTATGTGTGTAACATTTCTCTTTCATACATCAACATAATAGAGCCTAAATATACTCTACATCAAAATTATCGTACATTTGCAAGTTGGAGTAAATAAACCAGGGTAAATGCAGAGAGAAGCTTCTGATTCTGAAAAGTCATTTTATAGTCGTTATATCTGGCGGATCATTAATTGAAGCATTATTTTTAAAGAAATACAATCAATCAATATATATATATATATATATATATATATATATATATATATATATATATATATATATATATATATATATATATATAT